TTTAGTTTTTCCACACTTGTAAAAAAAAGATTTGAGTCTTTCTGTCTTTATGTGAAATATGAAATTTGAATGAAGTTGGATATTATTTATCTTATTCATATTATTGAGAACTAGGAATAAAAACCAGGGATTAGGATAAAGAATCTGAAAATTGAATGGAGATTAGAATGAAAATTCCGTGGGATTCATTGCTTATGCAGGATGAGCTTCCAATTTGCCTAGTGATCATGACTTTCGAACATAACTCGAGGGCATAAGTTACTAGACCTGGGAACTTGAAAATGAATGGATTCCTGCCCGGTGGATTGTTAGAATACCCATGGGAGTTGACTTTTATACAGATTGACTATATATATATATATATATATATAGGGAGAGAAAGAGAGAGCAAAACTGGCCACACAGAATGGAGCCATTTTCCGAACAGTGTGAGCCACTTTTCTCAGCTTCCAAAAACGAGAAGTTGAAAAGTCGAGATGGAAAAAGAGTGAGAAAACCAAGAGAATTGCTCGGGGATTACCTGACGATCTAACTCTACGATTTATAGTTTATATTTATCGGTTTCTCCCTCTTTCTCAATCTGAACTATTTTTTTCATAATCTATATACTTATAAAAAATCAAAATAATGAATAAAAATTTTGTTTACAATTAACAAATTTGTAATTTTTAACTAACTTACTTTTTTTTAACTTTAATAATTTAGTACATACTAATGATCTAAAAAAGTTTTTGACCTTTTATTTGATGAACAATGTACTAATTCATTCTAAGGACCACTTGATATTATTTCATTACTATAATTAATTCAACTGAAAACTCTTTAATTAGATCTGACATTTTTTTTTCTCTTTTACTTATGCTTTCCAATTATATCAGAAAAGTGAAAATCTCTTTCTCTTTGTGTGTATAGAAAAATGACGGGTTCTTAATAAGAGAAAAATCTCACGTGTGTAGATATCATCAATAGATATATAGAATCGTATCCTGTTTTTCTTGGTATCATTTTCTTTCTTATGGCTTTTTTGTCAGGCAATAAAGTCAAGAATGAAAAAGATGAGAAAATCTCTCGAAAAGCTTTTGGCAGCATGGAGGGGGGAGGAGAAGGAGGAGGGTGGGGGGGGAGTTAAAATAGGAAAAATGTGAAGAATTTGCGCTTGTGACGTAGAGTAGCTTTCTTTGTCGAGGTCAACTGGAGAAAAAGGGGGAGGAAGAAGGAGTAAAATAAGCGGAATTTACTTTTCTGCAATGGACTTTTGGGTAAAAGCTCCCCACAGTACAGAGAACTGTGACCATTCACTGGTAAGCAAGCAAAACATTTGCTGCAGTAGAGGGAGAGTTGCAAGCAGAGCTTGCAGACTTTTATCTTCCTCTTCCTTTTCCGGGCAATGTATTTCATTCTATATATATATAGAGCATCAAAAATATGGAGCATCCTTGGGTTAATCTAGTTTAGCTCACTCTTGATACGGATAGAATCTTTTGAACCTCTAATAATAATCAAATACAAATATAGAATGAAATTATATGATTGATGGTGAAAATTATGTTTCCATAAAACTGTTTTTCAAAGATTTCCACGAATTTTCGTCTTTGATTTTTGAATTTAATTTCTGAGAAATACATTTTGTTTTTCAACTAAAATTTGTTATTCCATTTCCATTTTTATCATTTCACATACACTTTTACCATTTCACTTCCACTTTCACCAATAGAAAAATGAAAGTGGAATGAAAAAAATTTGATGACAAATAACAGTGATTGTTGTCTCAGTAAAGTGATTTTTGCCTCTTTGGTGATTCATCATTTTAAGGAGGAAATTGTGTGGCCCCAGTCAATAAATCAACACTTTAATTATGCGCGAGAAGTGTTGAATCGATCAGGGAATTAGGAGTTAAGTGAATTATACTCGATCTCTACGGATGAGAATTTCCATTGCCGAATTGGTTGCAATGATCGAGTATATATATATACGTTTATGTTAGCGTTCGAAATGTATATATGTGTATATACATATACACATATAATGGACGTTTCCGTTGAAACTATGGTTACAAATGTCCCTGGATGAAACTGTGAGACAATGTTCCTCTACGACAATCCGCTTTTCATCCAATCGAAACTATCCGCAAAACCTATTTTGACAATCTCTATTTTACATATATTCCATTAGATTAGAATTTATTTTTATTATCAAATTATTATTACTATACCTATACTAACAAAAATTATTAGTGGAATTTTTATGCAATCATAAAAGAATTTAGAGAACTTTAATTTTTTTAATTTAGAGAAGATTTTTGATTCGATGAAATAATGATTGCGAAATCAAAAGATAAATAAGTGATATGAGACCTTGTTGGAGAACAATCGTTGTTTGAAGAAGCTTCTCGAATTGCATTATCGATCTGTTTGAAATCTGTTCTTGAACAACTGTCTCAATCGAACATTCCAACTCTCGAGTAAACGCAGCGAAGCTAAATCAAGCAATGCAACTACAAGTAGAATGGAGAAACGATCTGTGCGGCGCCTTGTGCGTCATCTCAAACAGATTATATCGTCTACATATATATAGAAAATCGATCTTGTGAATTTTCTCCAAAAAAAAACTTTATGTTAAAATTTTTATTACATTTGTAAAACCACCTTTCAACCTACTATCATTAATAATGGAAATACCATAATTAGGAATTTAAATTTTCAATTAAATTTTAATCATCAAACATCAGCTTGATGATAAATTCCAATTTGCTTAAAGGTAATTTAATGATAATTTGAAATCCCTTCCCCTATAAAAGAACATCATTCGCATTAGTAATATCTATTACCTCGAAAATGTTCTCTCTCTCTCTCTCTCTCTCTCTGTCGTACTAAATTCCATACGCGCTTAAACTGAAACATTAAACTATGCCAGTTGCCAAACTCTCATTGCCGGGCAAATTCCATTCCACTTAGAGATTCATATTATATTACATACCCATGAATGCAATCGGAAAGTCTTTTTTCCTTTAAAAAACAAAAAAAAAATCCCTTTTGAAAGATACAAAGGAAACCAATAAAGTCAAAAATTCGTTTAGAGTTTCATTCTTCTGGAAAAAAAGATTAAACGATTTATTTAGATTAAAAGCGATTTTTTGTTATGTAAAAAAAAAATTGTGATTTGGTTAAATTCGATGTTTAATATAAAGAGGGAGAAAACTTTAATGAGAGAGAAAAAGGAGGAATTTACGAAAAGAGTTGAAAATATATCGAGCGTATCTATAACTCTTGATAAAAAATTTTTGTAAATATAAAAAAAAATTCAAGACAAAATAAAAAGATACCCTGGCTTTAATTTGCAAAAAAAGGGAAAAGTTCTTTTTAACGGAGTTTACATTTCACTCGATGAAATACCTCTTTTTTTTCTTCTTTTTTATACAAACTCAATTCATCGATCTCTTTCATCTTCTTTATATTGAATGTAAGATTATAATTATGCAAACATTTTCATAGATACGAATTTACTTTATTTAAAAAAAAAAATATTTTATTTACCTTTATAAAGAATCAAAGATAAAAATAATATGCCATAGAATTTTTTTCCGAGTACCAACAAATTTCCATAATAATCATATAATTTATTTATAAAATTTTGTTGATTGATGGATGGATTGACTACCATAAATTTGAAATTGCAATTCTTTAATCAAACATTGTTTGGAAAATGGAAAATTGAATTTTCCAGCTCTGCCATTAAAATTCGGAATTTTATATTGAAATATATCTGAAAGTCAAATTTTTGGAGCATTTGGAAAAGTTGAAAATTTACGACTTTGACATAATAAACAGAGAGCTGATAGAAAGCGAAGCTTTATTTCCATTAAAGGGCATACACATTAAAATGCTTTCCGTGTAATAGATAAGCACTGTTGCAAGCCTTGATGGCTATTTTTCGTTTTACGACTCATCGTTTGCTAAGTTGAGGGTTTTTATCAGTGAATACTATTCCCTTTCCTTTAAATTAAGAGCTTACTTGGAAAATTGGATTCAGATCATTGTATTGAAATTATAAGTTTACTCCATAATAAACTTTACTTAATTAAAAAAGTATATACAACAAAATTCATCAGAAAGAAAACATTCTAATTTGTTTTATATAAAGTTTACTTTTAAAAGTTTTGTAAACGATAGCTTATGACTGCGAGTACCAATAAGATTTTCTATTTAAGTATACTGAGGCAAGAGCATATACTTTTAGTCTCAAAGTGCTTTTTCAGATAAATCGTTTATATAAGTTAAAAAAAAAGTTTCCTTTGCCCCTGCCGACTATTTACTTATAAGAATCTTTAATGCAATTACAAGACGTAACAGAAATTATGAATACACGTCCTTGTGCATTATTGAAACACCGTTTTTTACATTAATTATCTCTTGAAAATTAGTAATACTATTTTTAAAAAAGTTTTAAATATGAATAATGATTATTATTTATATTATCAATTTGTTCATAAAATTATTACATAGAATGTAATATAAAATTTTATTGTTTCCTATTATTAGCTGTTTAATTATGATCAATCAACATGTAAATTGATCCATACTACAAAGTCCCTTGATGCAAAGTAACGCATGTAAAATAATACAACACGTATTTTGCATAAATAAATTTGGAAAATGTTATTTTCGTGGCACATTTTATGCGCATAAAAGTTACCTCAATTTTAGATTTTTATGATTTTTAGTGATGGTAGTGTTGCTTTATATATATAACGGTGAGGAAAATGTATGAAAGCATTTTCACGTATTTACCTCTTTTATATTATCCATTGAGAATTGTATATTATTTGTTTTTTCAAACACTTTTATTATTATTATTATTATTATTTTTCGTGATAACAAAATATTTTCCATTTATATTTAAAAAATCACAATATTTATTGTTTTACTTTTTGAAAGAGAAAATTACTTTTTGATTTCAAAAAATATTATTTGTTTGAAAAAAAAAATATTTTTCTTTTATAGAACCGAAAATAATTTGGAAAAACACTGTTAAAGGATCACTGAAAGAATTACTGAATGGAGAAGAAAGCAGCAAGGCAGAAAAAATCAACAAATGTAAGTTTTGAAACTTTTAAAACAAATTTTTGGTTTTGGTTTTGTTTCTTGTAATTTATTATTGTTAGGAAAAATTTTTTTTTTACTATTTTTCATCATAAAATTTCGTTTAAGAGAAAATCCAATTTTCGTTGGGTTTTTAGAAATTTTTCGTTATAGCTGATGATATTAAACAAAAAAATTTTCTTTTTAAATTATAAAACTTTAAAATTGAAAAAAGAAAATTTAATTTATAAACTACCATAAATTTACATTAAAAATAAGTAGGTACACGATATGAGAAATTTGAGATTTTTTCAATATTATCAGAAATCGATTTTTCTATAGTAGAGAAGATAATATAACAGAAGATATTTTCCAGCGTCTAGTAAGTACTGGACCTTAGGGAGTTCATAAATTCGATGAGAATTCATGATGCGCCTATATAAAGTAGAAAAGTCGGTTCTTTGAATTATAAATTGTTCTATATATATATATAATAAAATATAGCTTATAAAAATTTAAAAAAAATGAAAATAATGTAAAAAAAATATATTAACATTATATTCATTTTTGTATTGGGAAAGTTTTATAAAAATTCAAGAAAAAAAATATTCCCTTCAAAAAATAAATGCGCAAGAATATAATAAAAAAAATAGGCAAAATTCATGAATGTATATTAAAAAAATATATAGTAAATAATTCACCTTAGCTTATAGCGTAATCTATTTACGTAAATTCGTGTATCAACGACAAAAAAATATATATACATATATATGGATAAACGTGGTGAATGAATATAATGCACGCGATAAAAGCCGAGATTACAACCAAGCTTCCGAGGAAAAAGCGATATTTTAAGAATACAGAATTTTCTTTCAAATCCGAGTTTCTGGCAGGGTTTCAAAATATGCTTGTGTGATCCGAGCATGTCCATCATCCGGTGGCCTAGTTAGAATTTTAGGCATATCATAGATTAGAAATGATGCATACACTGACAATTAAAATTTATCTATATATATTAATTTTTCTAATAAAAATTTGTTTCCAATTGGAGTGAAAATAAATTTTTTGAAAATAATTTATATTTGAATCAAATAAATATTTATTTGGACCAAATAATTTAACATTTAATAAAAAAAAATACATTGAATTTGTTTAAGAAATTCTGCTTAAAAAAAGAAAAACTTATCCCAGAGGGGAAATATTTTTAACTCTGTTTTTGCAATTAAAAGCAATGAAAATTAAAATAATGAAATTGAGCATTTAACTCATTTCTTTTATGGTTATTAAATTGTCCCATGAGTCGCATAAAAAGTTGGAGGAGCGTTTGAATTATTACAGCGGAAAAATTAATTGCTCGTATAGGAAAGTGACCTAAATCTTCTTTCGCAGATTGGGAAATAGTATGTATATTATACTCGAATTCCAATATATGAATTTGTGTATCTGCATTTGATCTATATTTCCCTTTTGATTATCGTGAAGCCAAATAAATAATCGAGTGTCGATAAAATTATTTCAAGTTTTGTTATATATATATTTTATATTTGTTTTATTGTGAAATTCACCTTCGAAATGAAAATCTTTCTCTTTCGCTTCTGTTTCATACATGAATTATTGTACCTGAATTAATTTTTTTGATTTATTACTACTAATAATATTGTTCTTCTTTCGTTCTTTCGTTCTTTCGTTATGCATTTAGATTTTTTAAATCTGTTAGGTATGAGTTCTTCCATCTGTGTATTTATATATATAGAGTGTGAATTTAAATGCGAAATGCAATCAAGAGAAGAGCCAATAACTTCTGGTACATGCGTGCCAGGTTTCACATTTAAAATGCAAAAAGGGATGTAGAGTTTTCGTTTCTGGAATATAAAGTCAAGACTCCTCGGAATCTGCTCGAAATTCAATTAATTTGCATAGAAAGTCTTCAAAAATTGAAGAAATTTATTTATTTCGCACGTTCTTTATAAAACATATTCCCGAAAATAGGAAAAAACAAGTTTTTTTTCATCTAAAATTCATTAGGATTTTCTTTATTTTGTAAAAAAATGAAAACTTAAAGTGTTTACTCGTTAAGCTTTTCAAGATTATAAAAGACTCATTTTTGATCAATTAAAAAAAGAGAAAATTGATAATGGTCACAAACGACGGTAGTTTTCAATGTAATGATTTTACAAACTTTGATAAGATTACAATTTTTTTTTTTTGATAAATAATGAGGTCGATCTTGAAGCGAAGATATTGATATAGTGTACACAAGATTCTTAACATTTTTTTTTAATTTTGTAAAAGCGAGTAATTGAGTTAATTAAATGAAAAAATATAAATTAAATTGGAAATGAGGAATCGATTATTTTGCAAAAAAAGTAGAAAAAATATTTAACTTAGAAAACAAACTTAATCCAACCAAAGTTATTATTAATATTACTATTATTATTATTATTATTATTATTTTTATTGAATTATTATTATTGGTATTGTTATTTTTTTAACAGATCTTTCCACTATATGAATTTAATTTTTTCGTTTTAAAAATTCTTTTTCGATATAAAAAACATCAGATTAATTTATTTCAAAATATGATTAATTATCAAAATAATGAGCACATTTTTACCAGTTCATTTTTAATTAGCATTATTAAAAAAAATTACTCTGAGAAATTCTTAATTATAATGGAAAAGATGGTAAAATAGAGAATCCTGGAAATATTAATTAATTAATTAATTTCGTAAAATTTTATTTTCCACAACTTTACAAAGCGTGAAATTCATTTTCATATTTCTATTATATACATATATTACGTATATACAATGTAACTGAGATTGAAGGTTAGATATGTAATTTCTGTAAATTTACATAAAGAAAAATGTCGTATGGATATTATTTTTTTATTGTTTTATAATTAGTTAACTTTATTTTTAAAAAAGTATTTTTTAATAAATTGTCTAAAGCCTTTGTGTTTTGCATTTAAAGGATGATAATGTCATCCGACGAGGTGCATATTCGCTAGGCAGATTAAATTCATAACGTGACAGCACTTGTTACACATAATTTTTTTCTTCTTTTTTTTTGTTTAAATTCGCAATTATTAACTTTATTACAACGCATTGATTAAAATTTTTATGTGCCATTTTATAAGAAAGACTGTAATAAAGAAAAAAAACCTTGGAAGATATATTTAATATATAAAATTATTGTTTTGTCATAATTATTATTTTAATTTATAAATTACAAAAATGTAATAATAATAATAATAATAATAATATAAATTACACTTAAAATTTGAAATAAAGTTAAAAAATTGCAAAATAAAGAAATATAGGAAAAATGAAGGGAAGAATATGTCAGCAAAGTTCCCATTTATTTTTCCCTATGTAGTTTCTTGGTTGTAGAGGAAGACAACATTTTGAGAAAAATCGCTCTGTAAATCGGAATGACTCGGCGACAGTTCATCGAGAAAAATTTACTGAATCACCAGTCGTTTCGTATAGGATAGACCACAATAAACCATGTAACTTTATTTTATTTCGAAACTGCAACTGAAGTCAGCAAGTAAAATAAAAAAAGTCTGAAACTACCAAAAAATGGTAGTTTTTAGTATGGTTATTACTATTAACTAATGGTGGTAACAATCTTTTATATATAGTCAGGAACAACCAATAATAGTTACAACTATTGCTAGTTACAATTCATGGTAATTGATGGTAGTTTAATTAATTGTAGTTTCAGCCTATAAAATAACTCCCAGGAAAATTGTATTAAAATTTAATCATATTCATAAACTTCTAGATTTTAAAAAAAAAGTAAATAAATTTTTCTCAATCCGGAAAAGTGAAAATTTTTCACTCTTTGCCCAAAGAAAGAATGAATCTCCTTCGTTCTATATATATATATAAAATTTATAAGAAAATGGGAATACTTTTAAAACTTCTTTTTAGTCTATTCTCTATGTCTTTCAGGAAATTTTCAATAAAAGAATTCCCTTTGCTGAAATTTCTATAAAGAACTTTTGTAGTATTGACGAGTTGAAAATGCCCAATGGAACGTAATGTATTTGTTATATATGTATGCATTGTGAATGATTTAAAAGCATTCGAAAAATTTTACGATATAGCTCATATCAACATTTTCTAACTCAATATCATGCAATATTTATTGTTTCAATAAAATCGTTAAAACATCATCCATTCCATATAATGTTTATTTGATCCACTATAAAGCCGTTTGTACTGTATATTTACTCTTTGAGATTTCTCTAGTAAATGAATTTATATTTATATATTTTTAAAAAATTCACAATTCTTATTTATTATATATAGAATATTATTTATTATTAATTAATTAAGATTGTTAATGATAAAATTATATATCAAAACCGCTGTTGTTAGGGTATACACTGTTCATTTTGCAAACTGTTTACTGTAATCGTGAATATTCGCCATTATATCTGAAATTCACTTAACCAGAACAACACTTACGAACACATGTTCACATTACTTGGACCTTCAATTAATAGATTAGTATATACACATAAATTGAGACTGGTCACATGTGTTCAAATACGGTTATTCAATTAAACAATTCACTTCAAATGAAAGATGTATTATTTCAATCATGTTATGTCAAACAATTATTTAAAAGTAATTCAAACAAATTTTTTATTTACTATTTTTTGTGCTTTAATGCAGAACTTTTATATTATGTAAAATAAAACTATTTAAAAAATTAGTTATTATTATTAATCAAATAAATAATAATTAATTAAAAACTACTTATTTAATGAATTATGGTTTAAAAAATCATTTTCGACCGCCAGTTTGCTGAATAATGTTGTACTAATGAGTAATTACGTATATTATTTTGAAAAGTGCAGCCATCGCGCATTCGATATCGAAATAGGTTCTTCATAATCCGTTTTATATACCCCTGAATTAAATTCCTTTGTCAACACGTTTCAGGAACTCGTAGGTTGAATATATTTATAGGTTTGTGAGTGTGTGTATTGCCAGTCATCGAGCGTGATTCAAACTGGAAAATAATCAAGGACTCAAGGTGCCAATGCTAATGCAGAGACAATTAAAGCCGCTCTGGCAATCCAAATCATGGTTTAAACATGAGAAAGTTATTTTCGGGTCAAAATCGTATTAATGTTTTGCGAAATTCTATTCACTAAAACTACCATAAACCGGTAACAACTATTCTATCATATTGTTCATGACTTTAATTATACAATTCATGTAATTACCATGGTTGTAACTACCAATAATTAAATCTGTCATTGATTTTGTATTTCGAAAATTATTTTTTTAATTCTAGTTTAGAAAGTACATTTTCAAGTACTTGGCAAAGTTGTGATTCTCAAGAAGAAAACTTATTAAAAGTTCTGTGTCTTGATTATCGTTGTTTTTCTATCGGCACTTAATGGGGAAAATAATTAAATATATATATGTTTAAATAAAAGTTAAGTATTTGTGATTAATAGAATTTTAATTGTCACCAATCAGTGACATTATAAGTCTTGGTCAAATTCCAAAGTGAAACTAGTGATGAACGAGCATAATTACATTCGTGGCCTGAGCGAAACGGCTTCTTCTACTTATCCCAAATGAACTTTCAAAGTTGCACACTTGGGCTATTGTTATTAGGATAATCTGACCTAGAACTCACTTGCAGATTTCTCCGCAAATTGTTTCAATTCATATAAAATTCATAATATATACCTAGCTCAACATCCGCTGGACAAATAAAAAAGTGCTCCATACATTTTTTTTTGTTCGAGATTCCCAGATTAAGACTTTGGCGGCACTCCCAAACGATTATTTTTCCAATTGAAGAAATTTAAAATTTTTCGAAAAATCCAAAAGTATTTATCTACCTCAAAATCGTCCATGCAGAATAATTAAGGAATTTAAATAATGAAGAATCAAAAGCCGATTTCGTTAGAGAAGCGATTCAATGAGGAGTAAATCAAGCTTAGTACTTATACATTGCTACGATAGTTTATTTTGAAAATTTGAAGTTAGAACTTTACTAATTGAAATCTTCCTCTACAATATGCGTTCTCGATTTATAAAGCATAGAACATTTTCAATCTCATTAGCACACCAATAACTAGAATATCAAACCGAATTTCTAATAATTGTGGAAAGTTTCAATTGGCTACTTTGAATTAAAAGTTCTGCTTAAATGATAATTATTTTAACTTATTTCAAATATTGTAACAATATAATCATTAATTTTTGTTGAAAATATATTGTTTAGTTTATCTTTTTTTTTAAAGGATTTTCTTTATAGAAGAAAATATTTATTCCGTTTTGCTGGTATTAACTGTATAATAATTCATCATCTAAACTCTCTAAAACGTTAGCCTCTAATGAAGATGTTCTTGCACACGAAGAGTTGAGTTAATTGCGTTCTAATTTGCTGTTTCCTCTTCCTAAATTGAAACTATAATTCTCTAAAAACTTGCTATTTGCAAATTGCTTTGATTTGTCACAAAAAAATGTAATACATTTCCTAAATTATGTTTTGTTGAATAAACATGAATATTGGAATTTATTAGTAGATTATAATAATTAGACTAATTCAAAGTTTACAGTAAAATGGTTTTAGAATCATTTTCACACCCCTGGGGAGTTCATAATTTTTTTTTTGTCTTTTTTGACATCAAAATATCTCAAAAAAATGCGAAATTTTCAATGATAAGCAAAAAAAAGCTTATTTGCTATGATGGTTTTTTCAAGGTGTTCATTTAGAGAGAATTTACTGTATAAGAAAAAAAATAGAATTTCTTGTTTAATATCAAAGACACTTGATTTAAGTAACGAGAAAGTATTTTGCCGAGAAATAAGGTTTATATCTTCCGCTTAAACCCGTGGTAAACCGCTGAAGAAATTCCCATTTCTTTCGGAAATAAGTTGGTGCGGTTTGAAGTGAACATTTGACGAGATAAAATACAGTGAATTTCGAAAACTTTTATATATATATATATAAAATTGCAAAAGAGATTACAGTACAGTATAAAACTCACCTGCAACTTAAGTACTCCGTGTAACTTTCGTATGTATTTTATAAAGTTTCCTGGGAAACGCACAAGCTTTCCACGGCAGCAAACTTATTTCACTCATCCAGATTTTACTGTTTCCTTATACTATATACATGTAAAGAATCTTTTTACACCGAGCAATAAAACACAATCACACTATATACTATCACTATATATCACAGTTGGTATATATGTATATAATGACTTGTTCCGTAAATGATAATTTCAACTATTAAAATTTGTTGCCTTTATTTTTTTCCCTTCTTTATTTGCACGTGAATTTTAAAAAATATGCTGATATTGAAGTAATAAAAAAGAAGAAGAATAATAACAATGAGTTTAGTCTTGCTGGTATCATTGGCATGGGGCCAAGAATTTATATATATAAATTATATTTTTCTTTCGCAATTGTTCACTCTATCGCGGTTAAAGAAAAGAAAGTGCGAAAAACTTTTTTTTAAAAAAAGAACGCTATTCTTTAAGACATCAAACTTTTTGATCCATACAGAAAATGAAGAAACCATCGCTTATCCAAGTTTAAAAACTTGAAAGTGCTTCTCGATAATTCGTCAGCTAACTTGCCATGAAAAGACAGTGACTTTTAAAAAGGATGAGGGATGCACTTTAAAAGTGGTTTAAAAATGATAAAGGTCCATTATTTAAAGGCTCAAGAAAATAGGAACAGTGAATTCTGTAATAAATTTAAAAAATTAATTAAAAATAATCATTATAATTAAAGTTATTGTTACACGATTATCCCATAAATATAATTAGTTAGAATTCTTATGTCTCGAATTTTTATTTGTCCGAAATTGTCCGAATTGATAATTTCAGTGTCTTATTATCTTTGTTGACAGTAATTTTCAAATTATTGCCTTTTGGAAAGTAATAAGTAATAATAAGACCGAATGATAGATGTCATTATTTTCTGTCTATGTAAATAATCAATGCATTTTAATCAGTATATGCCTGCTGTGAAAACTAATTACAGTTCAGTTCCATTATTAACACCTTATCTTGACAAATACTCGCCATGTAATTCTAGCCAACAAGATAGTTTGCATTATGGGAAAGCGTTACTTATTTGACACACTGAAGTTATCTCAGATTGATGAGCTTATGAATATAAATGTCTCTGTTTCTACTGTAATATCAATTGTTCTGTGTATAATTAACATCTCCTTTACAAAGCGAAGGAATAAATTTACCCTCCCGCTACTGTTATTTGGAACCACCGTCAATATAAAATAAAAATTTTTTTCTTTTTTTCTCTGGATAATTAAAATAATGTTAAACAAAAGGACATTTCGGATGATGAATAAACAACTGCGAAAAGGATGATGAGTTGTCAATTGTGATGTTCATTATTATTTTGCGAAACCAGTACACAACACTTCTATTTTTACTGCATATATAATGCAACAGTGGAGTTGTAATCGCAGAAGTGTTTTTGAACTTTTACAATTGCTCGCGCAATAGAAACTCTTTTCGCACGTCCCTATGCGCTTCATTTCATTGTCTGAAATAATGCAAAATGCAATCAAACGGAGAAGCTAATAAAATGCAAAAAAAAAGTTTCATTTCGCATCATATTTTCGTTATTGCATGAATTGCAAATTTAATATTATATATATAAAAAAAAGAATTTTTTTTATCTTTGATTTTATTTTTTTTATTACGACTTCTTTAAACTATATAACTATACATAGGTATAGTATTAGAGAAAGTCAATTCCCTCGGGACACGATATTTGTTCAAGTTTATATCGAATATGGGTCAAGCTCTATGTATTTTATTAAAACATATTGTGTTCAAAATTCAAACTCGAAATATAATGGTTTAATTTAAGAAATAGTTTTTTTTATCACTTTTATTAATTCGATCAGAAAATTTAGAAATATGGAATTGATTTTAATACAGATGTTCTTGATATAAATTTAGAAATTCAAATAATGATGGTTCCAAATAGTAATTTTTTTTAGTTAGAAGAATAAAAAAAATATAAATTTTTTTTCCGCATTGATTTTCTGTTTTTACTGAAGCGCACACATTGGAGAAAGGGTGGGTTATATTTTTCCCTGATTGCACTTTGCCCTTGTGTCGCAATATATTTTCTTTCGTCGAAGCTAGTTGGCACAATGCAAAATGAACGAGCTTCGTGCCACTTCTCGCTTCGGGACTCTGCAAATTTTATCAGACTTGTATAGCAACGAACTGGGAATTCACCCATTGACAAGAGTATTTCTGTATCTTGAAAATCTTCTATATATATATATATTTTTTTTTGTATAGAAAAGAAGCTATATAAACACGATAAGAAGAAACAAACGTTTACGCGCACAGCCAGAATCGTAAAATTTAGCAATAAAAAGTTACGTGCCTTTTTTTACATCACAGAGCTTTTAGTCAATAAATTATCACATTTGGACACTTTTGTCAATAAAAATAAGACACGAACATCTTCAAAATGCCAATTATCACAATAATAAAATTCGTACACTGAAAAAAAATTTCTTTGTTTCAAATAATAGATTACTTGTTTTCAAATAAATATTTATTTGTATTAAGTAATTATTATTTAATTTAATGGTAATTATTTGTTACAGAATTTTAGAAGGGGGTGGTAATTTTTTTACTGGTATTTTTTCGAAAAATGTAATAAAATTTCTGGTGAAATTGAAGTTCTTATCAAATATATAGAAAGTAGATTTTCAATGATAATGTTTCAAAGAATAAAATCAAAAAAAGTTTGAAAAGAAATTTTTAAAGAAATTTAAAAATAAAGATATAAAATGATATTGAAATTTACATCACTTCTTTGCATTGTTTGTCACTTGACCAAACTTGGTCCGAATATCAAAGACGTGATCTCAAGTAAATACTGTGTTTGAAGAGAGATTCTTTACCGGAAATAAAAATTTCAAATACAAATATATTGTCACTGACTCTTTCAATAATAATAAATACAAATAATAGTAAAGAAAATATAATTATTGAAAATTAATGAAAAATTTGAAAATTAGTTATTTTTGAAAAAAAAATTTCCTTCTCAGAAGGGATTTCTAAATTTTTCTTTAAAACATTTTTCTTGTTTTCTTTTTATACACAAGGTTCTTGATTTAATATCCTCACCTAACGAGAATCTATTTGTATGCGGTTCTTTTATTTTTTGCAAACTTTTTTTTCCACTTATATATATTCTTCGCTTCATTGTTGCGAGACTCCTCTTTCATGGAGAGAATGAATATCCAAACTCATTTCAACTTGAACTGTATAAAAATTGAGAATTGATAGTCAGCTATTGATAACACTTGCTGCTAGTGACGTGTCTACAATTTACGAGAGTATAAAGAAAATCTTATGTGTGTGTGTGTGAGAGAGAGAAGGAAGACCACTTCTCAGCTCCAACCACACTACATCCACTCTCGTGGTCCAAAATGTTGAAGATATATATCTTCCAAGACAGAGATTTAAATTGGGCCTTTGAGAATTCCGAGACAAAATTCTAATTAAAATCCTAACTTTTAATCTCTAAGAGTAATTTCCCCCCCACATTAAATTAAACTTTTAATCTTTCAAAACAAGAAGTCATAATTTTTAATTCTTTTTTTCAAAAACTTTTCGCATTATTTCATAAAATAAATTATATATATTTTTTCATTCGTTAATGGAAACGAAAATTTTTTCCAAAAATTATAAAAGAAAAATTTTGTTAAATTTGCACATTTATAAAATGTGCAAAAACATTTTTTGTAAAACTTCCTTTTCGCCTTACTAAAATGTTAATGTAATGTATACTAATTCGACATTAAAGGTGTGTCGGTCGTAAAATTGAGAGAGAAAAAGCAGAGAAAGCAGGGAATGGGGTAATAATGCACTTAAGTTCACGTTATTCCGGGTTTTAGATCATCACAATATGGAGAGCAATGAAGCAACGAGGCATGCTTATATAGCGAAAACGTCATTCTGGCATAAACGTGAAAATCGTTGGCTGTGGGGAATAGGACAAAAAAATCCCAACTAAACGATTGATTTCTGAATTTTATTCCCTTTGATAAAACTACTGTTTTTTTTTTTTTTATCTTGACATGGATTTTTTTCATTCTTTTGTTCGTTAACATCGATTTTACTATGAAAATTACGTGGAAATTTGAATATGAATATATAAATGAAGGAGAAATATTTCAATATATAATACTGTCGATATATATATATATATAGATGAGAGGAGAATTGAAATTATAAATAAAATTAGCCAATTAGAGCTGCTTAAAGGTTCAGACGAGCATAAAATAATCTCGATTCATTTTATATAATGTTTCATTATTTTCCTCCGATTACATTGTTTTAATAAGTTTATTGTTTGTTTAATACGTTATTATTTTCAAAAAAATACTAATATTCTATAATAAATAATATTTTACTTATTTTTTTAATTGTTGCATATTCTGTTTATTTATAAATAAATATTTAATGAAGTAATAAAGAAATAATAATTATTAGAGCAACAAATGTAAATATAAAAAGTAATAAAAAAAATATGCAAAATTACAACAACAAAAAAATAAAAAAAAAACACATACGGTTAGACATAAAAATAAAAAAAATTGTTAGAAATAAAACTAAAATAAAAGTTGTTAAAAATGGAACGAGAATTTTAAAAAATAGAAAAGGACAATAAATTGTAGGATAACGAAAAATAAATAGGATTTGAAAAACGAATAATAAAAAAAAAGTTATAAAAATTGCTAGAAACAGGAAACGAACGAAAGATAGGAAATTTTTTTTTTTTTTTAATATTTAAGTAAAACTGTAAAGGTAAAAAAATAATATAGAATAAAATGTTCGATAAAAATAAAATAAACTTAATTAAATTTTAACTGAGGATTTGGGTATATATAATCTCAAAAAGGATATTGACGTTTGTTAAATTATAAAAGAGAGACACAAAAACCAATTTCAATTACCACAGTCTCAATTTCATATAGAATTTAATTCCACTATAATTTTCATTAAAAGACTATAATATAGAATCTTTTTTTTTGTGTGTCTTTTCTTTGAAAAATCCATTGGGATTTTCCAGCAGAACAAACCACTCTTACATTTTTCTCTAATCCCCCCACACAATTTCTCGTTTTTTTTTTGCCAGTGAGCATTACCGACAAGCTTAATTGTTATTTCATAAAAGGGTCATAAGGTCATATGAGATTATAAACTGAAAAATACTCGACTGGTACAAGTTTTTTTTTTTATTTTCATCCCCCTTCTGTCCAATGAAACAAGAAAAAAGTACCTATATATATATATATGAAGTTCATCGACACACGTGACATATTTCACAATCCCCCTGAGCCCCCCTCTTTCACTCTTCAACCACAAACTCATGGAATTCTCTGACAAGAGATTTTTGAGAATTTCAGAAATAAGATCAAACAATTTCCGGAATCTAATGAACGGGGGATGCTGCGAGATCAAGTATCGTATGAAAACGTGTAATTAACGTGCTTGAATTTAAAAAAAGACTCAAGTTTCGTAATGATATTTTGAAAAAAAAAATAAAAAGGAAAAATATTTTTAAAAAGTATTTTTTTAAATTAGATTTTTTTAAACTTAAGATAAATGTAACAATATTAAATTCAAACCTATTAATGATTTTCCTAATTACTAATTAAAAATTATATTTTTAAATAAAATAATTATCAAAATAATTTTAAAAATTAAAAGAATTAAATAATTATCAAGAACAAATTACTGTAATTTTTTTTTTAAATTTTGTAATGTTAATGAATAATATAATTTAAAGGAGGTAAGCATATCAAATATAAATTTATATTCGTTAACTTTTGTTTCGAGTCGATCACAAAATTTTCTGTTAATTATTCAATATAGTAATTTAATAATTCCAATTAATTGTAAATGTATCTCTATAGAGAAATTGAACATTGAATATCGATGATACTTTAAATTTATTCACATAAAAAATTGAATATATTATTAAGTAAATCATGATTTAATGTTCCATAATATTTGTTATTAAACTTTGATAATTATAATATTTAAGTTATAGTTAATTAAATCCTTTTTAAAGGAAATTAAAATAAAAACTAATTTTCCCATATTTTCTACTTATTTTAATTAATTATTTTGTTTAGTAAATAAATTTTATATTTTTAAAATAGGAGATAACTTCAGTGTGTTTAGTAACAGAAATTTATAAAAACTAACATAAAGAAAATTTAAAAAATTTACCCGAAACAGCTAAAACATTCTAAAAAAATTTTAACCGTTCCGTGTAAATATTTAATTTTTTTTTTTTGAAACGAACATCAGAAAATATTTTACCATTTGAAGAAACGAGTTTAAAAAAAAAAAACAAAAACGTTAATCCTTTTCTTGAATCGATGTTACTTTAATCGTTGCATAAATATCATAAAACATTATTTATAGGCAACTATCCGTTTATATGTTAATAAATTTATTATTCACCGAAAAAGTAAGAAAAAAAAATAAACTAAAATAGTAAAATTTAACAGTTGATATTTTTCCAAGAAATGTAATTAATTTCACGTGGTTAAACGTATGAGGAATCAGGGCTCGACACAGTTTCCGAAGATGCCGGCGGCTATCCCGGAAGCTCTTGCATTAATGCAAAACCTTACGTGCAACCGCACCATATATACATATACAATGTATATATGTGTGTGTATCTATATACATATAAATAAACTTCGAGGCTCACTGACACGCGCGCTCAGAGGGATTTTCTCAATGAGATATTGATGAGGTCGAAAAATCACTCTTTATCAATAAATTGATGATTATTATTAATGTTTTTCGGGGGCACGAGAAGCGCCTCGCGCGCTCCGAAAGGAGCGTACGTGCGTTCGATTTGCTGCCGGCACGTCGACTGATTCTCTCTCCCTTTATCTCGCTCTTTCTCTTACCCGTTTGCACAGCGTCCTTCTGAACTCCTCCTCAAAACCCCTAACCCCCCCTTATTTCGCCCCCTTTAAACCATCATCTCACCCACAAATGTCTCGTTTCATTTTGTCCTTTTTCTTCAATTTAACACCTTTTTTTATCAAATCGCAAATTCCATTCATTAAAATTCAAAAAATTTACAACGGAAAAAAATAAAATATCTCAAAACGAGAGGAAAAAGATTAATTCTACATTTTATTTTTAATTTACACCCAGAAAAAAGATTTCTTTAAAATCACTTTTTTCGATTTAAAAAAAAATATATTTATTTGATCTAAATTAACGTTTGGTTTATTTTAATAAATTTTACAAATGAAGAAAGAGTTTTTTTGAACGAAATTATTTTTAGTTGATTCAACCAAAAGTTCAACGTTTGTTTCAAAGAAAACTTTTTTCTGAGTGATTTTTAACAATTAGTGAAATTTTTATTTATGTTTATTTTATTGATGTTTATGATTATTTTATTTATTTTTATTTATGTTTTAACTTAGTTTTTGATCAACCCAATAAATGGGTAGATTAAATTTAATTTTATTAATTATGATTGCAATTATTATTAATTGTAGTATTTAGTAGTATTTAGTACTCAATGGTATTTAAAAATAATAATAATAATAATAATAATATTGATAATTAAATGGTTACTACCTGATTAGTTGCAATTAAATGTTAATTACAATGGTAGTTTCATTTAATAATACACTGAAAAAAATTATTATTTGATTTAAATTATCGATTACTTGACTACCATCAAATATTTATAATAAAAAAGAATAGAATTTTTTGTCTCCTTTGTACAGTATTACATATTTTGTACTAACTAATTCCTTATACTACTAAAATACAAATAAAATATAAATGAATTACAAATAAATTACAAAGAAAATACAAATAAATTACAAGTAAAATACAAATAAAATATAAATAATATGCATATAAAATACAAATAATATACAAATATTATACAGATATTATACAAATATTATACAAATAAAATACAAAGAAAATACAAATTAATTACAAATAAAGTACAAATAATATACAAGAGAAAATAAATACTAATACTAAATACAAATGAAATGCAAATAATGTACAAATAAAATACAATTAAATTACACTTAAATTACAATAAGTAATCAATTAAATGGTATTTGTTTCAAATACATAAATTATTAGTTCAAATAAAATTTATTTGGTCCAAGTAAATATTTATTTAATAATAGTCAAGTAAACCGATTATTTTAATCAAATAAATTTTTTTTGCATTGTAGGTATAACTAATGATTACTGTAATAATTGATAGCATTTTTAAAATATTATTTTTATTTCCTCGATTAATTATAGTAAAGTAACCTATTTTTCTGCAGGTTTTTTAACTTTAACTCTTGCACACTCTCATTTCTGGTTTAGGAGAAAAAAAATATTTCGAAATTCTTTGCACGTCGTGCCGATCACAGCTCAATTGGAGGAGCAATCTTTAGGAGGAATCCACCTTCACTCTTTTAAAAATGAAGCTGTAAGACGACAATTGGTAGATTGTGTACCAAAAAATTACGAGTAAACTTTGTGCTAGATATGTGAAAATAGTTAATAGCCATATTTTGTTTTTTTTTTCTTTTTTTAAAAGGATTCTAAATTTATTGTATTTTATAAAGAACAACAATAATAGTACATCTATATCAAAAGGAAGATTTAGAATTACAAGTTTCATCTAAATCGATTTATTTTTTTTTTAGATAAGAAAGTCTTGGATAAAGAGGATTCTGGGATAAAAAGTTTACAACTAAAGGAATCCTTCTTTCAACTCCGTGTGTTATAGTTTGTGTTCACCTATGTCGGACTTTTCTGGTAAGTTTTTTTTGTTATTTCAATTTTCTAAAATAACTTTATCGTAAGAGGATTTTGTTTTTCAAAAAAAAAATTCTAATTATGAATTTATAGTTTTGTTATATCCTTATAATATATATTAGTTAAAATTAAATTGAAGTTAATTGATAATTTAATTATATTAAATGAAAATATTAAGGGAATTTAACTAAAATGGCAATTTCAAATATATCAAAATTAATCCTTCACAAAGCTTATGGTATATAGATGCATACTTGCAAGACAAAATTCACGATAATAGATTCCGTGGCCTAAATTTTGCGAAGGTGGTTTTAAACCATTATGGAGTTTATCTATTTTATTAGCATACACTTGTGAAATATATGATTGTAGTTATCGCTATATAAGATTATAATATCGATCTTGGAACAACAATATTGAATATAATGATAAGAAGAGTGTGAAGTGTAATATATATATATAGCAGAATTTTACAAAAGATAAATCTTGAGTAAAAGTAATTTATGTGTCGGCTACATTAGACCAAATTAGATTACTTACAGGTCATTACGTCCCAACGTAACTTATTACCTTTCATGAACTTATAAATTCTCTAGAATAATTTCCTACTACCTTTAATCTATTTCAAAAATTCCTATAATTATTTTAATTAATCGCAGTTACAGTCGGTTGCAATTACAGTCACTGCAGCATTTACATCCTCCTGTCGTTTTTAATTAAAATTTATAATAATTATTTATAATATTTTACATTATAATAATGTAAAATTATTATTATTATTATTATTATTATTATTATTATTATTATTATTATATTATTGAATTCTAATTAAGATGGATTTTAATTTAGCATAATTCTCGGTTAAAATGGCTTAGTTTCAGTTGTTTTATGAATTATTTTTGAGATTAAATTGTACCACTTGTAAAATTGTAATTGATTTAATTTCTTAAAAATAAGCCATTTATTTAGAAAAATTAAAATAAAATAGTTTTCTTTTACCTGTTAAGAAATGAATTTTCGTATAATTCGTTAATTTTATGATTGATGTTACAGATTTTCAGTGAGTGTGAGATCATCCGAATTTCTAACAATGTTTTTTCTAATTTTTAAAAGTAAATTCACTGAAAAATTCTAAATATTATGTTGGCGAAATATCGCACTATTTGCAGTAAATAAAAAATTTTAACATTTCGAAATTAATATTTCACAAATTAAAAACTAACGTGCTCCATAATAATATTTAAAATACAAAAGGTCCCTTAAAAGAATATTGATTAAATATATTAAATATAAATTAAAGCAGAATTTTCATATAAAAATAAAACAAGCACACAAGTCTGCAAAGTCGAGTTACAAAAAATGTTAAGAGCGATTCTTGTAGATATTTTTCTTTTTTTTTTAATTACAAATAAATTGGATAATCATATGTACCATTTATTTGAATCTCATCGAAGTTAAATAATATTTAAATTCGATTTTGATGAGACAAATTAATTTCTTATTAATTTCATGCTTCAATTAATGTTAAAAAAATAATAGGTAGATGAATCATGATGGATACGGATTTAATTAATTTTCCCAGTAACACCGCACTTAGTTCGATATATCTGTCGCTTCCTCAATCTGTCTAGGTGTATCTTAACTCTCCCACTCTCTCTCTCTCTCTCATTTACTGTCCTACTCTCCTTCACCCCTTTATCAACTTGAAGCTTCATTTTCAGATATGCAGTACTCGAGATATTTGCAAACATGTTCTCAACAATCTTAACGACTCTTGAAATGTTAAAACTATTCAAGGGAGAGAGAGGAGCGAATGAACTGCATATAAATGATAATTAATTTCGACTACTGAAAGGGTACATATTTTAGGAATAATTGCGGTTTTCATATTGGAATTTTGATCCGTATCTAATTGCTCCCATGAAAATCAGTTTCTAACTTTCTTGAATTATTATACATTTAGGAAACAGTTTTTCTTAAAATTAAATCTAATTATTTATTTATAATTTTTTCTTCCTAGAAATAGAAAGAAAAAATTAATTAAAAAAATTGGATTAGTTTAATCTTTTACGGTATTACTTTAATCTTCATTGCTTTTTAATACCTCATAGTTTACTTACATTTAAGTATAAAGAAAACCTTTAATATATATAGAATCAAAGATTGTGAACGGAAGAACAAGAGAAAGCCAATAAAAGTTTAAATTCGATTCGGAAAGGAAATTAAATTTTATCGTGAAGTACTATTTCCGGTGTGGGCAAAACTCAAGTAAATGTTCCAGTAATATTGTTGTAGATTTCAACTTTTTTGGTGGTACTAAACTTCAAATTAGAACCTCATAGATTTTTAAACTAGAAAAAAAATTTTTTTTAATTTAAATTTTGAATTTTGTATAAATTTCTTGTGAACTGAAAAATTATTTCTTCAATTACTTCAGTTGGATGGATTTTTGATAAAAAAATATTTATATTTCATAAATTGCGCAACAGTATGTCTATTGCAATACTTTTATAAATATACGTAATTCTACTTGAGAGAAATGTCGTTTTTGCAATAAGAATGAGCATAATAATAATAATTATTATTTCAAGTTCTTCCGCCTACAAGAAGACTAAGTGCGGTATAAAATCGATATTATTTCGAGATGTAGGATGGGTAGGAAGTGAGTCTATAATAGTAAAGTTATGCAAGCAAGTTTCGTCCTTTATAAGTTCCTATATATAATAAGCCCCAATACCAGTGAAAATACATCCTAAAAATTTTACGCAATAAATCCAAAAATATCTTCTATTTTTAGAATAGAATCAACACTTTTTATCCCTTAAAACAGACTGTCGTTATTAAATAAAATTTTACATCTCCGACAATTTTTTAATTTTGTTCTACTTAAGTAAAATATTTTTTTTTAAATAAAGTTAAAAAATAAATTCTTTGCATATTCGAAGAATTGAAAAGTCTCTTAAATCAAAAAAATATTGTAAAATTATCACGTTTCCCATCCAAAATATAATACGAGAATATTGTTGATGCTTTTGTACAAATTCATCTAAAGGTTTGAGATATACATAACGTTCCTATATACAAGCGTTATCGTTACATCTATCGCATATAATGTCATTCTACAGTTTCTATTTCATTCAATTTCCGGATTTTATTGTAAAATATTATTCAAAAATAATTTTAATTTAATTTTTTTTCTTCTTTTTTAATCCTAATTGATTATAGATATAATATAAATAAATTGTTGATAATAAAATAAAAATTTATTAATTTTTTTCCGAATAGAAAAAAATGAATATTTTTAATAAAAACAAACTACAATCTCTATAAATAAAAGATTCTAATTTAACGAATGAGAAAAAGTATGGAAACGAATTAGAAAAGATTTAATTAAAAGGATATTTCAAGAGGAAATGATCAAAGGATACTGATTGAAATTCCAAGCTATTGCAAAACGACGGACACATATGTGTCTGTTAAATAATCGAGTTTTACTACAAATATACGCAATATGCATACATGTGCAAAGTTTGACAGAATCAGAAACCAATAATCCTAAATCGAATTCTCCCATAGAGTATTTGTTTGCCTCTCTAACCCCTTTGATTTATCTGTCTCTAATATATATATACATATATATAAAATTTCAAGATTTATCGAAACAGAGATTATTTTTATACACATCACAAATTCTACTTTTTCAATAGCATTGATTTTCATTAAAGAAAAATAAAAGATTTCATTTTTCTTTTTTCTGAATAAATAAAGAATTGAAATTGAATTTTTTCGCACAAAAATTCTAAGATCATTGTTTAAAACAACAATAAAAAAATCAAATAAAGATATTCATAGCTGCAGATTGTTAAAATTTTAGAAGCTTGAAAGTTTTGATGTTCAATATTATAGAAGTGTGCAAAATGTGGTGCCGTAAAACTTTAGAGATACAACTATACTCATAACTTGTTTAGTACAACCGGAAGGGCGGCTAAACTTTGTAAACATATTGTGTTGTTTTGCACAATGCATCAATTTTTTTCACAATAATATTAAAATTAATTTCAACAATAATAATAATAATAATAATTAAAAAATATTACAATTTCACTATTTCTATTTAAATAGAAATAAATTAAATAGAGGGTAAATTTTCTTTAATTTATAAAGTTTTTTTAACATTTTGTTTTTCTATAATAAATTGTTTTTAAGAGTTTTTGTTCAATTACAACTTGTAATTTTTTTTTATCTTTCGTTAAATTCTTTTTTTAAATCAAAGTATAAGTCTATTAAGGGTAGGTCAAAGTCGATGCAATTTTTACGTAGAGCTTCAATGGGAAAATTGCATCGACTTTGATATGCCCTTTAATGATAAGAAGCGTACTTATAAAATAAATTGAAAAAAGTTTTTTACTATCAAGAAAACAAGATATAATACAATTGCAATCGTTCATAAATTGTTTTCCCTTAGAAGAAAACACAAAGCTTTGCATTTTTTTCTTCTAACAATTGTTTATATCAGTTTATATCAATTTTTTTCCAAATTAAAAAAAATCTAAAGAATTTTTGCAACACGTCATACAGATCTGTACAAAGTGTAAGTTTCTATAATAGTTACCTACTGATAGGAGCTGTTGTCATACTTTTAAAAAAAATTTTTTTAATAAATTTAAAATATAATTTCTTTATTTAAAGAAAAACGTAGTTTATGAAAATCGTACTATCAGTGATATCTATCGTATTAAAACAATTATATTAAAAAATATCTCAGTTGATAAATTACGACTTACCTTTTGAAATTGTTTTTATCGACAGTGTAAACTTACGTTATTACGTCGATTGTTTATGTTTGTTGAATATATTTAAAAAAATGGCGGCAAATTCAACAACTGATATAAAATTCAAATAAATTATAATAAAATTGTTTAATATAAATAAATTTAGATTATTTTTTAATGCATTCAGATGATATAAAATTTTTATTTTGCAGTGAACTAAAATGGGGTCATATCAGCACAGCCGTTTCTGGTTTTACAAGTTCAGTGGCTTTGGCAATGGAGTTAAATCTTTGTGAATGCATTGATAATAAGGTAGAAAACATCATCGAGTAACTATTTCAATTTTTAAACTTAAAATATAATAAATGAATAAATAAAAATATTTATTTCATGGACAAAAAACATACAAGTTAAACATTTTTTTTAAGGGATCCATGTTTTAATGATCTTTTTGTATACACTGAAAAAAATTTATTTGATTTAAATAATTGTTTACTTGACTACTATCAAATAAATATTTATTTGTGTTAAATAATTATTATTTTAATGGTATTTGTTTTAAATACGAAAATTATTGGTATAAATACAATTTATTTAATTCAAATAAAAATTATTAATTTAAAGTAAATATTTATTTGATAATAATCAACTAATCAATTATTTGAATCGAAAATTTTTTTTTCAGTGTATAAAATAGGTTTAATTGTCATTTATGAGAAGTAAACAACTTTTAATAAAGAACATCTGCAATTTACATCATTTTTTCAATTGATATCAATTATAATTTGATTTTTCCGGAAAAGTGTCGATTCCGCGAAGTCTATTGAGAAGCCAATTTTCATATTTGAATTACATAATAATTGCAATTACTCAAACCATTCTTTATACTTCCTTAACTAAAATGTAAATATTAAAAAAAAAATTTTTTAAATGTTACTAACAAAACTTTATAATTAAATTAACCAAGATTTTATTCAGACAACCAAAAGTTATAGCAAATATTGAAAAAAAAGTATTTTTTTATTCATAAAAAGCTTTGCAAAACAACTTTCTTTTTAATTTCTTTAACGTTAATTTCTCTTTGAAAAAGTAGATCACGACCTGATTGTAGAAAAGTGATTAAACAATTTTTTTTCTTGTTTTAACGGACAAGAATTACAAAAGAGAATGACAATTATCACTTTAATTGCTTACATATATATTGTATTCTTTAATGTATAATTGTTTTTTCCAATTTCATGAGATCAACAAAATAAAAAAAAATTTGCTTTCATTTATTTAATAGAAAAATATGATATTGAAGCCTTGATATAAAAATGTTAATAACCGGATCAAAATTGGATCGTCAGGAAAGTGGAGGAAGTTCCACTATAAAGTCAGAGCGCAATGTTTTATTCGCATTTATATTATTTAAGTCCAAGATGAATGTGCGTTTATTTATGTTTGCGTTGATTTTGTGTCTAATTTTTTTTGTACGTCCACCAGGTGCTTTTGGATATTTATGGCCTAAACAAAATACATATATGACCAGATGGGACAAAGTTAATATTGATGAAATTTTAAACAATAAACGACTTTTGCATCATTATTTTAATTGTCTTATGTCCAAGGGACCATGTCCCCCTGATGGTATGGAATTAAAAAGTGAGTTTTTTTTTCTTTATTAAGTATTTAATAATTTTTGTTCAATTTTCCAATTAAAGAAAATTAATTACTTTTAGAAAAAAATTAATTAATTTTTAACACAGGATCTTTGCCAGAAGCTTTAGCCACAGGTTGTGCTAAATGTACCAAAAGTCAAATTGAAGGAGCAGTAAAAATTATTCGACATCTCAGGTATTAATCATATAAATATTGAAAAATATTATAATAGATTAATAATTAATAATAATAATTAATTAATTATATTATAGTCAATACAAATTAATTTTTTAATAAATAAAAATTAAAAATTATAACATTAAATATTATTTTATTGAAGACTATTTCATGTATGGTTAAAAATTGAGATTTGGATTTAAACTATTGTTTATAGTAAGAAAATTTAAATATAGTTGAAATGTATAAGACGTTCAAGTTGATTTAAAAAAAAGAGAGAGAGAAATTGTATCTGACGTCATTTTAGACAAAGAACGTCATTATAAAAAAAGAACAGGAAATGTTGTGCATGCCATGAACACTAATGATTAAATACTTCACAAATGATGTGACCTATGTATACAATATGTATTTTGAGTTCAAATCAATTGCGTTTTTCTAATTTGACAACAAATTCAAATATAATTAATCTTTTCAATTTTATTCAATTTTTATTAATTTTTATTTCAATAGTAAAAAATTTTGTTTTTTTTCAGGGAATTTGAAGCAGATAAATTTGAAATACTCGCTAATAAATACGATCCACAAGGAATTTATCGACAAAAATACTTTGAACCACCACCTGATGATAATAATGCAGCTTAAAATTAAAAATCTTTCTTTCACTTATTTTTATTTATTTAAAAATTCATAAGTATTCCGATTTTTTTTTTAATTTTGCAATTTAAATATTTTACGACCAAGTATTATTATTATTTAATAACAATAACATAGAATATTAATAATAATATATATGGTACTCGATTATTAATAATTATAAATTATAAAATAATTATTAAAAATTATTTGTATCAATGATAATTTATAAAATAATAATACTTTATTATAAGAACAAATATTTGTTAAATTTTTATTTTTTTTAAAATAAAAAATGAATACAAAAATTTGTTCATAATTTTTAATTTTTCTTGCATTAAATTCATTTATTTATTTATATATAATAAAAATTTATTTTTAAATAAACATATATTACAATAAAAATTTACTTACTTTATATCAGACAATTATTTACATAATTGAATAGTACAAAAAAAAACAAAGAAAACAAATTTTTCTCTTTTCATTTTATACGTGTATATGTTTACAATCTTCAACAACTCCAAATGTTTCCTCAAAACGTTTTCGAATTTGACCAGTTGGATCTTGTTTTTTGAGTATGGCAAGAGATTCATTTGGTCGTTTTTGACAAACATAAGCAGCGTACTCCTTTCCTCGAGAAATGTGAAGAGGCAGACATTTTTTGCAAAGTGTCTCCATTATTTCCGGTACGGCAGCTAGAATTTTTTTTTTTTATTTATGTATATTTGTAGTAATTATATTAGTATAATATAAATTGTCAATATAATTAAAATAATTACAATTACACAGAATAGTTATAAAAAATCATTAATTAGTAACAATTGTTATAATATACAGTAAATAAATTAATAATTATTATAATATACAATTAGTTAATAAACAATTGTTTACAATAATTGTAGTAATAATAATTATTAATTAATTGTGAAAATAATTACTATTCAAAACAATAATTGTAATTATTAATAGTTATAAATTTTTTTTAAATTTTCATAATTAAAAAAAGAGAAATTAATCTTACTTTTTATTTGTGTAGCTTCCTTTGGACATCCCTTCATTTTATCCGAAATAATACATTCTGTGTATTTCTTAAATAATCGATCATTATCGACAATTGGTTTTATGTCAATTTCAACCCATCTTATTGGATAATGTTCTGTATCTTCTGCTTGAACACTAATTAATGCCAAAACACTGACGAGAACAAATGATAAAATTCCCATTTTTGAAAAAAATATATATTTCTAACTATTCCGTTGTGTATTTCGAGTGAGCGCTTAATCAAGAATGTTATTTTTATAGGTAAGAAGGAGACTTTTATATTCTACGTAGTGATTTTTTGAACTTGAATAATTTTATAAACGAGTTAACACAATATTGACTTTATTCTAACATGGAGGGTAAGAGAAGGGGAGTTGATGAAAAAAACTTGTTAATCAAGAGATCTGAAGACAAAAAAAAATTGTATTGACTTACGTCATTCGAGAGCATTTTAATTCAGAATAATGCTAAACCAATAATTATTTATACTAATTTGATGGAAAGCTTTTATATTATTATTATAAACGAGGTGTTGACAGTCACACGAAATTTACATTTTTCACTAGAAGATATTTCATCCTGATGATTAATTATCTGATGAAACATTTCTAATGATATATGTTTAACCACTCTTTCACAATTTTTTATACTTTTTCAGAATTCTGCATTTTTTTTGTTGCAAAAAATCATAAATTGAAAAAGAAAATAATATTTAATATTGTGAACTGAGTAATATTTACTTCAATTGTTTTGACATAATAAAAAATAATATAATAATAAAAATAATATAATAAAAATAATAATATTATGAATATAAATTATAATAAAATATAATAATATAATATAATAATATATTAAACATATTTACAAATAATCACACATATCATATAATCATCAAATAATAGTCATAAAAAGTTAAAAGTAAAAAACTTGAAAAATAAGAATAAAATCAAAAAAGAGATGATAAATTATTCAAATTGTATCTGCAGTTTTCGTGCAAGTCATTTACATCTCAAAGACAAATAAAGGCAAAAAAGAAAAAGAATTGAAATGAAAAATATTAAAGATTTATCCTCACTTCTGATAGAAAAGGTTGGATAAATTAAAAATTTTGAATTAATTATAAAATTTATAAAATATATTATTTTTTTAAAATGTCATCTGAGCCATTTCTAAAATTTATTATTTAAGAGAAAAAAACTAATATTTTTTTTGTTTTAAAAAATTATATCATCAGACCCGTCACACGCAATGTTACTTTTTTTTTATCGATAATCCTGATATAATGAATTCTTTTTAAAGAAAGAAAACAAATCCTTAGAAAATGAACAAAAGTGTAAATGTATTGAACAAGTTTTTTGCAAATTAAATGGCTATTCCAAATCGATAAATTCAAAACAGGATGTGACCCTGGATCAAGTAAACTATCTTTGTGTTGACAAAGAATCTAAACAAGAACAAATTCATAAAAATGAATCGATTCAAGAAAACAATAATTATCATTTGCAGGAAATCGAATTGTTAAGTATTTAATAACTTTTGTTTAAAAAAAATTTTATTATACTAATTAATTTGTTTTTGAACAATTAAATTATTATTTGAAAAATTTAACCATTTTTTTCAGAGACATCGATTCAAAATTAGAAAAAATAGTGAAAATCATTCAAGAAACATTGAATCAAGCTTTGATATTTAGACAAAAAGAAATTATTTCCTCTAATTCTGAAATTATAATTACAAATTATTTAGAGCCTTTCAACAATGAACATTATCAAGAAGAATCAAAAAGTAATTTTTTTGAAGAAAGCAATAATTGCTCGCTACTAAATTTGCAACAAATTAATTATCATAATTATAGCGAGACTAATAAATTGGCTTCACGTAAAATCAAAGGTCAAAAAATAAAAAAAGTAGGAACTTATACAATGTATAAAGTATAAACATATTTATCTAATCCTTACAAATAATCACACCTTTGATTCTTGTTTTTGTTATTTTTTCTATAATTATTTTTAATTGCAAAATTCATCTAATTAAAAAAAAAATTATTTTAGCCCGAATCTATTATTTCTGATCAAGACATAAAAATATGTAAATGTCAAGAACGGATAATTTTCAATTATGATGATAATTACGAAAATCTTTCATGTCTTCAAGAACCTATTGAATTATTTAAATTGAATTATTTGGGAAAATCTGAAGAAATTGGAAAATGGGGTTCAGATTTAAAAAAAAATCCAAAAATTTCGAAAAATGAGTGTCATTTTCAAATGAGAAATGAAAAAAGAAGAATATTTTTTCCAAATAGCATTTGTAGTGATGATTTCGATAATCTGAATCGTTTTCATGAAATTAGAAATCAGGGGTTTTCTACACTGTGCAGAAAAATGATGAGATGGTTATTTTTTTAATTATAATAAATTTAATATTACCTAATATTATTTAAGTATTAAAAAATATTTTATTAATCCCTAAGGACCAATTGTGTAACAAAAACATTAAATAAGACAAAAAAATTTCCCCACGTGGTTGTTCATTTACCATCATTTGCTTGTCCTAATGAATTCAGATGTCGGGCAGAAAAAACGTATCAATCTTTACAGAATATTCAAGTGAGTTTTATAAACATTGTTTTTAAAAGTAAATATAGAAATAAATTATTAAAAAAAATTAAAATTATTGAATAGATTGGACGTTTAGGATGGTTGGAAAATAAAGCTTCGCAAGTACTTTATATTTGTCCTGATGACACGAATTTGAATATTTCTTTAATTCAAAAATTAGTAACTCTTGTAAGACCTGATGTTAATTTCGATAATTTGTGGATAATTAAAACAGAGGAAAACAAGTACGTTAAAAAAAATTAAAAGTTAAAACAAATTAGAAATTTATTAAAATTTTTAATTTAAATAAATTTACTTATTAAAATATAATTAATTTTTATAAAAAAAAAGTCTAAAAGGAAACTGTATGAGTGGTTGTGAAAATTTCTTCTTCACTCCAGCGACTTATCGTAGAGTGAGATATTTAACAGCAGGACGTCAAGCTTTTATAGTGCCAGGAATTTTAAGCGAAATGGACATTCTTGTTGCTAGTGAATTAAAAATGGCTATTTTTGGTAACTAATTAATAATTTGGTATATGAGTTAGAAACATCAATAAAAAAATATTGTCTATAGGTCCGTGTCTGACTTTTCAAAATAGATTGCTAAATAAAAATTATACAATGAATGTTCTTTATGAGGCAAAAATCAAACAACCACCCTTTATGGGAGTTATTAATTTTAAAGAAGTAATAATCATTATTTTATTTCTATTTAATAAAAAAAAATTTAATATAAAAAATATAAAAAATTAAAAATATAAAATTTCCAACTAGCTCTGTTCAAATTTAGCAAAAATGATTTTAACTCATCCTCTGTATAAATTATGGTTTATTAAAATAAATTTCGGTCATTATGGTCATCAAACGGCACTATATCGAATTAATAAAGAATTGAGAGAAAAAATTAATAATTTTTTGGTAAGATAATTTTATTGTAATTTGAAATTATTTTTTTATTATTATTAATTGCTTTTAGCTTATTTATTGAATCTTTACTTTGTTGGAAGAAAATTATAACTATGTATGTAATATTTTTTTTTTCTTTTTTTTAATATTTTGCATTCTCGATAATTATGAAAAAAAAAATTTTTTTAATTATGTAACTATATAATTAGTACTCGTTTGTCTTATTAGCTCAGTGAGAAAGAATTGGAAAGTATTCTTGCAGTTTTATTGTACAAGGACATTCAATGCAATAAAGAAATTTATAAAAAATCTAAACATTTTTTTGACGACTTGGAAATTTATGGTATAAAATTTTTTAATTCTTTAATTTTTAATTAAATTTTTTTAAAAATTAAATTAATTTAATTAATTCTAATACAATTATAAAATTATAATTTTTAAAAGGTGGAATTTTACAAGCGTGTCCCAATGGAGAATATCATGTAATTAGTGTGGGGCTTTTAAATGAACACGACACAGCTGAACCGCTTTTGATTGCAACTGCTGATGTGATAAAACTTAAAAATAATATCATTACAAATGTTGGTTATATTATACCACAATCAAAAATACCACAAGAAAATATTGAAAAATTATCAAAACAAATAGGAGAAATTATTCTTCAAGAGCAATATATTGGATTTTATGGCATTGACATTATTGCCTTCGAAAATGAAGAAAAGGTAATTTTTTCATTTAATTTTAAAATACTTTTTTTTCAAAATAGAATGCAAAATGATTAAAAAAAATTGTATTATTTTATTTTTAAAAGGTTCAAGAATTGTGGGTTGTTAATGTAAATCCCTACTATACAGACTTATTATCATTCAATGATTGGAAATTATTTTGTTCTAAACAATGTTCTTGTTGTCCTTCAACGTAAGTTTATATATTATATATTATAAAATAAATGAATAAAAGTCAAATATAAATAAACAAATTATGAATAATAATAATAATAATTATTATTATTATTATTATTATTTATTAATTATTATATGTAATTAATAGAAAAGTGGAAAAAAATTATGCCGTTTGCAGTGGAAAATTATACACTTCCGGTTTATCAAAATATTGTGGTGAAGAGTTTATTGCTTGTTGCAAAACATACTACGATCATAAGGTATATTAATGTCAATTAAAAAATTAATAACATGCCATAATACTATTTTACACGATAATAAATTCGTTTGAAGGATCATTACTTCGAAATAAGAAATTCTAATCAATTTTTTTTCCTTATTAATATTGTGTAATAATCAACGTGATTAATTTCAAATTCTTATCAAGTTTCAAGTGTTTAGCTTATTATACTTGTTCAATTGAATTTATCAGATCGATAATTATATATATATATACAAATATTAATTAAATAATAAATAATTAAAATAACGAAATATTATAATAATTATTTATTACTCATAATAAATAATAATAATTTTTTTATTTATATTATGATTTAATTAAATTTAAATTAATTAAATAATAATAATGAATTGTTACTTGCATATTTTTAATGTTTTTTTTTTTCAAGGAAAAATCTGGCACCATTTTGTGTCCCATTGACTACAACAATAGAGCAATTTTTCTCTTCTCGCTAAATTCAAATAGAAAAATTGCAATAAAAAAATTTATCGAAATTTTAAGGATTTTGACAAAACTTTCATTAGAAATTCCATCAAATAAATTACATCATTCAAACATACCGGTAAGCATTAAAAAAAATTGTTATGGATTAATTTGTAAAATTAATGAATCGAACAAAAAATTTAATAGTACCTTTATATATGAATGATTGGTTAATATATTTACATATAAATATTTTTTTTCCATTTTGATATCAGCAATTGTCAAGGGAACTGGAGAAAAACGAATTATGTAATTTTGCAAATTGACTAATAACTGCATATTTACTCACGTACACACTTGAAATCGAAGTAAGAATATTTTTTCATTTATTACGATATTATAAAGTATTTTTATTTCTTTATAGAATATTTTTTTTAAATTTGAAAGTAATAAAATACGAAAAGATAATATAACGGTAACAAATGACGAAATTTTTATGTGTGTATATGAGGAGAATACATTGAAAAAAAAATATTTTGTAATATTTTTTTCTAAAAAACAGTAAAAAATAGTATATTTTGACAATTTTTCTTAATCAAGAAAAAATGTAAATGTTTTATTTTTTACCATTTATTTATGTATATAATAATTTTTTTTCAATGTATTGGACTAGAAAGTAAGCTGGTATATTTTGTTATTAAAATCTAATAATTAATTTAATTATTTTTGTAATACTTAAAATTATTTATCAACTAGAATATTAAATTTATATTTACGAAGGCTTGTAGATATCACTATAGTTTTGGACCATCTGTTATTAATCATGGTTTTAATTACCTCACAAAAAAAAATGTTTTTGTGCTTCGATTTTTCATTGGACGGATTTTTTCTTCAAGGCACTATTATATTTCGTCTTCTTCATTTCTTTTTTTAACCAACTTTGGAAAAAGAAAAACAAAGAGGAAAACTGCTTTCTCGAAGACTTCACAATAAAGTACACGTCCTTGACTGAAAATTTAAAATATATATTTTTTTTAAAACAATTTCATTCGGATTTCTTTTAACAAATAAAATTAATTTAATAATTAATTTCTCCCCAGATATTTTTCAAAGACAATATAAAATAATTTAATAAATTTGTTTTACCTTTGACTTCAAGTTTGATGCAGTGAGCTCTTTGGTTCCATTCACAGCTTCCTGTTGCTTTTTACTTTTAAATAATCTCGACATTTTTCCTAAAAGAAAATTTATTATTTACATTATTTTGAAATTAAAACTTAATTAACCAATTATTTTGTTTGAATCTCAAAATTAATACAATAAAATCGGGACGCATGAATAAGTCTAATAAAATTGTATTAAATGAAAATTCTAACGATATTGAAAACTTATTCATGCGTCTCATAAAATCACCTGTTTTTGAAGCTGGCAATTGAACATCATCAGCATCATCAATAATATCTTGATCTTCAATTTTCTCCTCATCGCCATTATTATTTTTATTAATTTTTTCTTCGCCATTTTTCATTCCATTGGTAACTTGTTCATCGCCTCTACGTTCTGACGTTGCCGATCGAGTTTTTTGTGTATCAACCGATCCAATTGAAGAAGTATCTTCCTTCAATTCATTCACCATTCTTTCTTCGATTTCAGTAATTAATTCTGAATCGTCATTTTTCACTGGTGTCGATGGTAGTGTCGATGAATTACTTTCAGTACCGGATTTTTGTCGTGGTGGTTTCGGCGGTGGTTTCATAATTGGTGGTGAAATTGGTTTTTCAATTCTCTCCTCTGCCATGGCAATTTCTTCGGATCCATCTTCAACTTTTTCTTTTTCTTCTTTAGATTTTTCATTTTCAATAGGCATTGTATCTGGATCGGAAGACATTGTATTCATCAATGATTCCATATTTTCTTTCTCATTATTTTCAATATCTGCTTTTTCTTCAATATTATCATCCTCAATATTTGGGGAATTCTTTTCTGCGATTTCTTCATTTTTAGTTGAATTGTCGTTTACGTTCATAGTCACAATGTCAACTGAACTAGTTTTATTATTTTCTGCGCATTCACTCGTTTCCGTGTCTTTTATCGCTTCATCTTTTATTTTATCAGTGTTTGTATCGATTTCTTGCGTGCTCTCATTTTCCACTTGTTCCGTATAATTTCCTGTTTGGAGCCTGTTAATCGGTACTTTAAGGGGCGGTAGGGGATTTTTCTTCTGTGCTGAGGGGTCCTAAAAAAAGCAAAATTAAGTTCAAGGCCTTTCGAATGATTAGATTAAAATCGAAAACTTTTTTTCAATTCGCAATTTAATTAATAATTATTCTTACGGAAAAAAAATTTATTTGATTAAAATAATCGACTATTATAAAATAAATTTATTTTAAAGACAGTTCAAATACAGATATTTATTTGATAATAGTAATCGATTATTTGAATTTAATAAATTTCTTTTTTCAGTGTTTATCTAATAATAGTTGACATTCATTTTTGAATTAATTCTCTGTTTTATATACTTTGTAATTTTGAGAGTGAAATTTTAGTAATATTCTCTTTCATTCAATTTTATACTAAAAGTGCATTTCTGATCGTAAATATTTTGAGGAAAGGCATCACGTGTTGACTTGCATGTAACGTAAACATATGTGCTGTAGAATTTTATGAGCAACTTAAATTTATATTTAGAACCTCGACACGTGTTAAACAGAAATTAATATTAAAAATTATAGTTGACTAGTAAGGTAACTGCAAATTTGAATAATAGATAAAAGTATATATAATGTAAAATGTATACATGTAAAAAGCATATATAAAGTATAAAATTGAATATATGAAACTTGAAAAATTAAAATAAAAAAAAAAAATTAATCAAATAAATAATACCATTTGAATTGACGAATCTCTTCTTCGACCAATTAAAATTGTATGGCAGCCTCCACAAGAAACATTTGTAACGAAAAGATCTTGATATCTGGCAGCAAAAGTTAGTTCATGAACATTGTTCTCATTTTCTTCTAATCCCAATTTTCCATGCCTTCCATCACCACAGGTGAAAATTTTACCATTATCTTTAAATCATTAAAATTAATTATTAAATCAATGTCAAAAATTTTTTTAAATTAAATATTATTTTCTCACCAGTCAAAATTGCACTATGACTCTCGCCGCATGATATTTTCGATATCATTTCATTTTGTAAAATATCCAATGGAAGAAGATTCGGTGTTTGTAGTTCGGTCACATTTGTACCCAAACCAAGTTGACCACTTGAATTACTTCCCATGCAATAAATACCACCATCCTCTAAAAGGAAAAACAATTTTCTTTTAATAAATTAATAATTATTTATTAATAATAATAATTATTATTATTTCAATAATTTTGATTAAAATAAAATAATTCTTTTTTCTCAAAATCTTTACCAGTTAATATAAGAGTATGATGACCACCACAAGCAATTTTTGTCACTAATTTTGGAAGTTGAATTTGTTTAGGTGCAGCTTGTGTTGAAAATTTTACATCTATTCCCAATTTGCCACTTTCAGACTCACCGCAAATATAAACAAGGCCACTTTCTAAACAATGAAAACATTTAAAAAAATTTTATATGTATTTGTATTTTATAAAGTTTAGATAAAATAAATTTTTTTTACCAGTGAGAAAAGCGGAATGATAATATCCAGCGCTGATTTGTTTAATTTTATCGGGTATCTGGACTTTTGTGGGTTTATTAACAAGACCAGTTGTGCCTGGGAGACCAAGTTGTCCTTCCAAATTACTTCCCCAAACATAAACTGATCCATCGCCTGTTAAAATCATTGAATGATGAGATCCAGCTGATAATTGAATAACTTTTGGTCCAACAATTCCACAATCATGAACCATTACTGGTGAACTCGAACTATCACCAACTGCATTACTTCCTCTTCCTAATTGTCCCTCCTGATCGCTGCCACATGCAAATATTTTCTGTCCGGCTAAAATAAAAAATAATTATATTTTCTATTAATTAAAATTTTGTGATGAATAAAAATTATATTTAATTCCTAATTATTTTGCTTCCTCGTGGAGGAAGCTTTGTAGTCCTTAAATTGATAGAACTTTTCAAAGTGGCGGAAACAAATTTTTTTCTTTATAGAAACATGTAACATGAGATCCTGAACAATTGTCCGGATGTATGTATGTGAGTGTGTGTGTGTGTGTGTAGATCCCTTTTTTGTTTAGAAGATAACTTTAACAGGTTTTAATGGATTTAGTCTGCCTAAGAAAAATTGAATTTTTTTGAAAATTTTTTTTTTACGAAAATCGCTTTAATGGTCATAAAATTGGTGTTCCTCTACTCGGATCGGGCTGTCAATTTTTTTCTACACTTTTAGGTGTATTTTGTGCAAGAAATTGTAATAAAATAGTCTGCCTAAGAAAAATTGAATTTTTTTGAAAATTTTTTTTTTACGAAAATCGCTTTAATGGTCATAAAATTGGTGTTCCTCTACTCGGATCGGGCTGTCAATTTTTTTCTACACTTTTAGGTGTATTTTGTGCAAGAAATTGTAATAAAATAGTCTGCCTAAGAAAAATTGAATTTTTTTGAAAATTTTTTTTTTACGAAAATCGCTTTAATGGTCATAAAATTGGTGTTCCTCTACTCGGATCGGGCTGTCAATTTTTTTCTACACTTTTAGGTGTATTTTGTGCAAGAAATTGAAATAAAATAGTGTGCCTAAGAAAAATTGAATTTTTTTGAAAATTTTTTTTTTACGAAAATCGCTTTAATGGTCATAAAATTGGTGTTCCTCTACTCGGATCGGGCTGTCAATTTTTTTCTACACTTTTAGGTGTATTTTGTGCAAGAAATTGAAATAAAATAGTGTGCCTAAGAAAAATTGAATTTTTTTGAAAATTTTTTTTTTACGAAAATCGCTTTAATGGTCATAAAATTGGTGTTCCTCTACTCGGATCGGGCTGTCAATTTTTTTCTACACTTTTAGGTGTATTTTGTGCAAGAAATTGAAATAAAATAGTGTGCCTAAGAAAAATTGAATTTTTTTGAAAATTTTTTTTTTACGAAAATCGCTTTAATGGTCATAAAATTGGTGTTCCTCTACTCGGATCGGGCTGTCAATTTTTTTCTACACTTTTAGGTGTATTTTGTGCAAGAAATTGAAATAAAATAGTGTGCCTAAGAAAAATTGAATTTTTTTGAAAATTTTTTTTTTACGATAAAAGCTATAAAGGTCAAAATATAGGTCTTCCTCTACTCGGATCGGGCTGTCAATTTTTTTCTACACTTTTAGGTGTATTTTGTGCAAGAAATTGAAATAAAATAGTGTGCCTAAGAAAAATTGAATTTTTTTGAAAATTTTTTTTTTACGAAAATCGCTTTAATGGTCATAAAATTGGTGTTCCTCTACTCGGATCGGGCTGTCAATTTTTTTCTACACTTTTAGGTGTATTTTGTGCAAGAAATTGTAATAAAATAGTCTGCCTAAGAAAAATTGAATTTTTTTGAAAATTTTTTTTTTACGAAAATCGCTTTAATGGTCATAAAATTGGTGTTCCTCTACTCGGATCGGGCTGTCAATTTTTTTCTACACTTTTAGGTGTATTTTGTGCAAGAAATTGAAATAAAATAGTGTGCCTAAGAAAAATTGAATTTTTTTGAAAATTTTTTTTTTACGATAAAAGCTATAAAGGTCAAAATATAGGTCTTCCTCTACTCGGATCGGGCTGTCAATTTTTTTCTACACTTTTAGGTGTATTTTGTGCAAGAAATTGAAATAAAATAGTGTGCCTAAGAAAAATTGAATTTTTTTGAAAATTTTTTTTTTACGAAAATCGCTTTAATGGTCATAAAATTGGTGTTCCTCTACTCGGATCGGGCTGTCAATTTTTTTCTACACTTTTAGGTGTATTTTGTGCAAGAAATTGTAATAAAATAGTCTGCCTAAGAAAAATTGAATTTTTTTGAAAATTTTTTTTTTACGAAAATCGCTTTAATGGTCATAAAATTGGTGTTCCTCTACTCGGATCGGGCTGTCAATTTTTTTCTACACTTTTAGGTGTATTTTGTGCAAGAAATTGTAATAAAATAGTCTGCCTAAGAAAAATTAAATTTTTTTGAAAATTTTTTTTTTACGATAAAAGCTATAAAGGTCAAAATATAGGTCTTCCTCTACTCGGATCGGGCTGTCAATTTTTTTCTACACTTTTAGGTGTATTTTGTGCAAGAAATTGAAATAAAATAGTGTGCCTAAGAAAAATTGAATTTTTTTGAAAATTTTTTTTTTACGAAAATCGCTTTAATGGTCATAAAATTGGTGTTCCTCTACTCGGATCGGGCTGTCAATTTTTTTCTACACTTTTAGGTGTATTTTGTGCAAGAAATTGAAATAAAATAGTGTGCCTAAGAAAAATTGAATTTTTTTGAAAATTTTTTTTTTACGAAAATCGCTTTAATGGTCATAAAATTGGTGTTCCTCTACTCGGATCGGGCTGTCAATTTTTTTCTACACTTTTAGGTGTATTTTGTGCAAGAAATTGTAATAAAATAGTCTGCCTAAGAAAAATTAAATTTTTTTGAAAATTTTTTTTTTACGATAAAAGCTATAAAGGTCAAAATATAGGTCTTCCTCTACTCGGATCGGGCTGTCAATTTTTTTCTACACTTTTAGGTGTATTTTGTGCAAGAAATTGAAATAAAATAGTGTGCCTAAGAAAAATTGAATTTTTTTGAAAATTTTTTTTTTACGAAAATCGCTTTAATGGTCATAAAATTGGTGTTCCTCTACTCGGATCGGGCTGTCAATTTTTTTCTACACTTTTAGGTGTATTTTGTGCAAGAAATTGAAATAAAATAGTGTGCCTAAGAAAAATTGAATTTTTTTGAAAATTTTTTTTTTACGAAAATCGCTTTAATGGTCATAAAATTGGTGTTCCTCTACTCGGATCGGGCTGTCAATTTTTTTCTACACTTTTAGGTGTATTTTGTGCAAGAAATTGAAATAAAATAGTGTGCCTAAGAAAAATTGAATTTTTTTGAAAATTTTTTTTTTACGATAAAAGCTATAAAGGTCAAAATATAGGTCTTCCTCTACTCGGATCGGGCTGTCAATTTTTTTCTACACTTTTAGGTGTATTTTGTGCAAGAAATTGAAATAAAATAGTGTGCCTAAGAAAAATTGAATTTTTTTGAAAATTTTTTTTTTACGAAAATCGCTTTAATGGTCATAAAATTGGTGTTCCTCTACTCGGATCGGGCTGTCAATTTTTTTCTACACTTTTAGGTGTATTTTGTGCAAGAAATTGAAATAAAATAGTGTGCCTAAGAAAAATTGAATTTTTTTGAAAATTTTTTTTTTACGAAAATCGCTTTAATGGTCATAAAATTGGTGTTCCTCTACTCGGATCGGGCTGTCAATTTTTTTCTACACTTTTAGGTGTATTTTGTGCAAGAAATTGAAATAAAATAGTGTGCCTAAGAAAAATTGAATTTTTTTGAAAATTTTTTTTTTACGAAAATCGCTTTAATGGTCATAAAATTGGTGTTCCTCTACTCGGATCGGGCTGTCAATTTTTTTCTACACTTTTAGGTGTATTTTGTGCAAGAAATTGTAATAAAATAGTCTGCCTAAGAAAAATTGAATTTTTTTGAAAATTTTTTTTTTACGAAAATCGCTTTAATGGTCATAAAATTGGTGTTCCTCTACTCGAATCGGGCTGTCAATTTTTTTCTACACTTTTAGGTGTATTTTGTGCAAGAAATTGTAATAAAATAGTCTGCCTAAGAAAAATTAAATTTTTTTGAAAATTTTTTTTTTACGATAAAAGCTATAAAGGTCAAAATATAGGTCTTCCTCTACTCGGATCGGGCTGTCAATTTTTTTCTACACTTTTAGGTGTATTTTGTGCAAGAAATTGAAATAAAATAGTGTGCCTAAGAAAAATTGAATTTTTTTGAAAATTTTTTTTTTACGAAAATCGCTTTAATGGTCATAAAATTGGTGTTCCTCTACTCGGATCGGGCTGTCAATTTTTTTCTACACTTTTAGGTGTATTTTGTGCAAGAAATTGTAATAAAATAGTCTGCCTAAGAAAAATTAAATTTTTTTGAAAATTTTTTTTTTACGATAAAAGCTATAAAGGTCAAAATATAGGTCTTCCTCTACTCGGATCGGGCTGTCAATTTTTTTCTACACTTTTAGGTGTATTTTGTGCAAGAAATTGAAATAAAATAGTGTGCCTAAGAAAAATTGAATTTTTTTGAAAATTTTTTTTTTACGAAAATCGCTTTAATGGTCATAAAATTGGTGTTCCTCTACTCGGATCGGGCTGTCAATTTTTTTCTACACTTTTAGGTGTATTTTGTGCAAGAAATTGTAATAAAATAGTCTGCCTAAGAAAAATTGAATTTTTTTGAAAATTTTTTTTTTACGAAAATCGCTTTAATGGTCATAAAATTGGTGTTCCTCTACTCGAATCGGGCTGTCAATTTTTTTCTACACTTTTAGGTGTATTTTGTGCAAGAAATTGTAATAAAATAGTCTGCCTAAGAAAAATTAAATTTTTTTGAAAATTTTTTTTTTACGATAAAAGCTATAAAGGTCAAAATATAGGTCTTCCTCTACTCGGATCGGGCTGTCAATTTTTTTCTACACTTTTAGGTGTATTTTGTGCAAGAAATTGAAATAAAATAGTGTGCCTAAGAAAAATTGAATTTTTTTGAAAATTTTTTTTTTACGAAAATCGCTTTAATGGTCATAAAATTGGTGTTCCTCTACTCGGATCGGGCTGTCAATTTTTTTCTACACTTTTAGGTGTATTTTGTGCAAGAAATTGTAATAAAATAGTCTGCCTAAGAAAAATTAAATTTTTTTGAAAATTTTTTTTTTACGATAAAAGCTATAAAGGTCAAAATATAGGTCTTCCTCTACTCGGATCGGGCTGTCAATTTTTTTCTACACTTTTAGGTGTATTTTGTGCAAGAAATTGAAATAAAATAGTGTGCCTAAGAAAAATTGAATTTTTTTGAAAATTTTTTTTTTACGAAAATCGCTTTAATGGTCATAAAATTGGTGTTCCTCTACTCGGATCGGGCTGTCAATTTTTTTCTACACTTTTAGGTGTATTTTGTGCAAGAAATTGTAATAAAATAGTCTGCCTAAGAAAAATTGAATTTTTTTGAAAATTTTTTTTTTACGAAAATCGCTTTAATGGTCATAAAATTGGTGTTCCTCTACTCGAATCGGGCTGTCAATTTTTTTCTACACTTTTAGGTGTATTTTGTGCAAGAAATTGTAATAAAATAGTCTGCCTAAGAAAAATTAAATTTTTTTGAAAATTTTTTTTTTACGATAAAAGCTATAAAGGTCAAAATATAGGTCTTCCTCTACTCGGATCGGGCTGTCAATTTTTTTCTACACTTTTAGGTGTATTTTGTGCAAGAAATTGAAATAAAATAGTGTGCCTAAGAAAAATTGAATTTTTTTGAAAATTTTTTTTTTACGAAAATCGCTTTAATGGTCATAAAATTGGTGTTCCTCTACTCGGATCGGGCTGTCAATTTTTTTCTACACTTTTAGGTGTATTTTGTGCAAGAAATTGTAATAAAATAGTCTGCCTAAGAAAAATTAAATTTTTTTGAAAATTTTTTTTTTACGATAAAAGCTATAAAGGTCAAAATATAGGTCTTCCTCTACTCGGATCGGGCTGTCAATTTTTTTCTACACTTTTAGGTGTATTTTGTGCAAGAAATTGAAATAAAATAGTGTGCCTAAGAAAAATTGAATTTTTTTGAAAATTTTTTTTTTACGAAAATCGCTTTAATGGTCATAAAATTGGTGTTCCTCTACTCGGATCGGGCTGTCAATTTTTTTCTACACTTTTAGGTGTATTTTGTGCAAGAAATTGTAATAAAATAGTCTGCCTAAGAAAAATTGAATTTTTTTGAAAATTTTTTTTTTACGAAAATCGCTTTAATGGTCATAAAATTGGTGTTCCTCTACTCGGATCGGGCTGTCAATTTTTTTCTACACTTTTAGGTGTATTTTGTGCAAGAAATTGTAATAAAATAGTCTGCCTAAGAAAAATTAAATTTTTTTGAAAATTTTTTTTTTACGATAAAAGCTATAAAGGTCAAAATATAGGTCTTCCTCTACTCGGATCGGGCTGTCAATTTTTTTCTACACTTTTAGGTGTATTTTGTGCAAGAAATTGAAATAAAATAGTGTGCCTAAGAAAAATTGAATTTTTTTGAAAATTTTTTTTTTACGAAAATCGCTTTAATGGTCATAAAATTGGTGTTCCTCTACTCGGATCGGGCTGTCAATTTTTTTCTACACTTTTAGGTGTATTTTGTGCAAGAAATTGAAATAAAATAGTGTGCCTAAGAAAAATTGAATTTTTTTGAAAATTTTTTTTTTACGAAAATCGCTTTAATGGTCATAAAATTGGTGTTCCTCTACTCGGATCGGGCTGTCAATTTTTTTCTACACTTTTAGGTGTATTTTGTGCAAGAAATTGAAATAAAATAGTGTGCCTAAGAAAAATTGAATTTTTTTGAAAATTTTTTTTTTACGAAAATCGCTTTAATGGTCATAAAATTGGTGTTCCTCTACTCGGATCGGGCTGTCAATTTTTTTCTACACTTTTAGGTGTATTTTGTGCAAGAAATTGAAATAAAATAGTGTGCCTAAGAAAAATTGAATTTTTTTGAAAATTTTTTTTTTACGATAAAAGCTATAAAGGTCAAAATATAGGTCTTCCTCTACTCGGATCGGGCTGTCAATTTTTTTCTACACTTTTAGGTGTATTTTGTGCAAGAAATTGAAATAAAATAGTGTGCCTAAGAAAAATTGAATTTTTTTGAAAATTTTTTTTTTACGAAAATCGCTTTAATGGTCATAAAATTGGTGTTCCTCTACTCGGATCGGGCTGTCAATTTTTTTCTACACTTTTAGGTGTATTTTGTGCAAGAAATTGTAATAAAATAGTGTGCCTAAGAAAAATTGAATTTTTTTGAAAATTTTTTTTTTACGAAAATCGCTTTAATGGTCATAAAATTGGTGTTCCTCTACTCGGATCGGGCTGTCAATTTTTTTCTACACTTTTAGGTGTATTTTGTGCAAGAAATTGAAATAAAATAGTGTGCCTAAGAAAAATTGAATTTTTTTGAAAATTTTTTTTTACGAAAATCGCTTTAATGGTCATAAAATTGGTGTTCCTCTACTCGGATCGGGCTGTCAATTTTTTTCTACACTTTTAGGTGTATTTTGTGCAAGAAATTGAAATAAAATAGTGTGCCTAAGAAAAATTGAATTTTTTTGAAAATTTTTTTTTACGAAAATCGCTTTAATGGTCATAAAATTGGTGTTCCTCTACTCGGATCGGGCTGTCAATTTTTTTCTACACTTTTAGGTGTATTTTGTGCAAGAAATTGAAATAAAATAGTGTGCCTAAGAAAAATTGAATTTTTTTGAAAATTTTTTTTTACGAAAATCGCTTTAATGGTCATAAAATTGGTGTTCCTCTACTCGGATCGGGCTGTCAATTTTTTTCTACACTTTTAGGTGTATTTTGTGCAAGAAATTGTAATAAAATAGTCTGCCTAAGAAAAATTAAATTTTTTTGAAAATTTTTTTTTTACGATAAAAGCTATAAAGGTCAAAATATAGGTCTTCCTCTACTCGGATCGGGCTGTCAATTTTTTTCTACACTTTTAGGTGTATTTTGTGCAAGAAATTGAAATAAAATAGTGTGCCTAAGAAAAATTGAATTTTTTTGAAAATTTTTTTTTTACGAAAATCGCTTTAATGGTCATAAAATTGGTGTTCCTCTACTCGGATCGGGCTGTCAATTTTTTTCTACACTTTTAGGTGTATTTTGTGCAAGAAATTGTAATAAAATAGTCTGCCTAAGAAAAATTGAATTTTTTTGAAAATTTTTTTTTTACGAAAATCGCTTTAATGGTCATAAAATTGGTGTTCCTCTACTCGGATCGGGCTGTCAATTTTTTTCTACACTTTTAGGTGTATTTTGTGCAAGAAATTGAAATAAAATAGTGTGCCTAAGAAAAATTGAATTTTTTTGAAAATTTTTTTTTACGAAAATCGCTTTAATGGTCATAAAATTGGTGTTCCTCTACTCGGATCGGGCTGTCAATTTTTTTCTACACTTTTAGGTGTATTTTGTGCAAGAAATTGAAATAAAATAGTGTGCCTAAGAAAAATTGAATTTTTTTGAAAATTTTTTTTTTACGAAAATCGCTTTAATGGTCATAAAATTGGTGTTCCTCTACTCGGATCGGGCTGTCAATTTTTTTCTACACTTTTAGGTGTATTTTGTGCAAGAAATTGTAATAAAATAGTCTGCCTAAGAAAAATTGAATTTTTTTGAAAATTTTTTTTTTACGATAAAAGCTATAAAGGTCAAAATATAGGTCTTCCTCTACTCGGATCGGGCTGTCAATTTTTTTCTACACTTTTAGGTGTATTTTGTGCAAGAAATTGATATGAAATTGTCTGCCTAAAAAGAATTGATTTTTTTTGTCGATTTTCCTGTGACAAAAAGTGCATTAATGGTGCTATTTGGGGTCTTCCTCTACTCGTATGTTTATTTCGATGTTAATGCTTTCTCCAGGAGGAAGCAAATTTTTTTGCTGTTTGTAAAGAGGAAGCAAAATGTTCATGTAATGAACATCTGAATTTACAACTTGTTGATTTATTATATCTATTGTTTATAATTTATTCATTTAAAAAAAATTGTTTCAAAGTAAAAAAAAATGTCTTTTAAATTCATTTCATTTTATGAAAAATTGGAGCAAATAAAATATTGAGGATAATGAGTTCATTGACTTCTGATACATTAAAAAGCTTTTTATATATTTTATGTGCACTCTATCATTCGATTTTCCTGTGAATACTCACCGGTGCATATCAAAGTGTGAGCTCTTCCACATGCGACATGTGTCACTTTCTCCGGCTTTAGAACTGCAAACAGAAAAAAGGCAATTTATCATTTTACTTTTATCATTCAATTCATAAAAAAAAAATTCATTTTCCCTACAAATTACTTTAAAAAAACAAAATAAAAATAAATTATTTTTATAAAAATTTTATATTTATTTATAAAATTTTTATTCATTTATAATTTGACTCAAAATTTCTATAATAAATAAAAAAGATTTTTTATTTAAATATTAAAAGTTCAAAGTTCCCCACTTCATTTTTTATAGTGCTAATTTGCATTTTTAATTTTAAGACAAAAGTATGAATTTAGACATACGTATCTATATATATATATGTATGTATATAGAAAATGTACATAATGAAAGGTGAAGTTTGTTATCGGTGAAGAATCGATGCTTATTAAGCTGCCATAATTCACATATGCACGTGCATTAACTTCAGGAAACAAAAGATTTATCGTGAAAGGCAAATATGTTAATACTGACTTTTAACGCATGATGGTTTGCTCACGTGATTCTTGTGCCCAAGTCCAAGTTGACCCCAATCATTGCTACCAAAGACGAAAAGTCGTCCACTTTCTGAAAAAAATAAAAATAGTCTATTTATTTGACATCCAATATATAACATCTGGTGTCTTCCAAATTTATTTATATCAGATGAAACTCTATTTTCTAACAAACATGTATCGCGCTACTTTATTCGATTCTTTTTCACTTAACCAAAATTCTAAGCAGAATTTTATTTAAACAAATTTTTATTTAGTAGAATATTTTTATTTAGTAAAATTTTCATTCAGCAGAATATTTTTTAATTCACGTTTTTACCGAATAAAATATTTATTGAGTCGTATTTTTATTTAACAAAATATTTATCAAACCGAATTTTCATTTAGCCGAATTGTCATTCAGCCGAGCTTTTATTTAGCAGAATATTTATTTAGTCGAGTTTTCATTTAGAAGCATTTTTACTTAAAATAATATTTATTTAACCGATTCTTCATTTAAGTAAATATTTATTAAGTCGAGTTTTTATTCAACATATTTATTTAGCCGAGCTTTAATTTAACAACATTTTTGTTTGTCAAAAAAAATGAAAATTTAGCTATAATGGACAATATGAAAATAAAACTCTTTTTTCAGATAACAAAAAATTTTTTTGTGATTCTCATTTTAATTACCACTGTAAAACGTAAATTTTAATTTTGAAATTACTTCTGTCACGTGATATCGGCGTGAATATATAAAGAAATTAAAGAGAGACTTTTAATGGAAATAACGAAAAAAATGCGATTTAATATATAAAGTGGTTTGAGAAAAAAAAAAGGTGGAGGCTACTCTGTTGCTAAATTTAAAGAGCGATTTAAATAAATTATAATTTTTTTTTCATCGTCCTAGATTAAAATGGCGAGATAGGCGCGAGACCGCCAAGAGTCGCGCGTATCGATTTCGGTATGGACAAAGGTTACCTTTTCTGTGGACACAAGTTTTGCCGACATGCCATACACTGCAGCAATTGTTAATCATTCCATGTCTTCAATCTCCCCGCGCACTCAACAACAATATTGCATAAACATTTGAAACTTATTATAATATTCTTGCTATATGGAGAAAATATTTTCACACTATATATAATCTTGGAAAAACATTTTCTAACAACAAAATATGTACCGGGAACTTTGCCATTTTTTCTATTCTTTTTTTTCTGATAACCATCAAACTATCTTGTTCAAAATTATGTATGTAGAGTAAGCATAGAGCTCTTGCAAGAAATTTCAGTTAATTTTGAAATTCGCGCTAAAATATTTTAGCTAAATAAAAGTTGGATTAAAACACAATTCAGTTAAATGACAATTTTGCTAATGGTTAATTCAATTTTAAATAAAAATTTGGTTAAATGAAAATTCAACTAAATTCGAAAAATAAAAACTTGGCTAAATTTATTTGGTTAAATATGAATTCAACTAAACACAAATTCAAAGAAATTAAAATTTGGTTAAATAAGAATTCAACAAAATTCGAAAAATAAAAATTTGGATTAATTTATTTGATTAAATAAAAATTCAGCCAAATATAAATGTAATTAAATGAAAATTTGTTTTTATGATAATTCGGAAAAATAATAATGCCTTGCTTAGAGTAAAAATAGAAATTATTTCCACTAAACTATAATGAATACCAGACATCTAAAAAAGGGATTTACGTGTCTTGATTACTGACCTATGCAAATTAAACAAAATTCCAAGTAACCAACCCTGAATAATGCGATATTTTGAAGATGAAAACAAGACTCTATATTGATTTGCGCGCAATATATATCAGAAATGTTAGAGTTGGTAATGGAAATATGAATATTCTACAAGATAAAAAATAAAAATTTTATGATAAAATAAAATTTAAAAATAAATATTTTCAAAAATCATAAGAATGAAAAATTTTTGAATAAAAAAAAAATCAATTTTTTTTTATTCTATAAAATACTTACGACAAATAACAGCCGAATGTTCATCACCACAAGTCACTGAAATCACTGGATCTTTTCTGATGAAAAAATGTGAAGCTATATTGTCAGCAAATCTACTGCGGCCAATTGTAAACACAGCTCCACTTTCTGTAATTATTATTAGTAATTATAATAAACACAAAATGTATTATAAAGAATTTTTTTTATATGAAAATATATAAAAAATGTATTGCATATTAATTTCTTTTTTTTTCTAGAAAAAAAAGACATTATATGATAAAGTGAGTACAAGAGGGATATAATTAGAAAAAAAAGGGATGAAGAAATTGATCGATTCGGCAACATGCAAAGTCATTACTCCTCTGTTAGTTTTTCCACAAAAATGTATTATATACCTATATATGCATCTATCTAAGTAAAGTATACATATCATTATTATTAATATGCACGTGATCAAAATCAACTTCCTAAAACAAAAAAAAGAAATTCTTTTTTGAAGTTCAATTCTATTAATATAGTGAGAGCAATGACACATTATTTTCCCCTTTATTTCAATAAAAATAAATTACTAAATTAACTATATTCGATTTCTAGAAATTTCTATATAAAAAAATATTTATTATTATTATTATTACTTATACAGAAAAATTTATCATTTTCCTTCAATTTTTGCCACTGTAGAGTTATTTCAAATTTTCCCGAAATTAAATTTTTTTTTTAATCCAACTTCAAAATAAAAAATAAATTGTTATTAAAAATAATTGTTATTTAAATTTTTATAAAATATTTCTTCGATATAATGAAGCTTCAGTTGTTCCGAACAAAATTTTGTTAAATTTAAATGAGTTTCCTTTAGTTTAAAAATATATGTTTGCAACAAGTTTTCCATTTGTTTAAATAATACTATATGAATTATTATTATTATTACTATTATAATTATTTTATTATTATTATTATTATTATTTAAATTATTATAAGTAATATTAAAACAATTGTTTGATTTAGCTAATTTTTCATTTAAAAATGAAAAATTAAAATAATAATAATAATAATAATAATAACAATAGTGAACAAAAAATTGTTGCGTGATGTACATTGTAAGCTAAAATTGCAAATTTTATTTAAGTCCTTCTTTGTTTTAGATTAAAAAAAAATTGATACGTGAAATAAATAATTTTTTTTTTTGATAAATTAATCAAAAAAATTTTACCCGGTATGTTTTCGATATCAGGTAAATCCATTTTCACACCACGCGCCACGCAACCGGTTTACTAACTGCCGGCTGCTTATAGTAGCGTGGTAGCAACCTGGAACTCAACCAGTTGCCAAGCAACTGGAAATCAATTCCCAAAAGACACTAAACGAACTGTTACGTTAACGTTGAAAACGATTGTGCGCAAGCCACACTTCAGTCAATGTAAATAAATAAAAAAAAAAGTTCCATAAATAAACTTTTTTCTAAAAAAATCCTGCCCGGTTTAATTTACTATTGTCTATTTGAAAAATTATTTTTACAAACAGTTCTCAATTTAACAGAAATTGACTTTTTTTTAATTACTTCACCCAGAGAAATAAATTTTATTTGGTTTAAATAAAAATTTTATAAAAAAAGGTAAACATTTTTTTACCTTTTCATTCATAAAATGAAAAGTACGCTGAGTTAAGTATTAAAAAAAAATATGAAATTTTTGAAAATAAAATTTTGATTTTATAATCAACGTTAATTTTGATTTCAATCGCGAGATTAAAAAATTACAAAGGGGACCTTGAAAAATTGATCTAGTAGCATCGATTATGTCTTTACTTCCTTTTAATGATTGTTTTAGTTATTAATGATAATTTACGTAATTTTAAAGGTTACTTAGTTTATTTTATTTATTTACCACATACATTGATATTAAACAATTATTTATTAATAAAAGTCAATAATAATTGTTAATGGCAAGCGGTTTTATATTTTTTTAATAATTTTATTTGAAACATTTTTAATTAATTTTATTTAAAAATTTTTTTAAAAATTTTATTCCAAAAAAAATTTGTTTAGTCAACAAAAATTAAAAAAAAAATTAATTAAAAGAGATAATTAAAATTTTATCATATTTAAAATTTTATAATCTAAACAAATATTATTATTAAATATAATTCAATGATAATTAAATAATAGAGGTAAGTAAATAAAGAACTCTTTAAGAGCGACAGCTTCTAATGAGATTAAATAAAACGATAATTAAAAATAACAGTGGAGATATACAATTAATGAAGTAGAAAGGTAATTAATCATTTTCTATATTTGGAATAGTTTTCAAACACTATAAATTTAAAAACATTACTGAACCTATATTATTGATTTGTGAGTTCTTACACGTGTGTAATTCAAATGCCTATGTGAAGGCGTATTTATTTATAAACCTTTATTATAGTTATTATTTTAAAAATTATTTTTATACCTTTATGATAAAGAATTAATTCACAAGTCAATCAAAAATATAAATAATAGCTACCTAATTTTTCCCCTGGATTTTTTGTAAATTCACTATATTTTTATACACTTTCACTGTGATATAATTTTCCTAATTAATATAATTGGATAATTATTTTATTAATTATTAATTTTATTGTAATAATATTAAAATAATAATATTATTATTATACATTATATAATTATATTATTATTAAATCATTTCCCATTCCTATTAAAAATCCCGATGACAAAACGGTTTTTAGAGTGTATTAAAAAAAAAGAAAAATAGTGAAAGCAGAGTTAAGTTTGTAGAAAATGGAAATCATGTTAATTGAATATAACATGAAGTCTATTTAATGGAGATAAATAAGTTGAAGTTAAAGATCGTCTATCGATGTTGTCTTTTTATAAAGTGAAGACAAGCATGAAACAGTTGCACTCGGTGCGAAACGTTTTAGCAGACATTAGGCGACCCGACAGATGAATTAACGCGAATCACATCATCGACTCATGATGAAGCTCAGTTGTTGGGTCGTCATCGTGGAAGAGGAATTAAACGTACCGAGAAGAAGTCTCTGCGAACGTAAATAGATTCTCGATCATCCGGTGAAGTACGATCGGCGCCTGCCGCATGTCTTCGCCCTCCCGAACACATAACTTGGAATCCCGTTGTCAAGCAGTCGGCACACGCATTTTATAATATGCTTTTCCGTTTTTCTTTTTTTATTTTTACAATTTTCATTTAATTTAATTAGACAAAATTTTCCATTCAGATGAATTTTTATATTTGTACGAATTATTATTTTACAGAATAAGGGTAGGTCAAATGTAAACAAACCGAAAATGTATACAATTATTATAACTAATTTGTGGCCCCCCTTTTTTAAATACAAAATAAAAAACAAAATTTCTCCATGTGAAAATGAATCGCCGGCGACCAAAAGGTTTTCATTGGCCCCTGAAATAGCTGGAAACTCGCTGAATGCGGGGCCAACGAAATTCACGCGTAAGCCCTTTTGATCGCCGGCGGTTCAAATGGAAAATTGATACTTTGACTAACCCCTAAAGATATCACTACGTAATATTTGAATGGCCCCTAACCAAAAATTACACAGAATTTTTATTTACTCTGCAAAATAATAATTTGAACAAATAAAATTCGACTCAATGAAAATAATATCTAATGGAATTCTATTGAATAAAAATTCTCACAATTGATTTTTAGAATTTATTCGTGTACCGAAATTTCTTGACTTTATTCTCGACACAAAAACAATTTATCTATTAATTTATCTTTCAACATTTTAAATGAAATTCACAACTGCCTTTTTAATTTCGTGTCTGACTCAAATGGGTTTTACTACTTATAATCTCATAAATCTAATCTTCGTTCTATCAAATTGATAATTCATATTTTAGTCGCTTACCAAAAAGTGTTTTATATTCTATTATGACTAATCAATGATCTTTTTGAGCTGAACTAAGTCTCGAACAAAAAATGTATGGCACACTTTTTGATTGGTCCAGCAGATGCTGAGATAGATTGAAATAAATTTTGAATTTTTGAAAAAAGTTTTGGTTTTTTTAATTTAGGAAGTAATCTTTCTGGAATATACCAAAAAAGTCTCATCCTGGAAGACTGTAAAAAAATATATGTCGCACTTCATGATCGGACTAACTGGCATTGATCTAAGCCCGCTCTGAATTAGGAAAATTTAATAATTTTTCAAATTTCCTAGAAATAAATTTTGTCTTATTTCTGTGTCTCCACGAGGTCATTAAAAAATGTCAAGGCTGTTTGTGAAAAGAAATGATGACTGTTCGATATGGATTGGTTCATGTGTTAAAAGATGGTGATCTAGTGATCTGCAACACAATAATATATACTTGATGTGTGAGAGAGTGAGCAAACCGTTGAAACCGAAAAAGCGTCGCGACGCCTTGCGCCTGGCATTGGTAGCAGCAGTCTCGAGATAGCCGTCGACTGGCTTTCTTATACCGTCTCTCTCTCGATTTATTTGCGGGTATACAAAATATATAATCCCAACGTAAAGTGATTGTAACAATAGTCAAGTGAAGACACTTTATTTGCGAATCGCGTTCTAACCGCAGGCCCTTCAAATCGTGTCATTTTCCCGCGCGCGCGTTTTGTCTTAACCACCCCCCTTATTCGAAATTCCCTGTAATTGTTGTTGACAACTATATACAACCGGCTTTTGAGACGGTGAATTCCCATTTCCTATTCGGAGGTGAGTTTTTTTTTTCTCCCGTGAGAGAGCTATCGGAGCTCTCGTCAACGTTCTATTCTTGTGCTTTCTATGTTGTGCAAGTATCAAATTAAGGTGCCATTTAAAATAATGCGAACGCTGGATCGGTTAAATTAAATATCGATTTTATAATTAAATCATTTTTTTTCATTTTATTCAAATGACTGTTTTTTTATTTGTTCTTTATATATTTATACGATTTTTTTTGCAATTTTTTCTAATTTATTCTAATCGAGAATTTTAATAAATATTCAGAAATAGAATAAATTAATAATAATCTCTGCAATAATTATATTAGAGATTAAAAAATGAAGAAGAAATTAAAATATCGCGATAGCGGGTCCAGATTGGAAATTCCAGCTGGGCCCGATCAAGTAATTTTAGCACAGAAAAAAAAAGAATTTTAGATAATTCGTTCGTTTTTCAAAGATAATTAAAAAATATATAAATTGTTTTATTATAAATTAATTTGACGAAGAATAAAATAATAAAATATTGATTTAATAATTGTAATTATTTTCAATTATATTTAATAATTTAAGAATTAAAATTTTTTTTCATTCTCAATATTAAAATTGGCTAAAAGTGTATGTGAAATCTAACAAACATTTATATTTCAATTATAGAAAAATGTTTATATTTAATGCCAATTTTATTTTTATTTATTTTTGATTTTAAACACGTAAATACATGCCAAAAATTTTAAATAAATCAGCATAACATACATAATATTTTCCGTTGACATTCCAAATCAATGTCTTCCGCATCCTATGAAAATAATTTTTTACTAAATTAAAATTGATTTTATAAAATAATATGAAGATAAATATTAAACATCAATAAATAAATAATAAATTATTAAATCATTTTTAAGTATTTTAATTCTTTCGTCCTTTATAAATATTTTTGTTAAATTTTTTTTCTTTTCGAAATTATTGTTAATTGTGTGAGTTTGTGCAGGTCATAGAAGCAACAGGCGACGCAAGTTATGCGCATGTCTTCATTCATTCTAACTATTCTGTTCCGGTCATTCATCCAAAAATATTGTATAAACAATTTTCTAAAAAAATCAATTTTTATATATTCCTGGCACATAATTAATTTTTTATTCTAAATATTATATAATATATAAAATATAATATAATATAATATATAAATAAAAAAATATATGTCTCAAAACTAATTAGCTATAACTATAATTATTTCTTTTATTTTTTAAATAACTATTTATTTGAAATAAAAATTTTGTTTAGCGCATAAAACATTTTTTTTTTAATTTTTTTTTGCTAAAAATTTTTGATCCACTTTCCTCAAAAATAATGTAAATAAATCTTTTTTCTTTCTCAATCGAAGACTGGCACAAGACATAACCGTGCCAGTTAAATTGATAATTAGGCCACGCGAGAAACGAGGGAGAGAGAGATTCAAAATTTATGTGTAGAAATATGATGAAAAGAAGAAAAATAAGGAAAATATGAAAATTTCAACATTGTATATCAAAGAGATATGAAAGGAGAGAGAGGGGGGGGAGCGACTAATTTACATGTTAATTAGTCAGATTTATGACATGATCATGAAATTCGTTCAAAAATGAATAAATTTCAAGGTCCTTCATGAAATAGATGTGGCTCTATTTTCCTGGCACACTATTGAGAGAGTCAAAAGTATCCAATTCAAATTGGCGACGTTTCTAGTATGAAGGCCAAATTTTTCACCCACTCTATAAGTTAATGTAAAACAGATATCATTAATTGTTTAGAAAAAAAATTTCCTCTTAGAAATTTTACACTTTTTCAAAAAAAAAAAAAAATAATTTAAAGAAATTTCTTTGAAATTTAGTTTTTTTTCCTTTTTTAAATTTCCAAACAAAAATAATTTCTATAGGAAGTAACAAAACTAAAGAGTAGAAGAACAGATGAATTTGCCATAAAGAAACACAAGCGAAAAGTTTTTTGGCAATTGTCCCAATCGAAGAAAACTGTTTGCTGATTTGTTGTAACTTTACATTATCAGATTAATCTCAAAAGAAAACAAATATTTTTTTTTAATTTTCAAATTTTCTTAATTTGTGTAAAAAAATGAGAATAATCTAATTTTTCCAGTTCAAATATTTAATTAAAAAATTTATTTAATAATAGCCAAGTAACCGATTATTTGAATCAGATAAATTTTTTTTCAGTGTGGTTTAAAATTTCTTTTATATATATTTATTTATTTATGATGGAGTCAATAATTGATTAGTGATGAAATTTTTGAAAAAAGATCAAAATTGATATAACGAACGTGACCTAATTAACTGATTAAAAGAGATGAAAATGCGGCCAACCGCGCAGACCTAAACGCCAGCCAATCCTCAACGAGTTCCGTTTCTCGTGTCGGAAATAGATTTTGTTAAAACTACTCGTCAAGCTTCAACGTTTAAATTGTTTGATTTTTTATGTTCCTTTTTATCGATCATCAATTTTTGATTATAAACTTCCTCCTCTAATCTTCATTTTCAGGAAAAAAAAGAGAAAAGAAACAGAACACTGTCAAAATTTCAATCAATTTTGCAAAAGAAGGAAAAAGGCGGCGTTAGACTAATTATTAAATTTTCTATTTATTTATTAATTTTTCAATAATCTTTTATAAATTAAAAAATAATTATAATTAATAATTTGAATTAATTCTACTAACTTTGCGTCGATAAGTTATCAACCTCAACGTTTCAATTCTACAGCGGGACCAAAAATAAAAACCCAAAATATATTTCGTTTCCTTCTCTTATTACAAGGTGGCGACACTGACAAGATTTAAGAAATTTTTGAAAGTTGTTAACTTTGCAAAAAATAAAAAAAAACTTTATATTAAATCAAATTTTTTTAAATTGATTTAAAAGATAGTTATTTTGATAATTAAATAATGCCTTCTAAACATTGTTTTTTCACTTTCAATTAAAGAAATTTGATATTAACCGTTTACACGTAAATAAATATTAGCTAAATAATAATTAATAATATGTTTAATCAACAATTATCAATTGTTAATAAAAATTAATTTTCATAAATGAAAATTCATTTGTTTCAGAATAATGACGAATCGCAACTCGTAACGTCATGGCCGGTAGAAAAACAGGTACTTATTGTATTTCACATAAAAAGTTCTTTTTTTTAAATTCTATTCTTCATTTTTGAATTAAAAAAAAAGTATTAAATTTAAATTTATTATTTTCAGAATTTTCGGCAACCTTAAGTCGTACTTTAGTGAGGGGTTCGACGACCGTTCAGGAAATAACATCGACGCATGTAGAAGAAACTTCCAAAGTAAGTAAAAAATTTTGTTATTAACAAAAATTTAAACCTCTTTAAATTTAAAACCTAACAATTTTTACGATATTTAGAAAGAGAAATTTTGTTTTTTTTTAATTTTCAAAGAAATTTAATCAGTATTTACCGTATAAGATTAAAAATTATATACTCCCGATTCGAAACGCTACCCGCAGTCAAGTTGTGTCTAACAAGAGAGGATACGATAGTAGTAACTTCCCAAACATATTACGTCACAGATCCCACCATCTAAATTAAACTAAATTCACATTGCAAAGGCATATAGGTGAAAATTTGAAACTTTGCCAAAATCTTCACTCTCTACCGGAATCTAATCACTCTTAAAACACACGCACTTTCAATTAATCTATTTCGCACAATTTTTCATTCGATTCCAGAGAAAAGCATTCAAATTGTAATTTATAAATTTTTCAAGATATATATCTTTTTCATTTTATGTATATAGAAAAAAATGTTTATGCTTCCAGTTAAATATTAATTAAATAATTAATTATAATTCATTATAATTAATTATAATGAAACAAAAACAAAAAAAAACAGAGAGTACATTGACTCTATTTTATACTAAAAAGCTAGCAAAATTTTGTTTTGACTTACATTTTTCGAACCCACGAGTAGAAAGTGCAGTTGAGCTTTATGTCTCCAGCTAAATCATTCAATCACACCCAAGAATCGCGGATGTTTATGCCAAAAATTCAATGCTTCATTGAGGCTTCCATCTTCCTTGTTAGCAATCTGTCAGGTTCGTTTATTACAATCGAGTCCAGACATTTGCAATTTTTCTAAAAAACAAATAATAAATTCAAAGTATAATTAGGAAATGTGCTCTCAAATCCCAAAAAAGAATAGGTACACATATAATTTTAAATCAATTTTTTTTGTTTTTTATAAACAACGAAATAATTATTATATAAAATAACAATTATTTCTTTAATTATGAATAATAATCGAATATTGGCTGACTTGGCATTTACTTATACTACTTACAATTGCTCAATGATGCAAAATTACTATAGAACCGTTGCCATACATGGAAAAGAATATCAAGTATAACTTTTACTATAGTTACAAAGTAAAAACTAAACTTTCCAAAACAGTTTAGGATTTACTTTGTAAGTACAGTAAAAATTACTTTATTTTTGTTTTCCATTTTTCTCCGTGTATAGGAACCGTTACCATAGAAACTGTATAACGGTTTGTAATTAAAATGAATTTTAACAACCACGAAACCCTTCTCCGACTGATTTTTTTTTTGACGTGACAATTTTTTTCTAATATTTAATTCACCTATATTTCCATTCAACACGTGAAATTTAAACTGGCGCATTTGCACTAATTTATAAAAGTCAACTGGCTGTAGACTGAATAAACAATACTGCCTCTGATAAAATTTTCATGTCCGGTAATAAATTATTTTTGAATGTTTCTAAAAAAAAACACACACACAACATTCTTTGCGGAATTCACAAAACAGAAGGTGAAGTTCGCGTGTAAAATTGATGCTCAAAGTCATGAATGATTAATCCTGACAGGTGTGTTGCAAATATTTAAAATTTGTGAAAGCGCAATTATACATATATGTATTGAATTTTGGTTAAAAATAATAATCGCTCATTAAAATTTTCATTTGTAAAAATAGAAAGTACGTGCTTTTATTATTTATTTGTATTTTGGATAATTTCTAATTCTATTTTAAAAAATTGTTTGCAAAAAATCATTATATCGTGCGCGCGTGACTCAAAAAGAAAATCATTATAATACTTAAAGATTTGAATATAGTTCACAAATAAACTTCAAATAACGTTTGAAGATCTTTAAGATATAACTTTTCAGAAATTGTGGTTTTTGGCTGTTTATCAAAATCACGTACTATAAAGTCGAGCCAATAGGGTATCACTTATCTATATAATTATCGACTAAAGTTCATGGTTAATTTATTTTCTTTCAAAAAAAGTCTTAAAAACTTTAGAATTATTATTATAAATTGTATGTAAAATAAAATTTTTCTGGAGAATTTCAACAGAATACGAAAACTAAATACCATTTATAGATTATGCTTGTTGTTTCTTGTTCAGTTTGAAATAAAAATTTATGCAATGACCTATTGCCAACAATTGGTCGCTCATATGTTCTCTTGACTTTGTCAAGATATACAAAGGATAGATGACTCGTAAATTTTCCACACTAAGAGATCGTAAATCGAATACCTTTATTATCTCATAAAATTTCAAGAATGAATTATATTCGTGATTAAATTATACCGATGCACTTTAAATTTTAATAAATTTAATTTAATATTATACTTCTTTTATTGCATTTTCCGCGCAAAACAAACGCCATAAATTAAAAACAATCAAAAATAATTTCCAAAAAGAAAAAGGAAAAAATTTTAGTACCTTCCGTGAAGAGTGATGTATAGAGGCTTCGCGAGATTAAATTGGGATGAAAACTTGGAAGCTAATACATTGAATTAAAACAATATTATGAGAGAATGGTGTCAGAAAAACGGGGCGTGAATTTATGTGAATTTTCTTACTCGGTCTAGTTGGCCCTTCAACCAATTTATCACACGCATCACTTCAATCGTTTAGGCTTTTCCACTTGTATTTATGTTCTCAAATAATTCAAAGATTGTTACAAATACTTTTATAATCATTACTATTTTATAGTTTTCAGAACATTATTTATTTATTAAAGAAAAAGCTTCTAGGGCTAAACAACCCTCAATGGAACAGTAATCACTAAGTCATATAAACATTTCATCCATTAAAATAAAATCCTAACAATCTATTCAATAACTTTAGAAAATTAAAACAATTAGACCAATCAAAATATTTAACAAAGAATTTTTTTAAAGTCTGCCTGAGTTTCTACAATAAAATTACTAAATGTCGGTTTAAGATGGGGTATAACTTTTGTCTAATGCTTTTTACAGAAACTAATATAATATATATACTTGGACTGATCTTAACTTGCGTTCATTACGGGAGTTTGTATTCGGTTCTAAAGTTGTATTGAAAAAGTTATTTCTGGTCGAGGGGAGAGAGAGAGAAACTCGCCAAGCAAACGACTCTTAGTAACTTCGTGCATCTAGTAGTCTGGCGTTCGCCGCGAATCGCAAAACACTTTTCGGGGGGCCTCGAAACGAGACCATGAGAGAATGCATCACCGAACAATTGAAATATTTTAACTTATAATAATAATAAAAAAAAAAAAAAGAAAACACGGTGTACAGATACAAAAAGGCTACTCTGACTGAGAGAAAAAAAAATGCTACACAAGTCTTCCTGTATATATTTTATAAAAAGAAATTGTCCATGAGAAGAAAACGAAACCACAAGGACACAACGACGGGTCCATTAATCTGATCTCATTGATTTTGAATTTTTTTTCGTTTTTATATTCCCTCTTTATAATAAATATACATATATGTAGAAAACTAAATGTCGTGCAGAGATAGAAATAATTGTGGCAAGTTGACACTTGAGTATTAATGTTAGGAATTAAAGTGTCGGAACCGTGTCGAAATTGTTGGCCACTAAATGAGAATCAATTCCTTAAATTTTCAAAAACAGACAAAAGCGTCTTCCTTTAATCTTAATTGACACGACGACGTTAAGTCACAGAAAAAGAGGAATGACGACTGGATAATTCGAACCAATCAAAACAATCAATGAATCAGATTATTTGAATGCATTGCAGTGTGCCATTTGACATTTTTTTCACGCATGGAAAATTTGCGAATTGGCCAACTACCAGATGATCGTGTGCGCCCCATTGGAATCTCGCAGGCATCTTGAAAGCAAAAATAACTGTTACTCCTCCAAGTGAAAGTAATGCAACCCTTTTCATTTTGAATCATCATGAACCAAAAAGGACAAAAATGTTTCTTTCAATTCTGAATCAATTACGAATTTTACAATCAAGTATAATCAAACAAATTCTAGGAAAAAGTTCTTCTAAAGTTATCTTAATTTTGTTATTACGATTTTGATTTCATAATTTCGATTTGTATTTTTTTGTGTTCTCTACGTATTTTTTTGTCATCTATAATATTAAGTTGTAATAAAATGACAATGAGTTTTAATAAAAACAAAAATTCATGCAATCTGTGATTTTGTGTTATAAGAAGTATTGAAAAATGACGTTCCAGAATTAAGGATTCATTTACAATTAGCATCATCGAGAGATTGTGATCGAGTGATTAAGAATCATTTTCAGTCAAATGACAACTGAAATTCCGGAATTCGATTTTAAAAATCAACGGCCAATTTATCTAAAAATTTCCCATTAAGATCTATATCAAATGATTAAAAAAGTAACCAGCGATTATGATTTACCAAAGAATAGAAAACAATAATTAATTAAATTCTAGAAATTTTACAAAATAATAAAATTTGACAAAAATTAAAATGATTATATTAAGATCCAATTCAAGATTCAAATCTATTAAATGATTATCAGGAAAAAAATTAAAAGCTAAGAATAATTACCAAACAAATACGTTTCACTAACGATTAAGTTTTTTTAACAAAAAGTATTTACCAATTATCATTATCATCTACCAATCAAAAACTAAACAATCAAATTCTGTTCCATTATCATTATATAACGACAAAAAAAAATCATATCATGTTGAAGATCATGAAACAATTAATTTAAATCCCAAAAAGATGTCTTACTGCAGGATCACAGGTAGAAGTAGAGGTCTTCCAAAACCAAATTACTTTCCCCTATTACCACCAATAAGTCCAGCTGATGCAAAACGTTTTTGTCGCATCACTGGTAAATCCTATGGATTACCAACTCATCACTACATTCCGGTTCTTTTGGGTGTTCACACGCACGACAAATCAAAATGTAAAATTACCAGTTCCTCATCAGGACAAGGTCAACATCATTTCACTGGTGGTTTAATTCTTGGTGAAAAGAAAAAACATGTCGTTTTAAAAGACTATCGCTATATATTTCCAATTTTGGAAGGTGAAGGTGAACAACAGAAAGCCCTACGTGAATTACTCACAGCAAAAGAAACATCACCCGAAGAGGAACAATGTAATTTTGTCTATACAGTGGGTGAGAGAAGATGTAGCCTTGTTTTTCCAGCGCGTCTTGAAGCTGCCGTACGCGATGGTGATGTGCGCGATGTAATGCTTTCAAGAGATTGCGATACCGTTCTACTTAGATTGAAACAAGGTAAAAATGTTGCAGTTGATTTTAAGGATTTAGACAATTTCAATGAACTTTACGATGGATTTGGACCACGTGATGATGTTATCAAGGAGAGGGAAAAACAGGAATCGGAAGTAAAAAAGAAAAAGAGAAAACGACAATCGGGTTTGAACTATGCTAAAAAAATTTTCGAAGATAAAGAAAAAGCAGCCGAGGAGGAGGAACTAAAAACAGCGAAACAATTGAAGCTAAGAAGTATAAAAGAAGAGAAAGATGATAAATTAGTTGATTGGAAGCATGTCGATATTGGACATGCGAGATCAAGAGGAAGTTTAGTCATGTCTTCCGGTGAATGGAGAGACTGGATAAAACCTCTAAATCAATCTTGCGATTGGACGACTTTTGGCAATAATGGAATCATTCAAGAAGGCATTCCAATTGTTGATCAAATCCCAGAACCTGTCAATGTTAAACCACAAATTGTCGACTTGGAAGCAACTCTCCTAGGATCAACCCAAACTCCAATAGCGGAAAAAACTGGAGGATTCGAGGCCATATCAGTTGTGCAACCATTTGCCCCCCTAACACTGGAACCCGAACCACAACTTCAGGAGGCATTGAAAAATATTCCATTAGACGATTTGAAATCAACAATGAATGTTGAAAAATTCGCGACCGATAAAGATGCTCTTGAAATTTTACCAAAAGTCGAGGAAATTCCCACTTTAATTCAGAATTTTGATAAAGGAGAAAAAATCGAAATTCTTAAAGTCAAAGGCCTAAAATTGGACATCAATTCAGCACAGAAATTCATTGCTGGTCAAACAATTCAAACTCCCACGGGTCCTATTTTTGTACCGGGACAAACTTTACAAACTCCCAAGGGAGATGTTTTCGTTCCTGGTTTCACGGTTAAGACACCCGAAGGACCAATGCTAATTCCCGGTCAAATTATTTCAATTCCTGAGGAAAGTGGCAAAATGACTCCAGTCTTTGTTGCAGGTCAAACACTGGCAACAAAGAATGGAGAACAATTTGTTCAAGGTCAAACGATTCACGTAAACGATTGTGCGAAATTTGTTCCCGGTCAGACTGTTTTGACAAAAGAAGGTCCAAAATTCGTCGCAGGTCAAGTAACAACTGATGGTAATTTCGTACCTGGTCAGACGATCTCAATGTCTCAAGGTACCAAATTCATGCCCGGTCAAACAGTCACTGATCAACATGGAGAACAACTTTTTGTTCCTGGCCAAAGTGTTCAAATTCATGATTCATGGGAATTTGTTCCAGGACAATGTCTCAAGACACCAACTGGTGATGATCAATTTGTCCCTGGACAAACGATGTTAACTACAGAAGGTGCCCGTTTTATTCCAGGTCAAAGTGTTATTCAAAAATCAGGAGAATCTTGTTTTGTTCCTGGTATTTCATTGGAATCAGACGAAGGATTGAAATTTATTCCCGGTACAACGATGAATACACCTCAAGGTTTAAAATTCGTTCAAGGTCAAATGGTAAAGACAGAGGAGGGAGAAAAATTTGTTCCTGGCTTAACAACAATTGGAAAAGATGGTCTTCAATTTGCAGCAGCTAAAAACATCAACGAAGTTGTATACCTAGAAGCAACTCCAATGGGACTGGCAATCGATCCAAAAACTGCAAATGCAATCTCACATTTTCAGCAACAAGAAATCTTTGGTCACATGGTGCAAACAGAAAAAGGCGTTGAATTTATTCCTGAGAGTGCACAAAAGTTTCCCAAAGGTGAAAGAATAGTTCCAGGACAATTGGTTCGAGGTGGAAAAGATAGTCCTCGATTTGTACCTGGAGTAATGACTGAAGATGGATTTCTTCCAGGTCAAATAGTAATGACAGAAAAGGGGGAACAATTTGTTCCAGGACAAGTTGTTGATACAAGCACTGGACCCAAGTTTGTTCCAGGTCAAATGGTGGAAACACGAGCGGGTACAAAATTTGTTCCAGGTCAAACGATCGAGACAGCAGAAGGTCCGAGATTTGTTCCAGGTCAAATAGTCGAAACCAAAGCTGGACCTACGTTTATTCCTGGACAAGTGATATCAATTGAAGATGAAGGTTCCAGATTTGTTCCAGGGCAAGTGGTTGACACTCCCGATGGACCTAGATTTGTTCCTGGTCGTGTTGTCGAATCCAGCGAGCATGGAGTGATTTTCGTACCTGGTCAGATTGTTCAAACTGAAGAAGGACCAAGATTTGTCGCTCCTGACTTGACAGATACTCCAGAAGGAGAATTGGAATTTTCAGTTCAAGGTTTTGAAGTGACACCGGAGGAGCTCCGTCTATTGAGACCTCAGCATTTACACTTCAATGCCTCAGCACAACACCACGGTGAATCGTGCATTGATTCCCGAATGCTTCAAGAATTATCCAAAGCTGGAATGTCAGTTGGAAGGAAAATATCCACAGATTTACCAAACGTGGATGTTGACGTTGATCCACAGGCAGTTACTCTTGAGCAAGCACTTGTAATTGCTGAAAAACTCGGACTTCGCGGTAGTTCTGCTGTCAAAATGGCTCAAGTTGTTTCAACTGTTGCTCAATTAGCCAAAAATATTGTTCAACAACAAAGTCAAAGAGGTATGATGAATGGAGAACAAACTATTTCCAAACAATTAGACTTTTCTCAAAATCTCCAAAATGGAGAATCGAGCAAGAAAATTGTTCAGCAATGTCAAAATGGCGAAGTTCGAAATCAAACTAAACATAATTTGCATAATGGAAATCTGCAAAATGGGGATTTATCTAGAAAAGTTGCACATCAACAAAATGGACAACAAAACCACCGGTATTTAGAGTTTGAAGAAACTAAAGTAAATAATTTGGTAAATGGTAATTCTTTAATTCTAACGAATGGAACGTCTGAGGAGGAAATTAATGAAGATGATTGGTTGCAAGTTACAGTAAAAACAGCCATTTCGGCGGCAGTTGTCACTCTCACGAATGATAAAATCGAAAACGGTCAAGATATAGTTTTATCATCGATCAGTGAGGCTTTTAACGTTCTCCTAAGACAGAAATCAGTAAACATGGATGAATCAGTAGACGAGGTACTTCGAATTCTTTTAATTCCACGAAATCGTAGCCTTTTGTGTCGACAGGTTCTCACCGATTTGGCTGAGGCAAATTACAATAAAGTGGATATTTTAAAATCCACATTAATGAATTGTTCAATGAAGGATGAGGTTGTTCTTGAAAAACTCTTTCAAGTTTTAGAAGAAGAGCATGGCAGTGATATTGTTGGTTCTGCTTTTCGAGCAATGTCAAAGGGAGATCCGGATTTACTTTCCCGGGTTTTGAAGAAGGTATCAGAGGAAGTAGCGAGTGTTGAAACGGAAAAAGAAGCTGCAGAAACGGTACATAAAGCGATTGTACAAGCAGTTAGAGAATCAAGTGAACTTCGAGTAAAGGAATTGTTGAATGACGAAGGTACAAAAGTTAAGGAAATGCTTCTTCAGGCTGTGGGTTTGGCTAGAGCTTTGGGAATGACATCAACGGCAAGTAGCCTTTTGGCAGTTCTCAGCGATGAGAAATCAACGAGAGTTTTAGCAGGCGACAAAGTGACACTAGACATTCTTAAGAGATTAACAGTGATGAGAAAATTAGCAGAGGAACGACCACAATTTATATCGGCACTCGGTGATCTTTGCAGTGATCCAGAATTAGCGAGATCGGATCCAGTTTTAAGGACATTGGTCCGCGAGAGTGCTGCTTTGATGATAGTTCCCGAGGAAGGTCCACTGCAGTCATCTATTGATGTTCCAACATCTTTATTACATGCTGAGAATAGTCTCGCTATTGAGGAGTTTCTGATGAGAAGGAGTCATAGGCCATCGTCAATATTTATGATTTTAAAGCAAGGATTTCAGTGTGTTGTACCAAGGGAAGCTGCGAGAAGTGTATTAACCGGAGAAGTTGCCTATACAGTTTTAGATGAAGATGGAATTCATCATTTTGAACCGCTTAATGTATTTTCAGCATTGAGAATGAATAAACCAGCTGCTCATCGATTTTCAATGTATTGTTGTCCTGTCGCTAGAGAAGAGGATATTGATACTGAGATGCTATCTACTTTCAATGGACCAATTCCTATAACGAATACTAGTAGTTTCGATGAATCAATACTCGAAAATTTTGAGAGGCTGGAAAGCATCGGCGTTACTTTGTCTAAGTCTGACAAATCCGTTGGATGCGTTGACAGCCGGGAAAATACACCCAGCTTCCGGAAGATTTGTAATATCTATCGCGAGAGTAGTAGCGAGAGGGTAATTAAAATTTTTCTCCTAAATTTATCGAAAAAGCGCCAATTTGATAATTTTATCTTTTTATTAGAAAAAAAATATTCTCCTTTTAAAACTAAGTATAGAAACAGTTTTTGTTCTTAAAATGTTTCTAAAACAATATATCTCTGTTTCATTTTCAGGTATAACGAATCTAAAACTTAATTTTAGAATATGTTATACTCTGAACAAAAATAACACTAAGTACAAAAAAATCATATGTTTCAAGAAAAAAGACGCAAATCATCGCAGTGATTGACGTAAAATTCTTTTCATTTTTTTGCTTTCAGAAATCAGAAAACTACGTGGTCGTTAAGGAGTTCGCTGAGGGCAACTTTTCAGTGGATGTCGGTGAAATCGTCGAAGCCGTCGAATATGGGGATTCAAAGTAAGCAACGTTTCGTTTGAGTATTCATCAAAGAAAAGCAAAAAAATAAAAAAAAATTTAATGCTTAAGAAAGAAAAAAATGCCAATGCAAATATCGGAGTTCGCTGGCACATTCGACTTATAAGTGTGTGAGTGTGCGTGTGAGTACAAATGTGTACATATATGAGTGTGTTGCATTGCTATTTTGGCAGCGTGTTAATTTTGGCTTTCTAAAAATAGCTAACCATAGAGAATAACGCATCTAACGATAACAGACAGCCAGCCACATGAATCTCGCGATTTACTATATGAACTTTCTATATCTTCATATGAAAAAAAAACAAATATAAAGCAACATATTGAATATCAGAAACAATGAGAGTTTCCGAAGCTTCTTTGACAATTTCCGAAAATGTCAGTTTGCACCTTTCAAGAAAAAGAGAAACATTTTAGAATTTACTTCTGTTTATATATTAATTTATTTTATTGTTTATAGAATTTAATTATTTTCTGCGTATATTAAATAATATTACATCTAAGTGTTAATTATAATCACTCCTAAAAGAAATCATAATGTTAATTTAGCAAATATTAAAAAAAAAAATTGTACAGTAAACTTGTACAATAAATAAATGCATCAATAATCAAAAAAATATTTTTCAGTATTTTCTTTTGTTAATTTTACACAAACACGCAGCCCCTTAAGATATTAAAAAAATACGAATTTGTTTTTTAAATATACAAATTTGTATTTTTGTTTTTATTTTTAAAAAATTTTGTTATTAAAATAATAATAAATTAATTTTTTCAATAACAACAAATCTACAAAATCGAATTATTTAATTTTCTTTTATTAATTTATTATTGTTTTCTAAAACAGTTTCTTAAAAAAAATTATTTTCATGATTTTTTTTTTTTGCTTTTGTTTTGTAAATGAAAACTTACATTTTTTCAAAAGTGTATATATGGGAGAAATTTCAATAAACAAGTGTAAGATTGATGCTATTCATGAATTTATCAACAATCTCCTTTGAAAGCTTCCAGCAGTGGATTTTTTTTTAGTAAACAAAAAGAAATGCACGCTGTTCAAACTCTGGTGCATCATAATATGTGAAAATTAACGATCCACAGATCATAAAATCCAAAGAAAGATAAATGGTGATGCTTTGAAACAGTGTTAACGATATAAGCACGTAAAATTGAAAAATGACGCATCTAGACTTATTGTGTGACGTGAAACAGAAAAGATCATTGCTCCGTTGGATATTTTTTTCTGTTTATTTTTGAAAACATATTTTTACGATCTCAGCGAGTCTATATACTTCAGAGTCATTTAACAACTATTCTACACACGAAAATAATAATTATATTACCGCTTATAAAAAATCATTTCCAACAATATGAGAATTATTAATTTATTTAAATTTTATTATGTATTATTATTTATTATTATATATTATAAATAATTTTTCCCCCGTTATTAACTTTTAGAGAGTCTTCAATACAAAAAGTAAATTAAATTAGATATTAAACAATTCGAAAATCAATTTTCCATTAATTTACTGAATTATAAAAAATTATAAAAATCACATGAAAAATACTCGTCATTTCGCTTCTATAATAATTCTATTTTAGCTTTTACATCAACTCCTCTGACGGTAATAGTACTCGTCTCATTTTGCAATTTCCTAACATCTTCAAAACCGTTACACTCGTCAAAGGAATATTACGAAAGACCGGAAATATTAACGAAACGAAAAACAAAACGAAATTTCATATAATATCGAAAAGATTTTAATTAAAATTTAACCAAATAATTCAAGCAAGTGTCTGAAAATTAATTTTTGGCAGTTATCTAATTAAAAAATATAATTAATCGCTTTGTACGCTAATAATAATTATAGCAAATAATCTAATTGCTTTCAAATTCTAACAAACTTGAAAATTTTGCCAAAAATTTTCGATTATCGAAATTTTTTAAAATAAAAATACAATTAAATTCAACTATTTTTCCCTTAAATCTATTTATTTTCAATTAATCCTAACAATAATAATAATAATAATAATACCTAATAAAAATGAATAATAATTTATTAATAATTAATACTAATAATAAGAAGAATAGCAACAATAAAAATAATTCAACGACTAACGAGAGAAGAATAATGAAAAATCATCTGCTTTTTTGAATTAATAATATATTTGAATTCGCAACGCTGCATGGAACTAAAATAAAATCAACGAAAGGATTAACGAAGAAAATTGAGAAACAATTCTGAAGAAGAGTTTGACATTTTTTTATTTTAGGAAATTGAAACTAGATCCTGAATTAGAAGTCGGTGAAGTCAGTGATCGATTGGATAGTTCGGCTGCCAAACATAAATTGTCTGTAAGACCGCGAAAAAAATATGCCGATCCTCGAGCACGTAATATTTCAAGATCAAGTTCAGACTCCGATATCAACAGGTACGTTATACAATATAGTTTTTATTTAACATCATCACAAAAATTCAGCGAGAGTACCTCTCTCAAAAAATAGTAGTATGTGCGAAATACAAGAAATAAAAATTTCAACAAATAATATTTTTATAAATATTACCGCTATTAGTTAAATTTTTATAAATTAAGAAATTTTAATTTTTTAATTTCAACACTTTTTCTTGTTAAAGAAATTTTTTTTACTGAAATTAATTTAATCACGATTAAACGTATGTTGATATTGAAGAAAGACAGATAAAGAAATATTCATGGAAAACGTAAAAAACATTATTTTGAAATAATGATTTTTCAATAGAGAAAAAGAAAAATTGAGAGATTGATTCAAGGTTGAACTTGAAGGAAGAAATACTCGCACACGACAGGTGCCGTGTGTGAAGAAACTGATGATACAGTTGAAAATTGTAAGTCATAAGAGAGAAGGAGAGTCTAAGCCAACGACCCCATCATTTTTCACCCCCACGTCTAAATAGATTCATAAAGTTATATCCGCGAATTGCCTCCACTTCTAAGAGTATATATTAGATGACTTCGGAGTAGAGCTCACAATAATTGAGAGCCGCTCATTTAATAAGTTTGAATTCATAAATCTCAATGTCCATTCTCCGTTAAACGAAAATAAATTATTTCTAAAACTGCTCGAAAATATAATTAACATCCGCGATAATAATTTATATATTTTTCGCCAGAATCAACTAAGTTGAAAAATATCATTTTCCCTTAATTTAACTCAATATTATTTTATATATTTTTTTATATATTATAATTATATATTATAATTATATATTATAATATAACTATAATATATTTAAATATAATACAATAGTAATACTAATAATAATAATAAAAATTTAAACATGGTTTTCAAACAATTAAATAATGATGTTTTATGTAGGTATAATTAGAATATTAAAAAAGATCTACGAACCAATTTAACAATTTCCAAATTTATCCTTGCATACTTTGTTCTGGCATTATTTAATAAATACTGGATTAATATTTCCTGCGATCTGACTAATTTTCCATTGTCCAATATTATCAACCTGAAAATTAAATAATATAAAATTAATTACAAAATTTTTAAAATTTAAGAAATTAAATTAAATAAAAAATAATAAATTAAAATTTATTAAAGCTATTGTCAAAGAAAAAAAGTATGGAAAATAATTAACTTATACATTAAAATTTCAAAAAAAAAATTCAATAATTTTTAAAAATATAAAAATTCTTTCCAAAAATAAATATAGTTAAAGTGAAATTTTTTTTTCTTTTTTATTTCTTTAAAATAGATTTTTATTGCCAAGTGTATTAGAATTTTCTTGAGGTGTCAACTTGCAACAGTTTTACAATATATAAGGTGAAGAAAAATTTGTATCAAATAGATTCGTTTAAAATTGCATCTAACTCCGCCCACAGCGACAACGAGAGTCCTAAACGAATTTCAAATGAATTTACGAGATTTCCTAAGAAATACCGATATACTTATAGTCCAAAAGATCTATCGAAAGTTGCGTTTCTTATATCACAAGGACTTTTGTCAAGTAACTCACGCTCTTTCAACCTACATTTTCTATGTACATCTACTTCATATTATTATTATTATACGTGAATCTGGAGCATGCTCTACCCAGTTCATGTCATCGAGGAGTAAAATTCATGTAAAAATAAATAGAGAACAGACGATGAAGAAAAGAAAAAAACAAAGAATTTAATTTGCAATACAAGGCTGACCACGATATCAAAAACGTTAAACAATAAATTTCCACGAGATTTATGGTGACGCTAATGAAGACTAAATGATTATAAGTGCTCAAGTAGTAATTGTTTAATGGATTTTATTGAGAACTCTGGCTTGAAAACAAATCGATTTTAGGATAAAAAGATTCATAAATTTTCAATCGTAACTAATAAACATCTTTTACAAATTTGCAACAATCTTGACATTTTTGACAAATTGTGAATGATAATAACTTGTTCTTTGGCATTTCGACAGAATTGAATAACTATTAAATTATTTATTTAAAATCCATTAAATAGACTTTGTAAACAAATTTAAATTTCAATATATATATTTAAACATTATTGCTGTAAAAAATAATTAATAAAACGTTGTTTTAATTTTAATTACTCTTTTCATAAAAATAAAAAATATATATTTACTATTTTATTATACTGAAACGATTAAATAATTTTGGGAAAAATTACATTTAAATGAAGATATATTCGGATATGTTTGTTTTGGAGACAAGACAAAAGTGATGCCATTCAAATTGCAAAGAGAGAAAGACCAATGTCACATAACAGGTTAATTCGTGTAGGAAATAGATCGAAACCGCAAAAGAAACGATACACAAAAGAGGAGAGACATCGAGAAGAGTTGAAATTAATTTTATTGCTAATTGATGTGTCAAATGTGTCTGTGACAAACATTGGCTCTTTATATTTTGTCGGAATTGGATCAAGACGTCTCTCTGGCAACTTCCAACTTTTATATCTCGCACAATTTCAAAGTTAATGTTCCTATTACCATAAAGATTCGGAATTTTAACTTTCTTCAAATCTTACAGAAAATTATTTAAAAAATTTTTTCTTCATTTTAAAAATAAATGTTTAAGAATTTACTATCATAACCGTATAAATTTATCAAGATTTTATTTTCTTTATAGTCAATAAAATGAACCACAAAAATGCCACAAAAATAAACAAACGTCTACGATTTCTATTTCTTAAATAATAATAATAGCGGAATATTTATGTGGTGACGACTCAATTATTAAAAACAAGTTTTATCAAAAGGATTTGTTATTAGTTATTACCTAATTTACAGGTTGAAGATAATTTTCTGTTTGTTTTTTTAACACTTCCTCTTTTTTGCACACGATTTTCACAAGACTCTCGTGACACTCCACAATTGAAATATTTCCAAAAATAATGATCAAATAATTGAATAATTTAATACTTATTTAATAATTAAATAGTTTAGAAATAATAAAAACTTGTGTATGAGATAAACAAAATACTCTATGTTGAAGATAAAAACTTGTAAATCACTAACATTTTTGAGAGGGAAATCAAATCTTCCTGAGGTTACTCGAGGTCAGACAGGGTTGGAACGGTAAGGACACTAAAAGGAGGGTTGGGAAGGCAAAGTTCAGAAATAATTAAACTTCTGATTGGCTGGAATTAAACGTTCTTTTTTAAAAAAATTATTTAAAATTTTTATATTTTTTTAATTATCCTAAAAATTGAAAACTTTTTGTCATTTTTAAAATAAATATTTAAAAATTGACTATATGCATATATCATAACCCTATAAATTTATTTATTCGGATTTTTTCCCACCCTATCAGTCGCAATAAATAATATAACCATAACCAAAGAAATAAATAAAACAATGCCAACGATGACGATTTACGAAATGATTTTTATCGAAATGATTTATAATTACCTAATTTACAGGTTGTTGAAGATAATTTTCTGTTTGTTCTTTTAAAACTTCCTCTTTTTTGCACACGATTTTCATAAAACTTAACAATCGAAATATTTCCAATAATAATAGCCAAATAATTGTTGATATACACTTAATTAATACTAGAATACTTTAGAAATAATAAAATCTTATTAATTATGTTTACTAATCTTATTAAAATAATACACAGGATGTCGAAGATAAAACTGTAAATCACTAACAATTTGCGAGGGAAATCTTCCCGTGGCTACTTGAGGCCAGGCAGGGTTGAGATGGTAAAGATACTAAAAACCTGTACAAGCAGGGATGTGAAGGCAAGGGTTAGAAACAATTAAACGTTTCTGATTGGCCGGTAATATTTCCGGTAATTTGACGAACCAATAGAAATTATTTGGACTTAACTACCCAATGCTGCTTTTTCAAACTGCAAATTAGGTAATTTCCGGTAAAACCGGAAATCAAAACAATTTGAAAAGTATATAACCTAAAATTTGGATGTTGTCATTCAATAACAATATTAAGAAAAAGAAAAAAAATTAATACTTTCAATATAAAAAATTGCAGTACCAGGGAAAGTGATATAAAATATTCAATATTTGCTGAGAAGATAAAAGATTATTGCCTTTAAAATTGACGTGTGAAATGTTTCTACTATTTTATTTCTGTTAATTTATGTCATCTCACGGTAATATTAAATGATTTCTAATTTATATATTATATATCTACAAAACTTCTGGCATAACTTATAATATGATTATTTTCACACTTTCTGATTTTGTGTATCACTTGAAAATTATTTATTAATTTTACATCGAGAAGGTTTGTAATTTGAAATCTCTTAATATATTTTGGGCAGATTCCCAAAAATTTAAAATACCTTGTACCATCTTTAAGAATTATTAAATGAATCATCAAACAAGTATAGTCATCTTAACACGTGTATACAAATATAAATATTTTTTTATATATTTTTATCATATATAAAAAATGTCAAAAATTGATTTTTTTCAATTATTCGTTAACGTAAATAATAAATTATTTCTTAAATTAATTATTGAAAATGAATACATATTTAATTTGTATTTAAGAAATGATTTAAGTAAATATGAATCGTTTGAAATTCTTTGGCTCTGATTACGTGTTTTATTTACTTATTCTATGCTAAATATGAAAATCTTTGTTCTTTAGGGTATTATTTTTTTATTTTAAGAAAGAAAAATAAATATATAGAATGTGGTCGTAAACTTTGCTTTTTAAAACTTCGTAAAAAATACGAAACATGTCTGAACCGTTCTTTCAAATTTTTGTTTCGAGTACTTAAATAACTTTGACAATTTAGAAATCATCAATTTTCTCTTCTTGTCAAGCAATTTCCGCTGGACATAAATTTTTTTAATTTTTGTAATTATCTATTTCGAGAAACATTTTTTTTTTCTCATTTTTCAATTTCATAAAAATTTGTTTTATGGACTGATATTAATAATAGCAATTTTTTTAGAGTTTATGTAAGAACATCAAAGGGAAAAGAAGGATGGCTACCCACGTCTATTGTCATGCAAACATTGTTGAGCGACGAAAGTTCAGCATTTTCGAGTTCTCATCGACGAGAAGACTCTACATATCGAAGAGAGTAAGTTTTTCTCTAATTCTACAAGACTAATAAAAGTGCGAATTAAAAAAATAATAAATTCTTATTATTTTGAAATTCTTTTCAAGGGCAGTGATAAAGGAATTGGTTGAGACGGAAGAAGAATTTGGAAGAGATCTTCAACAAGTCGTAGAAAGATATTTGAAACCTCTCGACAATCCGGGAGTGCCTCGTGTTGTTAGAGACAACAAGGAAATCATTTTCACAAATTTGAAACAAATCGCTGAATTTCATAATACGTATGTATATATAATAAACAAAAAGAAAACACAAACACAGTCAATCGTCAACTCATTGCGACAACAATATAAACAATTTCACTCAAAACAACATTCCCCAGAAAAAAACGTTCTCATTACAAATTCTCTTTACTTAAAAAAAAAGAATTTCATTTGAGATAGATCTAAAAAATCTCTTTTCTTTGTAAAGAAAAAACAATACAATTTAATAATAAAATCACAATATACAGAATACATTTTCACCAGAACAATTATTGAAATATGAAATACGTAAGTCCAAGGTTTGAAAGTTTTTGTGACGTCTATGTGTATCTAACGAAATTGTTTTTAGTAAAATTCACCAGTTTTTGTAATTAAAAGAAAAATGTGGTTTTTAGTTTTAATTCTAATATTGTAATTTGTGTCTAGAAATCAGTTTTTATCCATAATTATTTATATCCCTCTTTTTTAAAAAAAAAAGAACAAACAAACAAAGTAAAATAAAAATTACTAAAAAAATCATTTTTCAGGAATTTTTATTGATATTTCTATGACAAAAAAAATATCATATTTTGTTGTTGAAAAATTCCCGAAATTTTTGTTTAGTGTCAAAATTGTAATTTCTATAACAATTTACTAAAACCACAGATTTCACAATGTACTTTGTGTCTTTATAACGTAGAAAATTAATCCCCTGGATAAAATTATTTTTCATTTCTAACACATTGTACGACAATGAAAAGAAAAACCCGATCATTGTCAAGCATTTGTTCTGTCGCATTAAATGAGAAGTCGAAAACTGTTCCTCGTAAAGTGTGATAGTGAGTTTGGCATGTCATTAATTCCGGCCTTACTTAGATCGTTCGGCAGGGTGTTGATCGAGGGTGTCAAATACTATGCGGATCAGCCACGAATGCTTGGAAAAACTTTTCTCCGACTGGTGAGTATTCTTATTAAAAAAAAAAAGCTAAAAAAAATTCATAACAATGAAACTTTTGCTTAAAATACTTAAATATCTTTTAATTTTTACTAATCTTTTTTTTATTTCTTTTAAATATTTCAATTGTTTCCTTTTTAATCGCGAAATTAAAAAAATATTTGAATTTCAACAATTCGGAACAAAATATTGTTTTCTCTTTTTAAAAAATAAAAGAAAATGCTAATAAAAACTCTTTTTTCCAGGAAAGAGATTTCGACAAACACGTGGCCTATTGCAGAGACGAGCCAGCCGCTCAAGAGTTTCTTCAAATGAACGACGGAGTTCGAGAATATTTCGAGGTGAATAGCTACAGATATTTAAAATTAAAAAATCAGACATCCCATGTCAAAAAGTCCGTTTGCTCTGATGCGAAAAAAAATATACAACTTTTTTTTTATAAATAAATAAATCAACACTCCTTCAAATGTCAAAAAAAGTTCAACATTCGAAGTTCTTAATTGAACGAATTTGATTAAAGCCGAAAATATTTTTATAACTATTATTTAATAGTTTTATAACTATCATTTAATTGTTATAATTATATCAAAGTTAAGGAAATTATAATTATGAGATGATTATAATATTTAATTTTTTTATTTATATTATTTTCATTCATAACAATATTACTATGTAATGTTAAAATTATATTATTCTTTATTCTTAATTAATTATTCCCGTAAAAGTTTTTCTTCTTTTTTACACTTACAGTTTTCTAATAATTTTCGAATTATCCAAAAGTTTTGTGTACTCGCCATCATATGATTCCAATTTTTGCAATTCTTCAAAAACACATTTTCTTATTTTCTCAGGATCTTGATCACCCATGCGAAGAATACGTTCGCCTACCAATAATTTGCAATTTTTATAAGCTTTTAAAAATACGTCTTCATTTTTTATTTCACCTTCATAATTTTTATTGTAAATTTGTCGTTTTTCTTTATTTGTAGACTTAATTGTTTCTGTAAATTTCTGTATATTATCATCATTAATTATTTCGGTTATATTATTTTTCGAATTTTTTTCCAATTCTGTAAAATTATTTACATCGGATTTTTTTAAATCCAAATTGATTGTTGTATTTTCATCTTTTTTTATTGACTCTTTGTCATTTGTCTCAGATTTCTCGACTATTACTGATGAATTTGTAATCACAATCGGTAATGTACGTTCGGAAATATTTTCTCTATTTAAAGATTCAATTGTCGAAGAATTCTCTTCTGTTTTATTTCCATCTTCTTTCGATTGTTCAGAATTCAAAAGATTAATTAAAGAAATTATTTCTTTTTCCGATAAATTTTGCATAGTATTTAAAATTACTTTCAATAATTCCAATTTTGAGGAACTTTCATTTTCTGTCTCTATTTTCGAAATTTTTGTTGAATTTAAATCTCTGACGATTTTTCCATTCTGAAAGCAGGGAGCTGCATTTTCCGTTGTTGTTTGCTAAAATAAAAAATTAATAAATAATATGAAATTAGTAAATATATTTTGAAAAATTAATATTCTCAAACTATTAAAAAATGGTATAAAATAATCTAGATTTATTCTTTATTTATAAAAATTACTTACCAATACGATTGAAATAATACAAATAATGCAGAGAATTACTTTAATCAATGAAGACATTTTCACTTCTGTTGCACTATTAATTTTTCAAACGCGTTTAAAAAAGTTTAATTAACCTTCACAAATCAATCAGCATAATTAAGTGGCTATTGAATGTCAATTTTTTAAAATTTAAAGTCCAATTCTAATTTGCATTTATGTTTTCAAAATTGGAGAAAAAAATATTCTTTTTTTAATTCAAATACGAATAAAGTAATAAATAATAATAAAATTAAAAATATTTTTTAAAGAAATGATAAAAGTCGATAAAGTTAAAAACGAACGAAGATAAAGAAGTTTTCTGTGAATAAAATACACGTCGTCATGACGGTGATTGACTAATCAACAATTTTCATCCCACGCTTCACGTTCTAATATAAACCACCATTCGCACTTTATTTTCCCTAACAAGCAGAGCTATATTACAACTTGTGACTCTTCATTTTCGAATGTATTAATCACTGATTTTTTTTTAATTATAGAAGAAAAATATGAAAGGAAAAAATGGAATTAAAATAAAAAGAAGAAATTGAGAAAAAATTATACAATCTATATAAAATAAAGAAACAAGTAATAAGAAAATAGTTTCATACGTTTCAATGTGATTTTGGAATGTATGGATATATATTAAATTAAGAAAGTAATATGGAATATGCAGTTGAAAATTTATAGCAAATTACATAACGGGGCTGGGACATATGGGCGGCTGTCCAGATAGCTGAGTTTATTTTTGAGATGGGAAACATTTTGTGTTCCTGTTGAACGATCTATACATCATCCTGAAATTCATATAGGCACGCGGGTGGGAAAAAGCAGGAATGAAGAAAAGAGCAATTATAGTCGTCATGAACCAGTGACGTCATTGGGTGACGTTGTAGGGAAACATTTTTCTCCTAGTGTCACCGAACACGCAACACACGCACGCTACACTGAAATATAAATGACTCCTAAACGTAATCACAAGGTCGAAATCACCTTCAATTTTTTTTTCTTGTTTTCTCCAAAGAAATATTCTACATCTAATTATTTAAATATTCAATTGTAATTTAAAAAATTAACTGAATTTTATTTATATTTTATTATTTGTTTTTTGAAAATTTTTCCCACAAAATTTAATTACGTTATGATTTTTAAAAATAATATTAAGTATCTAAAAGAAGAAAAAAAAATGTGAAGGAAACGAAATTGTGAAATGCTGAAAATTCTTTTAATACTCTTAGAAGTCAAAGTCACGGTATTCATTTATACAATAGTTTAAAACTCCAAAAAAATTTCAACAGTAACTCTACCAAAATTTAAATTAAAATGAATTTAATATCTAATAAACATTAGTTATTTAAAGTAAAATATTTATTAACTAATTAAATTTAATTAAAATAAAAAATAGACTTTTTATGGAATGTAAATTGACTATAACGAAATATTTTGCCCCTTAAAGTCGAACCGAGACCTGTGAATTTTTAAAAGGGTTGGAAATAGTAAAGTTGAAAAAAATAGATTTCTTTTCTTAGGGTCTCTTTTTATATGAAAAATTTGTATACAGGATAATGTTACCGCATTATCATCGATATGCATATAGCAATGGTCGTGAATTAGTATTTGTTCGTGGTCAGTCTTAGTTCTCCACGGCTAAGTATAGCCGTGGCCGTATTGGTCTCACTGGTTTCAGACACGGGCCGAGGGGGTTTCGGTAACCACTGACTATACGGATTTGAAAGTGTGGATCAAGTCAATCCAGTCTGCGACTAACAACGTGGGCACCCCGAACCATCATCTTCCGGAGCCGATTTTTCATAAAAATAGTGATAGGTCATTAGACCTTATTAGACTCTTTCAAGGTGTGTGTGTGTGTTATCACGTGCTCCCATTCAACAATTATGTCCCTTACCCTTCTTTAAAAAAAATTAATTTGCTCATTTCTCCCAAAAAAAATTGTTTACTTTTTTTACAAAAATGGAAAAAAGCTCTTTTTTTAAAAAAAGCAGAAACTGTTTACTAAAATTCCTCTTGCTCTATTTAATTTCTTTTTATTTCGACAGAACGTTATCTTGACAATGACGTTGTCAGTCACAGTGACAAAAAAGTTTCGTGTCACGGAAGTTAAAGTGCCAAGGATGTGTCCCAAAAATACTTCCGACTTTGGATTACTTTGTTTTTGATATCCATCTCAAAAGAATTCATTACTCTCATTTAAATTTGATTTTGAGATAATTTAAATAATTTTAATTATTTAAAATTTAATGATTTATTAGTGATTAGTGAATTTAAAAATGATTGTGTAAAGATTCGACTTTTAAATCGAGAATAGTTTTCGATTTGGCGTGTGAAGTGACTAATGGTGTCAAAATAAAAATAAAGAATCATTTTTTCGTTTATTTTTCTACTTTTAAAAGTAGTTGCGTATTATTACTTTTAGCCAGCAATTGATTTATACTGTCAAATATTTATTTAATTAGTGATAAAATTTTTCGTTAAAAAATTTAAATCACTAAAATTAATTTTATTTTATAAAAAAATAATTCACAAGTTTTTTTAATTTCTAACTAATTCTTGAATGATAATTTATCAATACTTGACATTTTCGAATCAAGTAATGAAACATGATATTGAAATTTAAAATTATTTAAAAAATTTTAAAACCAAAATCAATAATAATAACTATGTTTTAGGAGCTGAGCCAGACTCTCGGAGACGACAAAAGATTATCGGAACACCTGAAACTTCCGATACAACGTATAAACGACTACCAACTCCTCTTGAAGGTAAAAATTATAAAATCTTAATTGACTAACTAATTAAACATAATTCATTAAAAAATTGTTTTTTTGCATCAATTTAAATTTTTTTACATCTAAACTATTTTTACCAACTATATATTTTTATTATAAAATATATAAAATATAAATGAAATATTAAAATTAATTAGTAGAAATTAGTAAATTATATAAACTTAATATAGAACAAGTGAAAAAATTAATTATTAATATTTTTTTATTTTAATAATAAAAGAAATGCAAAAATGAACAATTTTTAAAATGATAATTCGACCTTCGAGCACAAAAAAAATTGTTGACAAAAGAAACGTGGAAGATAATTTTATTTATAAAATTTTATAATTTTTATTTATAAAAATCTATTTTTGTAATAAGGTAAATTTTATAAGAATTTTTGCCTCATAACTTTCAAACGTAAACAAAACCTCGTGTTCTTGATTCAATAGATTGTTTATAGCCTCATATAAGATTGTTTTTATAATCTAAATTATGTACTAAAAAAAAGATATTTAATAAAAATTTGGAATTTCAATTATAGAAAATATTATCACATCTATTTGGAATCTTTGCAAAAAAAATTGATTTAACGTCTGTGGAGATCTATTTTGTATATCGATAGACGACAAAAACGAATTTCAAATAAGTTTATGAGTGTGAGTCTCTTTCATCATGCATCTATACGATTTTAAGATAGTGTGCGAGAGTAAGAGTGGGCGCCGTACAGATTTAGCGCTCTAAAAACAGGTCATCTTCATGGCACGTTATCCTTTCAAATGCTATTCGGATGCTACTGAAAAGCCCCAACAACATCACTAACAGATTTGTTTATCTCGGGAGAAAAGAGACATTTTTCTCAAAAAAAAAAAAAAAAAATCCGCGAATTTTTTTTATTTACAATATAGTCACCAGGACATTTTAATTTTTTTTTCAATATCATTTTTATGTAAAAGAAAATGTTTACTATTTCTGCAAAATATTGAAAATTTTAAATTTGAAGAATTGTGAATAAAGAATTTCAATTTACAAAAAATGTGAATGTAAAGTAGAAATTTCTAATTGTAAGTCTGACAATAATTGACTTGTTCCCCTTTCATTTTGCCCTCAAGTCCTTCACATTACTTCGTGACTGACTATATTTGGATCTATTCTACTGGAGGCAGTTTCTAAGACAATTTTTTAAATAAAAATTTGCTATTTTTCCAGTACTTTTCATCAAATTCCCTAATCTGTGGCAACCCTGATTTTTAATGAGAATATATCTATGAACATTTTTTTTTGTTTTACAGGAGTTGGTGAAGTATTCGACCCGGCTAGGAGAAAATTGCGACGACCTCCAAAACGCTTTGGAGTTGATGCTAGGAATTCCTCATCGAGCAACTGATAATAAATTCATCAGTAACATCGAAGGATACAAAGGGAATATTCACAAACTTGGAAGATTACTTACTCACGTTAGTAAAAAATCAGAAAATTTTAAATTAAAAAAATATATATAAATTAATTAATATAGAAAAAACTAAATTTTTTTTAGGAATGGTACACAGTTATCGACAAAGACGGGAAAAGCAAGGAACGATATTTATTTTTGTTTAAAGCCAGAATTCTAGTTTGCAAAGTCAGACGTATTTCTGAAGATCGTTCAGTTTTTGTTCTCAAGGACATAATTCGAGTAAGTTTCTAATTATTTTATATTTTTCCTAAAATAAATCACGACCAATACAAATTTAATTTAATTATTTTTAGCTAATATTAATAAAATAAATATTATCCCAGATTCCAGAAGTGGAAGTTAAAGATCATCCAGAAGAGGCAAGATCATTTGAATTACATCAACCAGGTGCTGCAGGATATCCAATAACTCTCGTGGCCCACAAGGATCCAGTTAAGGAATATTGGCTTAAAGAAATCAGACAATATACCAGCGACGTTGTCGCTCTTGCGGAACACGCCGCCGATGATTTACAAGTAACTGACGAACCGGAAATTTCCAGTCCTAAAGCTGAGCCAATCAATATTCAACCACCAACATCCGATAAAACATCTGATTCAAAATTACCCGAGAAACGAAAAGAAGAATCAATCACTACTAAGGATATAGAATCGAAAAAGGCAAAAGTCGAAGAAACCCAAGATATGTCCGGAAGATATTCCTCGAGTAGATACAGCGCTTCCTCAAAAGTTGTCGAGGGTAAGTGAAAATTTTAATTTTTAATTCCAAAAAGGAACTAATTAAAAATTTAGATAATTGAGTAAATAAATTAAAAAAAAATTTTCCAAAATTATGAAGAATACTCGTCAGTATCGAGCAGCAAAAATGGAACAACAACTCATATAGAATCGTCAGCATCGCTAACGTCAAGTGGAAGAAGAGCTTCTTCCTCTCTTCATGGAAACGATCATGTATCGGAGAGTTCAAGTTCTTATCAAACAGTAATTGGTGGTTCAAATGTGGATTCTGAAATGAGAACAGCGAGAGTGGCATTGTCAGCCACTGAATCTGGAAAACCAAAATTTTCAAAAACAATCGAAGGATGCGAAGCTCAATGTAAGTATTATCAATTTTTCCAAATCCCTGTTTCCTCTTTTAAGGAAGCAAAAAAAGAAAATAATTTCGAATTTAAAAATGAAATATTGTCATGAAAAGGAAAAAAAAAAAAATAAATCAAGAGAGGTAAAACAAATTTTTCCTGTTCTAGCGACGCAATCAAAAATGGCTTTGATACACGTGATAGGTAAAGTGAAAATCGTGAAATGACTTTTGCTCTCGTCTTTTCATATCATACACTTTGTTTTCAATCTCTCTCTATAAATATAAATATCACAAAAATGTCATTTTTTCAGCTTTTATCAAAACTTGGCTTAAAAATTGTTCATCGCTTTTAGACGAGATCTTCTTTGATCACAAAATTTTGTTTGCTTATTGGCTGAGCTTTAAAAAAAATTATATACAATTTACACACAATTCACACAGAAACATTTTCACTACTCTTCATTCATGAATCACAAACATTTATACTATTACTCACACAAACAACTTTATTCAATTTAAATATAATTACTGAAATTTTCTATTTTTAATTAAAATTTTTGACAAATGTTACAATTGAAAAAAATATATTCGCTCAGTTTTGCAACGTATTTTCATTTGAAAATTTAAGAAGATTGTCAGTTCGCGATTAATGATTACAAGAAATCTGTCACCTGTTTATTCGGTAAATATATGTAATAAAATGAGAGAGAGAAAGGCGCCTCGAGGTTAATGTTGGAAGCGATTCGGAAACTCGAAAAGAGTATAGATTTCAAATTGTGAACGATGCCAAGTTCTCACGCGGCCCACATGTGTCGATTATAGCAGCCAAGTTTTCTAACATTTTTTAGAAATAGAAAAATATTTGATAAAACTTAAGTCAAAAAATTGAAAAAAAAATAGTAAAATCTCGAGCATGTAACCAAAAAAATCTTATTTTTATTTTTGAAAAGTTATACTTTCAAAATATAAAATGGTGACAAATTTCCAAATTTTTGTTAATATAATAGAAAAAAAATATTCATTAAATTGAAGATAATTTTTTAAATTAATGAAAAAATTAAAAAAATAAATTGAAGCATAAATATCAATTTGAGAATTGTGAAGAACAAATTCAATTTTGTCTTCATTTACCTATACTCATTAGAAATTCTTCAACATATGAATCACGAATTCTATATATCATTTTCATATGCTTGTAATCGTTAAATAAAATACTATAGTTAATGAAAAAAAATTCAATAATATAATTGTATTTTTTTTTTTCTTCAATAGCTGGAGAAAGTGCCACTTTCGAGTGTGTTCTTGAATCAATTTTCGCTCAAACAAAAATGCAATGGCTCAAAGACAACAGACCATTCAATGATAAATTAGCAGATCGTGTGAAAATTTCACGAGGTGATTCAAGCTTCAAACTTGAAATCAATAATGTTTTGGAATCGGATTCGGGAATTTACACTGCACGAGCAGTAAGTGGAGACAGCAAAGCTTCCTGTACCGCCCAATTAGTTGTCACCGATTGTAAGTAAATTTTGAAAGATTTAGAGCGTATTTTATTCTTAAATAATGATAAATTTATTTTATCTTTATTTATTAAATTTATTTTAGTAACACCTGAAGAACGAAAAGCTCGATTAGATGGAAATAAACCGGATTTCCTGGTTCGTCTCAAGGATACTGAACTTTTGGAAAACACATATCTTCGTTTTATGATCAAAGTCAAAGGAGATCCTAATCCTGAACTTAAATTGTAAGTTATTTTTTTCTAATATCATTAGTAATCAAAACTAAAAAAAAAAATGCTTCTATTTAGTAAAATTAATTTCAAAGGAATAAAATTGTTCCTGGATTCCAGCCAAGATTATTAAACAAGAAATATTCGAGAAATGTTTGATTCTAAATTAGATACTAGTTCCAAAACTATTGCACCCTTGAAAGCATTTTTGATACTAATAATATCTCTCATTAATTTTGAAGGTTCAGACTCGCTATTTTCAGTTTTAAACAAAACTTTATTTTAATTAGTGACATTTTTACTGTTTCTAAATAAATTAATAATATTTCAATGAGGAAAAAAATATTCTTTTCAGCTATAAAGATGGCGTTCTCATTGACTCAAAGAACGAGAGAATGAAAATTATTACGGAAAAATCAGACAAAGGTTTCTATGAATTAGTAATTCCCGATGTTTTAAAAGAAGACGCTGGTAAATATTCGTGTACAGCAACAAATAGCCATGGAGAGGCATCATGTGAAGCTGTTGTAACAGTAACAGATGATAAAGTAATTTTTGCCGGTTTACCTGAGGGTCTTCTTGAACCTGGTGAAATTCCAAAATTCAAATGGTCTCGAGATGGAGTACCCTTTGATCCAGAGGAGAGATTTAAAGTTTTATTCAAAGACGAAGAAGATACATTGGCATTAGTTTTTCAACATGTTAAGCCGGAAGACGCGGGTTTATATACCTGTGTTGCACAAACAAGTACTGGTAATATTAGCTGTAGCGCCGAACTCACTGTTCAAGGAACAGTGAGACAATTATTGAAAGAACCAGCAAAACCTGCACTACAATCGGAATCAAGACATTCTGAAGTTAGCGTTGGTGGTTCAGCAATGTTAGACCTTCAGGTAAGAAATTTTTTTTTAATCTAAAAACATTTTTTTGGAAATTTATTATTTCTTTATTATTTGTAATAGGTGAAAGGCTATCCAAAACCGGATATCAAATGGACAAAAGATGGAAAGGAAATAATTGCCGGAGGAAGGATAAAATATTTATGGGAAGATGAGGAATCCCTATCGTTGGTGATAAAAAATGTAACAGTTCAAGACGCCGGTACTTATGTGATTAAAGCGAAAAATGAACTCGGTGAAGATAGTACACAAATTGAATTGATCGTCAAATCAGCTCCAAAAATAACGAAAAAAATGGACGATCTCTTGGGACAGGTTGAAGAAACATTGTACATGAGTGTACAAATACAAGCATCACCAGCACCGGAAGTTAAATGGTTTAAAGATGGTCAGCAAATTGAAGAATCTGAACGTATTTCATTTAGAAAAGAAGAGGATAATATGTATATTCTTGTCATTAAAGATGCAACACTCGATGATTCGGGTTCTTATTCTGTATCAGCGAAAAATGAAGTTAATCAAACGTCAGAATTTTGGAATGTCTCAGTGAGATATCCTCCGAAAATAACGAAAAAATTAATGGAACCACAAATAATTGACGAGGGTGATAGTTTAACGCTTTTAATTGAAGTTGAAGCGGAACCTAAACCAACTGTCACTTGGTTAAGAAACGAGGAAATTGTCATTTCCGACGAGAGAGTGAAAATTGTCCAAGATGGTAAGAGGCACATGTTGAAAATCACCGGAGCTTGTCATATTGACGCCGCTACTTATAGAGTCGAGGTTGCAAACAAAGATGGAAAGAGTGTCGACTCTACGAACATAAAAGTGAGTATTTTACTTTTTTTTTATTAAATAAACACAAAATTAATTTTTTTTTTCAATTCAGGTGCGTTGTGCCCCAGTATTTAGAACAAAACTAGAAGACGTGATAGCAAAAGAAAATGAAGAGAATCTTGTACTAAAAGTAAAAGTTGATAGTATTGAAGAGCCAACAGTTCAATGGTTCCTTAAAAATACAGCCATAACAGAGGAGAAAAAAGATTATCGAATAATGGAGGATACTGAAAATATGGTCTACAGACTTGTGATTAGTCAAGTAAAACCGGAATTGGCTGGCAAATATATTTGCAAAATAAAAAATCAATACGGTGAAAATAAATGCGAAGCCAATTTAACAGTTTATACAAGACCAAAAATTAATAAGAAATTAGTTGATCAAAAAGTTAATGAAGGCGATACATTGAGTTTGAAGGTGGAAATATCAGGTACACCAGAACCGGAAGTAAAATGGTTTAAGGATGGTAAACAAGTTGATGCTTCAGCCGATGCTAGAATTAAAATTTCACGTGATACGAAACGAAAAGAAAATTATGATTTGACATTAACACTTGTCAAAGGTTCCGATGGCGGTGTTTATGAAGTGAAAGCTGTCAACGAATTGGGACAAGTCAGCTGCAAGAGCAAAGTCATAATTTTAAGTAAGTTTAATTTTTAATTATGATTAGTTTGACAAAAATTTAATTAAACATTCTTTTAATGCCAAATAAGGATCTCAGGCCAAAATCAAAGTAGGTTGAAAATTTACCCCTTGAAGATTTTTGTATAGATTTTCCTTTAATGTGACTGACTTTTTTTTGTTATCTATAATAATAATTATTAATTTTAAGATCGATCAAAAAAAAAATTTGAAAAACTGATTGTTTAGCAAAAACGGAGGAAATTGTCGAGAAAATGAAAGAAACTGCCGAAGAAGTGAAAGAAGAGGATGTTTCAGCAAAACCTCAAGAGGCTGAGGAATCGGGACCTGAAGGTAATTTTACACATTCACACACATAATCGTAAAAAAATGATTCAAATCAAATTTTTTTCTACTTTTTTATTAAGTAACTTTGTACTTTAAAAATATTGTCCTGCAAAAATCCGCATTTAGCGAATAAATATTTTAAATAGATTCAAAAAAAAAAATATATAATCTAAATTTGATGGAACGAATTAAAAAATCGCTTTAATCGAAAAAAAAGTCCTAGGCTTAGCTTTGTTATGGTAGATATAGTTGTAGCCATTATCTGATAAAATTCAGGTCGAGTCAAGTTGGAAAAACAAAAGGTCGAGGTAATTCGTGGCGCAGGTGACAAGATTACAATCTCAGTAGCCTCAACAACAACACACGAGGCTATTTTGACAGGTAAATCATGCACATCAAAGAATTCTATACAGATCTATACAGCTATAAGCAACCGCATTTTATTTTTTTTTTTTCTAAAATTAAACGACTGCACTTGTGACAATTGTTTAAAAATTAAAAATAATCAAAAATTTATTAATTATTAATATTAATCAATTAAAAAATAAATTATCAATTTTTTTTATAATTATAATTAATTAATTTATCAGCACTTGGCACTATTTTATTTTGCATTTGATTTTTGATAAAAATTTATTTTTATTTGGTTGCTAAAAATCAGGATTTTCAAAGAAATATGAAATAATTCCAAACTTTGAAAATCTTGTGAACACAAATATAAAAAAAAACACTCACACGGCTTTGTACACTTATGCTATCGCAATTGCTTCAAATGTTATTCATCATCTAAACCGAAAGATTTCCGAATTTTTTTTCAATTAAACTCGTTATCAAAAATTTCTATTTTTTGCTTCTGCTCAACGATTTAAACAATTTAAAAAAAAAATATATATATATATTTCGCTGAAAGCTTTAAAAATTCTAAGTCGTAGAAAAAATAGTGATAAAGGCAGACCCTTCACAGGTCCTGATGAGAGACACACAATTCATAAAATGACATCAACCAAAGTTGAATGTCAAGAGATGCATTCAGAAGGTCCTCACGTTGAAGAAATTGCCTCTTACAGTTATACAATTCATCAGGAGGATGGGACAAAGGCACAAAATGGCGTTCTTATTGAAGAATATTCTGAAGGTGAAGATAATAAAACAAAACTCCAAGTGAATAGAGGAGTTTCAATTGTATCAGTTTCTGATGATGAATCAACAATGAAGGCAATTTCACGAGACGTCAGTACAGATGACATTCACGCTGAACTAATAGACGATCATAAATTAATCACCAATGGATCAATAGAAGAAATTTATAATTATAATAATTCAAAAATCGAAGAAAAATCCTATGATGATCGTAAATCACAAAGAGGTCATCTCCTAACAGAAACAATAATTGAAGAACGATCAATCGATGAATCTCTTGCTGAAACTCCTCAATTGATGAAAAATTCATTACCTAAAGCTGAAACGGCAATATTAGATAAGGGAAAAATCACCAAAGAAAGAAGTATCTCTGTTGAGAGTTCTCATTCTAGGAAAAATTCTATAAAAACTGAAATTTTGGAATCTTCCGAAACACCACTTATTGAAGAGAGTATTGTTTCAAAGGAAAAATCCGTTAAAGTTGAAACAAAATACAGTCGTCAGAGTTCAATTCAAAAAGATTCTCTACAAGAACCACAAACACCAATTATCGAAGAAAGTATAATTTCAAATGAAAAATCAGTTAAAGTCAAAACTTTAAGTCGGGAAAATTCAACAAAATCAGAGACAACAAATTCTCAATCGCCAATTATTGAAGAAAGTATTATATCAAAGGAGAAATCAGTGAAAATGAAAACGCAATATAGTCGAGAAAATTCAATAAAATCTGAAACATCACAAACAGCATTGATTGAAGATGGAAAATATTCCCGACAAAGTTCGGTAAAAGTTGAAAATAAACTATCTAGGGAGAATTCATCACAAATAAATGATCAACCTGAACCACAGACTCCATCTGTTGATGAGAGTAAACTTTCTCGACAATCATCAAAACTCGAGAGATTCAATTCGACGGAATCGAAAAAATCGACGAAGGAATTATTATCAAGGGAAAATTCACAAAAAGGAGTGATGAATGGAAACGAAGAAGAGGTTGACGAAGAAATGGAAAAATTGTTCGAACGAATTAAAAGACAACGAAGTGTTTTAGATGAAATTCTTGATCAAACTGGTGATAAGGAGAAATCAGGTAAGATGAGGATCACGGGAAAATTTTCCCCGTGATTCTATTTTATATTTTTTTTTCATATGATATATCTAACATTTCCTTTGCATGGATTAATCATTGAATTTATTTTTTCTGATCCTTTTACTAATTATAAAAATAATTTCAAAATCATGTCACTAGTTATGCAATAAATTAGTTCGTAATTGTAATTAAGCAAAGCTTGCATGTAAACACAGAGTCAGATCAACCTCAGAAATTCTACTTATTCTTCTTTTTCTTCTTCAATAGTAAGTAATTTGCAAGAATAATAAATTTTGCGATTGTTTCAAAAGAAGCTTATTTTAAAAAAATGTAAATTTGGCAAGAATAACATTTTGTTTTTTATATATAGCTTCTCCGAATATCATCAGTTCAACATTGGAAGATAAGGAAGTTTTCGAAACTCAGAATCTTAGTTTTGAAATTAAAGCAACCGCACTGCCAAGACCGGAAGCTAAATGGTTTAAGGATGCAGAACCATTGAAAACATCTGATAGAATTAAATACTCAAATGTTGGCGAGATGTTTCAGTTGACGATTAAAAAAGCCGAACTTGAAGACGCTGGTTGTTATTCTTGTGTTTTTACCAATAAATTGGGTGAAAAAACTGTCGATGGAGTTTTATTGGTTCTACCAGTTGAGGAACTTCGAAAACCACGTTTTGTTCGTCCTTTGGGCGATGTTGATGTTGCTCAACATACAACTGGAACATTTAAAGCAGTGGTTACCGCCGAACCTGTTCCCGTTGCAACATGGTAAGAACAATAATTATTTTTAATATCAATCATAATAATTATTTCTAATTTTGGTAATTAATTTCTCCATTTATTCAAAGGTATCACTTGGGAGAAGAAATTCCTGTTGATGAGGAAAGATACGAAGCAACAGTTCGCAGTGAACCTGTTGAAGATGGATTGAAAGAATGTACATTTACACTTAAAATGGATAATTGTGATGTTGATGATGTGGGAAAATATTCCATAAAAGTTAAGAACAAAAATGGCGAAGCCGAATCAAGCGTAAGTTTTTTTTTTTTTAATTTTAACTTAAGAAATTTCGAAATTTTTATTTATAAAATTTCTATTTCTAGGCCGATCTAGATCTTCTTATACGGCCAATAATCGAGGAATTCAAAGACATAAATCCTCCAGTTGGCGAAAGAGGTGAATGGGAAATAATCATCAAGGCAAATCCAAAACCAGATGTCTATTGGGTAAGAAACGATAAAGATTTGGGAGAAGATGATCGTTTCGATTTCGACGAGGATCACAAGAAAAAAAGCTATAAACTTATTATTAAACAAGTTGATATGGACGATGCTGGTCCCTATAAAGTTGTTGCCATCAATGAATTCGGTGAAGCAACAGCAGTCGCTGATTTAACGCCCTACAGTAAGTTTAACTTTTTTTATTTACAATATAATTCTTTTCAAAAGTCAAACAATTTTTAAATAAAATTTTCAATATATTTAAAGTAAGTAAATTTCTTCTAAAGAAAGTTTTTTTTTTCTAGCCGAAGCGCCAATTTTCACAAAAGAACTGAAAAAAGAATCAGTTAGGGATCAAAATAATCACGAAGCTGAAATCCGAGTGACTGGTTATCCGCGTCCAGAGGTCCAATGGCTCAAGGATGGTGTGGAAATAGAAAATGATGAACGACACAAAATTACAACAAGTGTGAATGGAAATGAAGTGATAAGTGTTTATTCAATTGATAAATTCTCCGAAAGTGATGCTGGACAAATAACAGTAAATGCGACAAGTTTCGTTGGAACAAGTCAAACAACAGCGGAACTTGCTCTAACGAGATTCCCACCCAAATTCTTTGCAACATTACCAAAATCCCTGAATATCGATGAAGGAAAACCACTAGAATTATCAATTAATGTCGATGGAAGTCCAATACCAATTGTTAAATGGTATAAAGATGGCGAAGAAATTAAACCCAATGATCATATTAAATTAAATAAACTTCCAGATGGTACAATGAAACTTTCAATTGATCGAGTCATTCCCACTGATTGTGGTGCCTATAAAGTTGTTAGTAAAAATTCCGGAGGTGAAGAAACGTCTCTTTGTGCCGTTGCTATAAAACGTAAGTATCAATTTTTACATTCTTATTTTTAGTCGATTCGATTAAAATTATTCGATTTTTATAATTTACAGCCAAAGCCCGAAAGCCATCATTCTCGAAAAATTTAGAAGATGCAAAAGCATTGGTTGGTGAACCTTTAAAATTAGAAGCACGAGTGGATGCTTTCCCGAATCCACAATTACAATGGCTTAAAGATGGTTTTCCTATTCGACCTTCGAAAGAAATAAATTTCGTTAATGAACCAAATGGTCTTATTGGTTTAACAATTGATAAATTACGTCCCGAAGATGCTGGCGTATATTCTTTGGTTGTTACCAACGAACTTGGAGAAATTACCGGTACTGCCAATGTTCAAGTTGAAGAATTGGAGAAAAAACCAGAATTCATGGGAACTATACAACCAATAACAGTTGTCGAAGGTTTCCCCGCGAAAATGGAAGTAAAAACAATTGGAAAACCATCTCCGAAAATCAAATGGACTCACAATGGAAAAGAGGTAATTCTTCTAAACTTTTTATTTATTATTATCTTCATCATCATTTAATTGTTTAATATTCTATTAAATAAAATAGAAAAAAAAATCCGAGACCTGATATAATTATTAAATTTCTAGATTGTTCCCGACGGACAACATATAAAAATAATCGATCAACCGGATGGAAGTCAAGCTTTATTAATTGGCGAAGCGAGAGCACAAGACGCTGGTGTTTACGAAGCAGTTGCCAGTAATTCTCAAGGTGAAATTTCATGCAAAGGTAATCTTGAAGTTGCTACCAAGAGCGATAATACAGCACCTGAGGAGAAACCAACATTTATGAGTCCAATTCGTGATCAATCAGCAGAAGAGGGTGAACAAATAAAATTCAGTGCACCATTTACTGGTAATCCAATACCGGAAGTAACATGGACTAAAGATGGTAAATTATTGAAACCATCGGATAGAATAATGATGACGTGTGATGGTAAAAAAGTAGGACTCGAAATAAATCCAATTGAACATAAAGACGCCGGTGTTTATGGATGTATTTTAAAAAATCCACACGGTGAAGATACAACAAAAGCTGAGGCAACAGTAAGAAAAGTTTATCAACCACCGACATTTGCTCAAAAATTCACTGACTTTCAACAAATGCCAAATCTTGATGCTAAATTTCCCGTTAGAGTATTTGGAATTCCACAACCGGAAATTAATTGGTATTTTAATGATACACCGATTTCGAGAGATAGTAATAAATATAAAATAAGAAGAGATGGAGACGCTTGCTGTTTGTATGTTAAAGATTGTCAATCATACGATGCTGGAAGATATAAATGTAAAGCAGTCAATAAAGAAGGAGAGGCTGAATGTGCTGCAAACTTTTCCATTGTCGATAAAATGTAAGAAAAAGTATTTTTAAGGTTATTAATTTTTGTTTAATAATTTTAATTTTCAGTGACAAGAAACAGAAAGTGGAGCCTCCGTCATTTTTGAAACGATTGGGAGATTGTGAAGTATATAAAGGAATGACTGCAAAATTCACAGCCTGTGTGACTGGATACCCAGAACCGGAATTTGAATGGTTTCATGAAGGTGGAAAACTTTGGCCTACTGATCGCATTATAATGGATCAAGAAGGAAGTCTTTTGAGATTGACTCTTTATCATATTGATGATAGCGATGCAGGAAAGTATAGTTTAAGGATTTTTAATCCCCATGGCGAGGATACATGCCACGCTGAAATGATTTACGAATGTAAGTAATTATGTTTATTTTTATCTAGTTTAGAAATAAATTTTAATTAAATTATTTAATTAGCCCTGGAGCCAAGAGTGAAGAAACCATTAGCGGATCAGTATATTGATTACGATAAACGAAGATCAGGATTACCGTTACCTCTATCGGACAGACCTATAATTAGTAGAATGATGGATCGTCACTTGACGCTTTCTTGGAAACCATCAATACCAATTGGACCCAGAATACCAGTAACTTATCTCGTTGAAATGTGTGAATTACCGGACGGTGATTGGTTTACAGCACGATCGGGTCTACGAACATGTGTTTGTGACATTAGAAATTTGGAACCATTTCGTGATTATAAATTTAGAATTCGTGTTGAGAATAAATATGGAATAAGTGATCCATCGCCATTTGCACAAACATATCGTGCTAAATTAGAACCGGAACCACCGAAATTCTTTCCTTATTTACCACCGGGTATTGATTTTAGACCAGAGACAAGTCCCTATTTTCCCAAAGATTTTGATATTGAAAGACCACCACATGATGGTTATGCACAAGCACCGAGATTCTTGAGACAGGAACACGATGCTCAATATGGAGTGAAGAATCATAATTGTAATCTCTTTTGGTTTGTCTATGGTTATCCGAAACCAAAAATGTCTTATTATTTTAATGATGAGCTTATTGAATCAGGAGGAAGATATGATCAAAGTTATACCAGAAATGGACAAGCGACGCTCTTTATTAACAGAATGTTGGAAAGGGATGTGGGTATTTATGAAGCTGTTGCCACGAATGAACATGGACAAGCGAGACAAAGAGTACGATTGGAAATTGCCGAATATCCGCAATTTATTCACAGACCCGACGAGACAGTGATTATGTTGAGGAAACACGGTAGAATTGAAGCACGAGTCATTGGTGTACCGTATCCGGAATTAAAATGGTACAAAGATTGGAAACCTCTTGCACCGTCAACTCGTATCAAGGTAAGGGACTTTTTATTTTCTAAATATCAGGCCTCGGATCAATTTTATTTATTTAGAATTGATTTTTTTCAGATTCAATTTGTCGAACCAGACACTTCAATTCTTGTGATTGACGATGCAATTCATAAGGACGAGGGTCTTTATTCGTTAAGCGCGAGAAATGTCGCCGGTTGTATATCAAGTTCGGCAATGATTCATATTGAAGAAAATGAACACGAATATGGTTACAGAACTTACACGAGAAAACCAGATATTAAACCTCGAAATAAACCATTTGCGGATTATTATGATATTGGTGATGAGTTGGGAAGAGGAACAACAGGTGTGATTTATCATACAGTCGAGAGACCAACTGGAAAGAGTTTTGCAGCTAAAGTCATGCATGGTGGTGGTGAATTGAGACCATTTATGTATAATGAAATGGATGTTATGAATAATTTCAGTCATCGTAAACTTCTTCGTTTACACGACGCTTATGAAACCGATCGAACAGTGATCATCGTTACAGAATTGTATCCTTTTCAATTTAAAATTTTGTTTTCAAGTTTAAATTAGTCTTTTTTTAATTATTATTATTTTTATTTTAGCAATAAAATATGTATTTTCTTTAATTAAATGAATTTAGAGCTGGAGGAGGCGAATTAGTTGACAATTTAACGAGGCAATCGTATTACACTGAAAGTGATATTGCCGGATACATAAGACAAATGCTTTGGGGATTGGAATATATGCACAATAATAGTTACGCTCATCTCGGTTTGACAGTAAATATTTTAATTAAAATTAATTAAATTAAGAGAAAAGGACATTGAGAAATTTTGTTTAAAACGAAATTTCTTTCTTTCAGCTTGGAGATCTTCTCATTTCACATACAGGAGGTGATGATTTAAAAATTGGTGATTTTGGTCTATCAAGAAGAATTGGACATCAATTAATGAATTTACATTATGGAATGCCAGAATATGTTGCACCGGAAATTATCAATGGCGAGGGTGTCACATATCGTACGGATATGTGGTCTGTGGGAATAATTACTTACATTTTACTCTCAGGAATATCACCATTTAGAGGTTTAAATGACAGGGAAACATTGACAAAAATTAAAGAAGGTAAATGGGATTTCGATGAAAGATGGACATATATTTCTGAAGAAGGCAAAGATTTTATTCGAAGTCTTCTTGTTTATCAATGGGAGAGAAGAATTGACGTTTATACTGCACTCAGACATCCATGGTTGACTTTAGCCGATAGAACAATTTCCGATCCATATAAAATACCGTCGGAGAATTTGAAGAATTATTATAAACTTTATAAGTAAGTTTTCTTCACTGTTTTTGAACAAAAGAAATTCAGTAAATTTTATTTAAATTAGTTAATTTATAAATTAAATAAATTATTTTTATTTAATATTATTTTTAGGGATTGGTACACTAACGCCTCATGCAGAACATGGTACAGAAGAAGAAAACTTAGCAGTGCTTTTGAACATCCTTCGAAAATGGTTTATCCACCTGGACATAGATATACGCCGGAACCAAGTCCAGAAAGAACTTATAGTCCCACCAAGAGACCTCCTCCGAAAGCTTGGGAAAATAGAATCCCATCGAGAGAGCCAATCGACACGGAAATTGGACTTATCAAAAATGAAAGCCAGTTAGTTATTATCTATTTAAATTTTAAGCTAAAGAGAAATTTAAAAATACTTAAGGTCACATTTAATAAATTTTTTAGTTATCAAAACGGTCCAGACACTTATTTGCTACAACTTCGAGATACTGATTTCCCTGTGAGATTACGTGAATACATGAAAGTCGCTTATAATCGCGGATCAGGATATCCTAGACCAGTTGATGATCCCTACGATTGGAGAGTAAGACCAATGAAATTAAATTACAATTTTTCAATATTAAATTTAACTTTTTTTTCAATTTTTTATCCATAGACACCAGTAATAAGAGAACGACGACGATTCACTGATGTAATGGACGAAGAGATAGACGATGAGAGAAAAGCAAGAATCAATCAATATGGTAATGTTGATACAGGTACATTGAGACGTCTTCGTCATGAAATTGGAATTCGACTCGATAGCTACGCGGAGGCGGAGGCATTAATGGAATCAAAGAAGGGAGGACATATGCCATTTTTCCGAGAAAAACCCCAAATTCTACCAATTCAAGAAGACAAAACAGCACAATTGGCATGTCTCGCTGTGGGAAATCCAAAACCCATTATTCAATGGTTCAAAAACGATATGGTTGTTCAAGAGAGTAATCGTGTTAAAATCACTGAAGACAATGAGGGTCGTTCTATTTTGAGTTTTGAGCCAGCTCGCGAATATGATATTGGAATTTATAAAGTTGTCGCAAGAAACAAAATAGGACAAACTGTCGCTAGAGCACGCGTTTTACTCGCTACTGTTCCATCAGCTCCTGATTCACCTCAGGTAAAAGCACATTAATTAGATCCACTGATTTATTTACAAACATAATTGCCTGTATTTACTAACTTTACATTTTTTTTATCTACAGGAATCTGATGCATCAGACACTGAGATTCTATTACGTTGGAAACAGCCAAAATACGACGGAAATTCACCAGTACTGTGTTACAATCTCCAATACAAAGAAGGCGATTCAACTGATTGGATCGATTTGGGAAGTAATATTGATCATGAATTTTATTTGGTACGCGATTTAAAACCAAATACAAGCTATGATTTCCGTTTAGCTGCACGAAATCGCATTGGATGGAGTGACAAAGGAATACCAGCACACGTAATAAAGACACGTGAAAAAAATGTACCCAAAGTTCAAGTAACAAGAGCAATGAAACATCTTCAACAATTAACAGAATCGGGACAAGAAATTATTGAAGATGAAAATAATCCACATTTTGATTATACAATCGAGGATAATCCAATAACATGGTCGACAGAAGGTCAACTAACAAGTAAATATAGTTTTATTTCCGAATTATCACGAGGTCAATTTTCAGTTGTTGTCAAGGGAGTTGATAAAGCAACAGATAAAGTGATAGTTGGGAAAATATTGGAACTTGGCGGCGAAACGGAGGAACAAGTTAATGCTGAATACGAAGTGTTACGATCATTGAGACATGAAAAAATTGCATTACTATTGTCAGCATACAAAGCGCCGGGTTCACCATTAGCTGTGTTTATTTTGGAAAAATTGCAAGGTGCCGATGTACTAACTTATTTATCAAGTCGACATGAATACACGGAGAATTGTGTAGCGACAATTATTTCACAAATTTTGGATGCTCTTCAATATTTACACTGGAGGGGTTATTGTCACATGGATTTACAACCGGACAATGTTGTAATGGCATCGGTGAGATCGGTTCAAATTAAATTAGTTGATATGGGTTCAGCACAGAAAGTCACAAAAATGGGAGCTCTTGTTCCACAAGTGGGTCATCCGGAATATAGAGCTCCCGAGGTTCTTAATGAAGAGGCAGCTTTTCCACAAACTGATATTTGGACAGTTGGAGTATTAATGTATGTCCTATTCTCAGGAGTTTCTCCATTTAGAGGCGAAGATGCAAATGAAACAAGACAAAATATTTCTTTCGTTAGATTTAGATTTGAATATTTATTCAAAGAATTAAGTCAAGAGGCAACGAGATTCTTAATGCTTGTATTCAAACGAATGCCAAGGTTTGTAAATTATTTTTTATTTTTTTTTACATCCTAGAAAAAGAATTTACATTTTTTCTATTTCTTTTTCTTTCAGTAAACGACCAACAGCCGAGGAGTGTCACGAACATAGATGGTTGGTACCAACAGAATTTATGATCAGAAAACGCGAAAGAGCCGTATTCCTTGGCAATAGATTGAAAAATTATTGCGACGAATATCATCAGGAAAAGCAAAAATTAGCAACACATAGCGAGAGTTTATCAGAGGTATTCGGATCAACGAGACAATTAATAAGATCAAATAGCATACAAGACGAATTATTTACCACATTTTAAAATCTAGTATGCGATTTTCCAAAAAAAAAACAAAAAACAAATCACGTATTTATTTATTTATTGAACACTGTTTATAGTCCACGAGTCTAGTCTATTGCGAAAGAGAATGTGTCCCAGAGAATGATTGTAAAAGTCAATTAGAATGAATGTAGAAGGCCAAAAAAAATATTACTTTTTAAAAGATCGTGAATTTTCTTTGATTTTGTTATTATTTATTTGTTATCGACTTGCAGTTTGTTTTCATTTGACTGCAATTTTACGAAAAGAAATAACCAAGTAATAAACAGAAAAACTTAAAATTTGTTTTTCACTATTTTAAAAACAAAAAATCCCATTTTTTTCCAAATTCGATTATTTATTTTAATTAAGAATTCTTTACACGGATACATTATAATTAAATACGTTCTTTATTTACAAATTTAATTTATCCCTGCCTTCGTGAAAATGATAGAGTGCATAATTTACTTTCTGGACATTTAAAATGTACTAGTTTTTAAAGAATCAATACTTCATACGTTTTAATGAAGAAAATACGTATAAAATATATATACGTAATTTTACGCATGTATCCTTCACATAAAAAGGCATTAACGGTGCAAAAAAAAAAAGTTTTGGCAGAAATAGTAATTTCCGGAAGAGAGAAAAAAAATTCAATACGTTAATAAATGTACAATTCTTTCAACACAATTCTTATTTGCCATTTTTAATCATCTTTTTGCATAATGGTTGAGATATTCTTTCACTTTTACTCCAAATGCTTCCTTGTCTTTTATAAATAATTCAGCAGCATCTTTATTCAATGGATCATCGAAGTTTAAAAGATCCTGCAACAGAAAAAATAATCATTTTTTTTTTAAATATGTATATATGTATGTATATGTATTTTTTAAAGAAGAAGAACTCACTGTGAATAAGGAATTTAAACCCCAAACAACGTCGACAAGTTTTCGCGTTGGGGCCCAACCTAAACCATCTAAATGACTTTCCCTTAAAATTGAAAGACAAACGGATCCATCTTCACTAATATTTGGATGCCATAATTTCGTTAAGCATTTTACATTTGGCGGCTAAAAAATAAAAATACATATTTAATAATAATCACAGTGCAAATAATATTTAAAAAAATATAAAGTAACGTACAATCATGTTATACTCTTCGGGTATAAATATATGAAAGCAGAAACGTCCACCGCACCAATATCCTTCATCGGGAATTATTAGAAGATTAAATTCATGAAGTCGATGAGGATCGTTGAATGAAACTTTACAAGTAATCGGCAAAGTTTGTTCCATTTCTTGAACCTGAACAAGCAAACAAACAAAATAGTTCAATATTAGAAAAAGAAATTTTTTTACTTTTAAACAATAATTTTCAATAAACTTCTTATTAAAGTATATTCACCTCCTTGACGAGCAGTTTATCTCGAACAGATATTCGTTTATAATTCAGGTCTTTATTTTTTGAATTAGAAACATCTGCATCTTTTTTCAGTTTTCCTCTAAGGGTAATCATTCCTTGAATGAAGTCTCATAAACGATTACTCTGTGACATTAAAGAATTGTAATTATACAATATACACTAAAATTCCTCTCCAATCCTCTTAAACATTCAATCCAAAAGAATTTAAATTAGATTTTTGCAAAATAATATCCCCAAAAGAACCGTATTCATATATAAATATTTATTTCACGATTTTCTTTACATAATAAATTTATTTAATTACAATTTCTTGTATTCAATAACAAAAACGAAAAAAAATTATACTTACATAATTTTAAATAATTTTGCTTACACAATTTGTTTCTTATTTTAATCACGGTGAACCAATTTCTTTGTAATAAAAACAAGTCAATTTTAAGTTCATGTACAACGAAAACTATTTTTAAAAATTAATAAAAATAGTAAAAAACAAATTTACTTGATATGACAAAAAATATACCGTTTTCTACTAATAATAAAATCACCTTTTCAAGGATTTTTTTTAAAAAACTGTACACAAATTGTGCATAAAAAAAATAAAAAAAACAGAATGTCGGTTATAACCTAACATAACCTCCAAAATGCAAACATACGAAAAATATATGTAATTATTTAACTCACCAACAAAAATTATCCTAGGAAGGAAATGAAAAATATATTTAAATACTAATTATGGTGCTCTTTAAAAATAAGCAGATATCCTTAAAATACTAATTTGGTGGCAGCAAATCACAAACATAATAACATCACTTTGACTTAGTTTCAGTACTACTTTTAATTGATTTAAGATTTCTAAAATAATATAGATAAGAAATCTATGATAAATTACACTTTTATTATTAAAAAAACAAACACTTTATAGTGAAATAATTCACTAAAATATACAAAAAAAACTTGCGGTTCGCGCACTGCAATAAAGTTTATTTTTTTGTTAGCGACAGTAGCGCCAATAACGTAAACAACAAAAACTAAAAGCAGGTCTGTCATCATGTTTACCAACACAAATTTTTATCGCGCGAAAATTTGAAATTACGAAAATAGTTTTTTAAATATTTAAATAAAAAATTGTTTAAATTCACATAACAGTTAAAAGTTATATATAAATATATACCTTAAACTATTATATGAAAAATTAAAAATTTTATATCTATTTTATCTTTTTTTTAAATGTTATTTTAATACTCTCTCGCGTAAAATTCTATCAATGGATTCTATTTATAGGTTAGGTTCAAAGTTTGTGACAGTGTGACAACATAAGTACTGCATTTTTCAACCCTTTTCGAAAAAAATATGACTTTTAAAATAGAAAAAATGTCAAAGAGATTTATGTGACCTTAACTTTTGACTTGATCTTTGAACAAAGACTGATGAAATACATATTCTTTGTAACTCAAATAAGGTTTAAGAATAGGAAATACCGTTATTAAAGAATTCCGGAAATTGGTAATATTTCGTCATACATATTTGAGCACTCTCGAAAAGACAAGAAAAAAGTAACGTGTGCCTTATAAGTTTACAAATAAGAAATAATTTGCCAGTGAAAAATTTTTCAATTAATGTGCATTAAAAAATTGATTTTATCCGATTTTAAAATGTTTGCAAGAGTGACATTCTATCCTTCTCTATTTTATAATGTTGTAATGGAAAAAATATCAACTAGAAGATGGTTTGATAGAATTGATGATACCGTTATTCTTGGTGCTTTACCTTTTCGTGGAATGACAAAACAGGTAAAAATTGATTATTTACGATAATAATTGAAAGTATAAATGAAGAAATATTTATAATTATTATCATACGTTAATCAATTAATTTATAATATAGTATTTAATATTAATTTTCAGTTATAAATATGTAAACAAAAGTGTGTTATCGTCTGTGAATTATAAATTCACTTGACTATTTTTAAATTTTATCATTTTTTTTACTGATGAATTTTAATAAGTTTTATATTATTTCAGTTGATAGCTGAAGAAAATGTCAAAGCCGTAATTTCCATGAATGAAGATTATGAATTAACATTATTTTCAAATAATGGAGAGGTAAATTTCAATTCGGCAGAAATTGAATCTTATTTTATTTAAATATTTTATTATTTCAATAATAATTGAATTATTTTAGGAATGGAAGAAACATGGTGTAAATTTTTTACAACTACCAACTGTTGATATTTTTGAAACGCCTTGTCAAGAAATGTTACAAAGAGGAGTTGAATTTATTAATCAATTTCAAAAGAATCAATCTATTTGTGATCCAATAAAACCGAAAGAGACTGTTTATATTCATTGTAAAGCAGGGAGAACACGAAGTGCAACATTAGTTGGCTGTTATCTTATGATGGTTTGTATAAAAACTACAACGAAAAATGAAACTTTCCTAAAGAAATAAAAAAATTGATTTTTTGCTTTCTCTTTTTTTTCTAGAAACACACTTGGACGCCGGAAACCGCAATAGAACATATAAGAAGTAAAAGAGAACATATTTTAATTCACACAGCTCAATGGCGAGCTTTAAAAACATTTTACAAGGAAAATGTAGCAAACGAAGTAGAAGCAAATATTAATGGAAATAGTTAATGACAAAAAAAATGTAAATATGTTAATTATTCTTATACATAAACTAATTAATTAAAATACTAATATAATCAGAGGTTCAGTGTTCAGGGAAATTGGAAAATTAATATTAGTGAGGGAATTTTAAATATATATAAGACTCGCTGAACACTCTGTAAAGGAGTACCTCAAATTAAGGGGAAAAAAGATGTTTTCTTTTTTAAACTGGAAATAAATTAATAATAATGTTTTATTACTTTTTAGCTTTATTTTCCTCCTTTTTATCTTGATTATTTAAAAAATAAGATGCAATTTTGTTTACCTCATCTAAAGCTTTTTCAATAATTGGTTCCGATTTTCTTTGTGACATATTTTGCGGTGGCATTCCAAATATTAAATTTTTATTTTTATGAGTAGGGAAATATTGTTGTCCATCAAATAATTTTAATATTGGTTCCATCCAAATTTTAGCGTTAAATAACTCGGAATTGATTTCCTAAAAAATTAATTAATAATTATTAATAATTTTTACTTCAAAATTTTAATTAATTTATATCGTTGCTTTAAAATTACCTTTGGAACCATACACCTTGCTGTCACTTGTGTATTAGTGCTTAAAATCACTAATACTGGAATATTTGTCATTTTATCTAATTTACTCAATGGTAATTCATTAAAATCATATTCATCTAATTTTAAATGAAGTATCACAAATGGTAGATTCGTTGATTTTTGGGCTTTTTTAATTTCATTTGCCAAATAATTCCTAAAAGAAAAATATTTTTTTCAAAACTTAATAATAATCTTAATTACAAAAATTTTGTTACCTATAATTTCCTTTTATTCTGATCATAACTTTTCTTGCCAATTCTGAAAGTTTATCCTGACATTCACGATAATCGACAAAGCTTATTATTCTTTTATCTCTTCTTTCTAATAAATTTCGTTGCAAACAATTAATTGAATCAGTTATTTGATTCATATTTGCATTTTTACGCACAAATTCTTTTTGGAGTTTTATAATATTCTCTCTTAATCTCTCCCCTAATGAACGAATATGTCGCATATAGGGTCCAGTGGCTGCTTCAATTGTAACGCTTTTTTGTCCATGTGATTTAACATTTAAAATACAAAAATGTTCCAGGGAACTTGTTCTAAGAACATGAGTTCCACAACAAGCTTCTCTAAAAATAACAGAAAAAAAATTAATTTAATAAAATAAAAATGTCAAAAATTTAATAAAGAAAATATAAATATTGTCTCTCTTACTTTGATTTTAAATCTGGACTATCAATAGTTGTAATTTTAATTCCTGTCATTGGATACATTTCACCTGGTAATAATCTTAAATCATCTTCCATTATCATTTCTGACATATTAAAAATTTTTTTCTCAACAATTACATTGCTTTCAATGCATTTATTTATAAGATCTTCTATTTCTGTCACTCGTTCATTAGTCAATTTTTGACCAAATACACTGCACTCAAATGATAATTTATCTTTTTCAACGTAACTACCACGTTGTTCTATTATTGGTAAAACTTTTCTAAGTGCTGCATTTAATAAATGTGTTGCAGTATGATTTCTCATTATACCTAATCTTCTTCTTGAATTTATCCAAACTTGACACACTTCTTCATTTTTTATATTTAAATCCGATTCATTTAAAGAAATTCTTCTGAAATAGATAAAAAAAATTTATTTTTTAAATAAAAATTATAATCATAATTTTTTAATTTTATTTTCAAATACCTAGAATCGTTATTAATTAAATGACCAATATGAAAAATGAATCCACAAATTTTTCTCACTTCGTAAATATCAAAAAGAAGACTGTTAATTTGAATAAAACCTTTATCGAATGCTTGACCACCTTCATTAACATAGAATGGAGTTTTATCGAGAATAATATATACTTCTGATTCCGTTAATTCCTCTTTCTTCAAAAGGCAATCATTCATTTCCGAAGAAGTTTTCAAATTACCTAAGAAAAAATGAATAAAAATAATTACGAACTTAATAATTAAGTTAATAGTTCATTCTGAGAATAAGAAATTACCATTAATAATTAAACCCAATAGTTTACTTCTAATAGAAGGAAAAGAATATTCCTTTTCATTGAGTTTATAATTATATTTTAATGAATCGTCCGTTATTGGAATATTTAATTTCCTTAACAAATCAATAGATAATTCAGTAATTGATTTCATGTTCATTATTCCTTCCGTTTTTGCTTTGGAACGTGCTTTCACTTTATTTAATTGTTCCTCAAAATCATTAACATCAAATTTTAATGATTCCACTTCGGCTAATTTGGCAATTGTCTTGACATTCAGCCCATGACTATCATATAATCTAAATGCAAACTCTCCTGTCAGTGTACTGATCTTGTTACTAAAAGAAAAATAGAATTATCAACAAATTTTGTGAATATAAATAAATATTATTACAAAAAAATATATACATACTCAGATGCTAAAAAGTTTTTTAAATCTTTATAGCCTGCTATTAAACCAGGAGTTAAATAATCAGTAAGTACTGATAATTTCTGATGAGTTTTAACAATTTTTTTCCACTTGACAAAAGAAATATTTCTCAATGAATAATACGAATCTGCTTCGTAGGCAATTATATGTTGCATCTAAAAAAACAAATAATAATTTGTTAAATTTTTTTTTAATTTTTGTAAACAAAAAAACAATTTTTTAAATACCTGTTTGATATTTTTGTGTAATTCTGGATAAGCTTCTCCAAGACTGTCCGCTACATGAAAAGTTAATTCATGTAATAATGTATCTTTTTTAAATATCTCATTGCTTATATCCAATGCTTTACGTAAAACTTTTCTTAATTTTGGACTAAAATGGGAGAAAATTAATTTTTTATACCATAAAAAACTATAGTTTACAATAAATATCAGTATTACTTATTATCAGGCAGAGCTCCATCGGCTAAAGCAACAGTCACCATTCTTGCATGATCAGCTAAAATTCTGTAAGAAGTATCCAATTTATTTTTATTCTTAATTCCCTCGTTTCCGTTATAGGCCGGAGCTTTGGCAAATTTTTCAATAGTCTTAAATAATGGTACAAAAAGATCGGTATCGTAATTGGATTTTTTCTCTTGTAAAATAGCAACTAATCTTTCAAATCCCATTCCCGTATCAACATGCTGCTTTGGTAGTGAAATTATTTGACCATCATTTAATCTAAAAAAAATGATAATTTAAATTTTTTTCAATTAAATATTTAAATTAAATTTTTAAATTACCTTTCATACTGTATGAATACTATGTTCCAAAGTTCCATGAGATTTACAGGTTTATTAACAGCTTCACTAATGTGAATTTCTGTACAAACACCACATGGACCAGTTGAACTCATTTCCCAAAAATTCTCTTTGGCTCCCAATTTTAAAATACGATTTTCAGGCACTCCTAAACAGAGCCAAATATCTTTACATTCTAAATCAGGTTTTAAACCCAATTTTTCATCGCCAGCAAAATAAGTTACGTATAAAAGATCTTTATTAATTCCATAAACTTGTGTCAATAAATTCCACGCGTATTTACAAGCTTCTTCCTGGAGATAAGTGAAAAAAATTATTTTCAAGCTACAAAATAAAAAATAAAATTTTTTACTCAATTACTTTTGAATAATCTCCAAAGGACCAATTTCCCAGCATTTCAAAGAAAGTATGATGATAAGTATCTAAACCAACTTCATCTAAATCATTATGTTTTCCTCCAATTCTAATACATTTTTGTGAATTAGCAATTCTTGAAAATGGAGGATCGTAAAGTCCCAAAAATACACCTTTAAACTTAAAAGAAACAATTATTAGTATAATTATTAATTAAAAATATACGAAAAATTAGTTTTTATACAAATTTATAAATATTATCTCACTTGATTCATTCCCGCATTTACAAAAGGTGTAGAAGGATCATTTATATTCAAAATAGAACTCGATCGAACAAATGAATGATCTTTTAAAAAATAATCGAGAAATTCTTTTCTAATAGTATTTGCGGATTTTAATTTTCCATCAGTATTATATAAACGTAATATTATATTTTTATTCACTAAATCAAGACGCCGAAACATTTTTACAATTTTCTTTATCTTTGTTTTTTTTAGAATTTTTAGGTTATGTTATTCCCAAGAAGAAAATTGTATCTATAAACATTTCATACTTTTAAAAAAAACTTTCTGCTTTATTTATTCCAGTAAAAACGTTGTTTTCTTTTCAATATTTATGCAAAATAGTAACGTAAATAAATAAATATAAACAACACGCACTACTCGTGTACACTTACAACAATAAACAGCTGATTAATAGCAGACGACAGATTTCCATTTTAGCGGTAATTTTTAAAATTATTTACATTCAGTGTGCAGTCTCTCTCTTAAAATATTATAAAAAAATAATTTTTTTTTCTTCACTAATAAAAACAAAAACTTCATTTTTTTTATCCTGAATATCGCCTGTGACAAAGCGTCGAACAAAAATAACAATCAAACGGTACATACGAATATCCAGAAGAAATGACAGATCCAACAAATTTATTTAGAGGAAGATTTATATTTCTTCGAATAAAATTACTGAAGCAAGGAGTGCCACAAACACAAAATTGTGTATTATTTATATATGTGACTAATGTACATGGTATAATGCTCGCGTTAAAAGGAATTCTGTAAAGAAAGAAAAAAATTAATTCCAAAACTAGAAAAAATTTAAAGAATGAAATTACATAAATTACAAACCTTGCTTGGTAAACAATTTTAGCTCCAAGTTCAACAAGACTGGGCAATTTAAATCGAACTGTAGTAACATTATTTACAGATATAATGAAATTATTGTTGGATACATCTAATGTCGATAATTTTAAATTTCTAATACTTCCAGGAAGATTGAAAAGATTATTTTTCGAAACATCTAAATATTTTAAGGCATCTAAACATCCTAAGCTCTGAGGTAAGGATTCTAAAAAATTTGAATTCAGTCTTAATGTCACTAAACGGCTCAATTTTCCAATTGGATAAGGAACTTGTGTTAGCTGAAATGATACAAATTTTTAATAATTAGAAATTTACATAATAAATAAGAAATAAAACATTAAAATTAATCATTAATTACCTCATTAGAACTGATATCCAATAGTTTTAAATTTTTAGACACATTCACTTGTTCCATCCAAATCCATTTTGTATTTGGACATTTGTGTAATTTATTTTGTGCTAAATTTAATTCTTGTAGATTTGGTAATGTTCCCAAATCTTTAGGAAGACTTGTTATTTGATTATCTGATAAATTTAACACTCTTAAATGTTGTAATTTCAATATATTCCTGTCAAAGGATTTTCTCTCTAATCCAGCGAGATGTAATTCCATTACTTTTCTTGGGAAACCTTCTAATATTGGATAATTAGCGGCACTTTTTACCACCATTTTTGTTTTTAATGCATCCGAAAGATTTTTTGCTTTCAAATCAGATAATTTTAAAACTGATCCTTCTAATTTATTTGTATATCCCAATTTTAAGACATGAGCAAAACTTTTCAATTGAATTGTATCGGATTTTATTAAAATATCGTGTGGTGGTTCTTTTAAACGAATTGTCATTTTTCCTTCATTAATACATTTTGTGAATACAATTTCAATATTGTCCTTCAACTGAAAACAATAACAAAAGATGCGTTATATATTAAATTAATATATAATTTCCATATTATAATGAAAATTTCAAATTATACTAATACAATTGAAAAAAAATTATTAATATTTTTAAATGTTTACCTTATATTTTGTCCCTTGTTTATTTTCAAGTGTTTGAAGAAAAATATAAAGTTCATTGTCTTTTGAACTTAATTTTCCTATTGATAAACAGGATTTTTTAGCTTTTCTTTTCCCTTGTCCTTCACATAACCTGTTACTCACTTCAACTTGACACATTAATCTCATTGTTTTATAGAATATATATCTCAGATTAATAACAAATTCATCAACTCTGAGTCTTGATTTATTCTTTATTTATACGTAGATATTAATATTATTCACATTTGTACACTGACAAAACTGCCAACCGGAATTTCGTGTCAACAATTCAAAACTTTATAAACAAAAACTGACCACGGTTTTGGCGACTATAGAGGGAAGACTTGCGATTAAAACGCATACGCATTTAATTTTGTCAGTTTAGTTTCTTAGCGCTGCAATCGATTCTGCAAAAATTCGAATACATATAGATTAGTTGGAATAAATTTATTAAATTTATTATAAATATAATAAATTTAATAACCCAAAATCGTACTTACTCGAAATATTAATAACACTCACACTACAAAAATGAAACAGCTGCGATTAAAACAATCGCAATGCTGAATAATAAAATTAAAAAAAAATATACCGGAAAAATTTGTAATAGCAAATAAAAAAATTTGTAATTTAAATTCAATTTAAAATTCTAAGTATTCTCTAAATTCTCAAATAGTTAACATTTTGTTTAATTTAAATATTAATTTATACTAAAAGTGTTTAAAAAAATAAATCAAATTAATTAAAATGATAACTAATTTGAGCAGAGATAGTAAAATATAATTTAATTTTTTATAACAGTATTAAAATTCAGTAATATAATTCATATATGATAAATATATAGTATAATTAATAAATATAATAAATTAAGGGTTCCTGAAAAAATAAATGATTATTACAATTATTAAAAAGAAATATTTTTGCTCACCACGATGATTCAACTGAAAATAATGAACAATTAAAGAAGACATTCACAAAACACTTAGAAAACATACACAAAACATTTAAATATAAGACAACATAGTGACAAAAAAATAAAAGAATAAAATAAAGTAAATTTTCACTGGTACTCCAGTTACTTGTTTCTTTTTACTTACATTTTTTTTACTCGATTTCCCTACCTACAGCTATATTTAAAACGAAAAAAATATTTGTCTACTCTTCCCGATTTTCCTACCTACAGCTATATTTAAAACGAAAAATTGTCCTTAACTAATTTTCCCGATACCGCCCAGGTGCAAAATGACCTACACTAGGGTTAACGTCCCGGGACGCAACCGTCACCTGAGCGATCTTTTCTGAAACGGAAATATTTAATTAGTTCATCATTAAAAAAATTATCAAAAACTTTTAATTTTTAATTTTACATGCATTAACTTTAAACTTTTAAGAATTAAATATAAAAAATTTACTATGCAAAATTGAAAACTTGTTAACAAGATTAATTAAATTATTTAAAGTTAATAAAATTTTATAAATCACTTTTTTTAATAGAAAAAAAATTACTTTGACTGAATAAGAAAAATTACAAAATATTAAAAATATTGAACAAATAAATAAAGAACATACACATATATATAAAGAATGAAAAAAACATTGACAAAAATATTAATTTACGTAGTATTAAGGAAGTAATCCACAAAACATGTAATACTTTAGGATGTGGGAGTATTACAAATTTACGAATTTCCGATAAAATATCACATGTTTTTTTTAGATTTTTACTCCTAAAAAATACCAGAAAATAATAAATTTTGTCAATGGTGTCACTATGCTGTCAGAGTTCCTTTCCTGTTTTTTTTTTAAATTTTAATATTTCATTTCCATCATTATGATATATCTACTTTTTTTAAATAAAAAAAAATTATAAATTTATAAATGAAGAGAGTCTAAAAAAATTAATTTTCAATTTAGAAAAATATTTTAATTGAATTTATTAAAAAAATAGCTTTAAACAGGAAAGGGGTAAAATAAAAAATGACTCACCGATCGGCGAATCCCACGTCGGAGCAATAACGTCATTGCCACTTCTCGAGCGCTTCTGGACCAGCTCCCGAGGATCCCTCTTTCTTGCTCGCACTTCTGCGCGAGGCCGGGAGCTCAAAAAAAAATATTATAAAAAAATAATAAAAAAGAAAAAAAAAATTTATAAAAAAAGATATATGCAGGGGCCACTTTTCTTCTTCCACATCCTTCCCAGTCTCTTCAGATATTTGAAAAATTGGAATGGAGCTGAAAAATAAAAAAAAATTATTAAATTAAATTATTTTCTCAAAATACTATTAAATGCTGAGTTATTATTTAAATTATTTTACAAATTTTTACATGTGAATTTTAAATCCATTATAATTTTTAAATTTATATATAAAATTAACTACATTGAGAATTACTCACCTATATGAAAGGATTTCTGCGTAGTTTCAGAGATACGATGACAGCATATCCTTTTTATAAAAGGACTTCCTTCTTTTAGACGAATTACCTGAAAAAAATATAATAATTAATTTATGTGTAAAATAAAATATTAAAAATCTTCAATCCTGTTAATTATTTTTAAATGTATTAATATATATAAATATTAATATTTGATATTCTATTATTAGTTATAAATATTACAATAAATTTCCATTAACTTTTTTTTCTTATTCCATTATTGATATTTGTGAAAAATATTGGAAAAAAAGACTCACCTAAAAGGGGGAATTTCTGTGTTGTGTAAATGATACGATGACAGCATATATAATCTTTTTCCATTGACAAATTTTTCCGCTACTGGACCAACTGCCTGAAAAAAAAATTCATTATATTATATGTATAAAATAAAATATTAAAAATCCTGAATATCTTAAAATATACATAAATTATGGGAAAATATTTATCAACATACATTAAACTGCGACTCAGCAATGCCAGATCTCCTCCAGGAGCAGCTCCGCAACAAACACCCATCCTTCACGTATTGAACACCTATAAATTAAAAAAAATTGTTTTATCCAAAAAAGTAAAACAAAATTAGTTTAATTATTTAAGTTAATTTTATAAAAATAAAACTTTTTCTTATTCTCTGTTTTTTTTATAAATTTTAATTACTTACCAATATTTATGTTATTATTTATAAATAACTTTAATGTAATTGTCATAGAAAATTATTTAAATAATTATTTTATGTATTGAGAGAAGGAAAAACCTGTGCTTAAAAATATGTAAAATATTAATTTATATAAACAACTATTTACCTGAGTTGAGAAGAATTGATGACGCCAAAAGGAAAAACATATTTTTGCTTTTCTTTTCCTGAGATGATTTCATTCTTATCTTTTCGCTCTGTAAATAAATAAAAAATGTTAATTAAATATACTATACGAATTTTAATAATGAATTTTTTATTTTAAATTTTGTCTCTACAATACAATGGACAAATAACTCAACAAATGTCGAATTGACATGTGAAATTGGTTGTATATAAATTTTTGAGGTTAAATTCCAAAACGTCATCAAATTTGACAAAATATTTAAAATTCTAATATTTACCAACAAAAATTAGTTAAAAACTTGAATATTTAGATGAAACTTAATTTAATTATTAAAATATATTTATAGTTTATATTTTAAGATTATTTGTTGATAAAATATTCTGTCCCGTTCAGCCGCGCTTTCATCAATGTCCAGCACTATAGTGAACAGTGATACCAATCTAAGTGAACAAAAATACCAACTAATTACATTTCTACCAATATAATTAGAAATTTCTTTTAACAACTTCTTTCAATTCTAATAACTTACCAGAACTTTATTTATTTTTTTTAATTTTATTAATAAATTTATTTATAATTATTTTTTAAAATATTTATTTATATATAGTAATATTTAATGTTTTATAAAACTCAAGTCGCGCGAGAACGCTGTATAGCGGCGGTAATGTGAAGTCACAATATATGCGCAACAAGTCACAACAAGTTCTAATGCCAAAATTTTTAGGTTATATTTTTTGTCAAAAAGTTTTTACCTAAATTTATTTTTCTTCACAGCTGCTATAAAACTTTCATGAATTTCTTATTATTTACATAAAACAGTACTTAATTATCAAAAAATATACCTAATTATCATTATGATTAAAAAAATACAATAAGATTAAATTTTGACTAACGATAAATGGTTCTTCTCTCTCTGACGTCGCCATTTGCAATGAAAAGCAATGCCAACCCAAGTTGGCAAAAAAAAAAACACTAAACTTTTTCAATTCTACCAACATGAAAATATTTTCCTTTTGACAAAAGCTTAATTATTTTTTATTTATTTGTTTTTTGCGCAAATTTTATATTTATTATTAATAAAAAAAACTTTATTTTATTACGATTTGAATTATATATTACCTTTATTTTTTTTGTTTAACATTGTGATGTAAAACTTTTTAGGTTAGATTCCCGTGTCAAAAAAATTTTATCGAAATATGCTAATTTTTGTTTGCCTGCCATAAAACTTATATTATTTATCGATTACATATATAAAACAATACTAAATTATCCTAAAAATATGTACAATTAGCGTTGCGATTAAAAAAATACTGAAAGATTCAATTACGTCGAACACAAAATGGTTCTTCTCTCTCTGACGATGCCATTTGCAATGAGGTGCAATATGCCAACCCAAGATAACAAAAAACTTAACTTTCTCATTTCTACCAACATGAAAAAATTTCTTTGATAAAAGCTTGATTGTTTTTATTTATTCTTTTGTTTCAGAATTTTTATATTAATTGTTAATAAAATAACATTTTTATATTATTACGACTTGAATTATTCATTTACCTGTATTTTTTGTTTAACATTGCGATGTCAAACTTTTTAGGTTAGATTCCCGTGTCAGAAAAATTTTGTCGAAATATACTAAATTTTTTCCTGCCTGCAACTAAACTCTAATAAATTTTCGAAAATCTAGACAAATGTAAACTTAATTACAATTAACTATGTATAATTAACGTTGTGATTAATAAAATACTATAAAGGTGGTTCCAGAATAGGTGCAAAAGCCAAGTACAAGTCCAAGTCCAAGTGGCAATCTCATGAGTGCGAAAGGGATAGGTAGTCTATCTATCTCTCTTGCACTCATGGGATTTGCATATGGACTTGCACTTGTACTTGGCTTTTGCACCTATTGTAGAACCTCCATAAGATTAAATTTAGTCCCACAAAATACGAACCTTCATCTGACGTCGCCATTTTGCAATGAGCTGTAATGCCAACCCAAGATAACTTGTCCACTTCTACCAACATGAAACTATGTGATTGATTCCGCTAATTTTGATTGGCTTTGCGTATCAGAAAATTGGAAGTTTTTGAAATTCTGTATGAGCGAAGCCAATCAAAATTAGAGGAATCTATGACAGATTTTAAATATACATAGAAATGGAGCCATATACAAGCGCCTTAAATTTTCTTTTTCCGTTCTTTCTTTCAAAATATTAATGAAAATAATATTGTAAACAATAAAACAGTGTGACCTTGATCAGTGTAAATAAAAAAATTGTGTTTCAATAATTCGTAAAATCATTGTCACTTTTGTGTATTAATATCATCAACAAGTTGTACACACATAACCTAATTGTGTTAGTTTTTTTGACAAATTATTGGCAGGAATTCGACATCGACGACGGCCATGTTAGCGGGTATCAGTAAAGCACGGATGCGCTGATTAATAAAAACTTGTGATCAAGTGAGATTTTTAACCAATTTAAAAAACGGTCTACATCGTTAAACGCTGACGCATTCTCTTTTACCCGTCAGGAAATAATTGGTAAAGTGTAAATAAAAATAATAATCACTATATTAAAATTGGTTTCCTGGTTACTTCAATAGTGTGTGTTTCTCTGTTTGTGTGTGTTAGAGAGAAACCCGGTTTTGGTTTTGTTGTAAAGTGGCGCAGCAGTTCTTGGTTGGTGTGGGGACGTGGTGTCAGTGATTCCTTATTTCTAGTGTCAAAAAAAAAAAAAATTTCCCATCAATATTATCAAAAGAAAACGTTTGCTTTTTTGAAAAGTTAAAAATTCGGAATAAAAGGATTATAGAAAGCAATTTGACCCGCATCCGTCCAACTGTCATAAATGTACACACATTCTATATAGATTGTGCGATCTATGCTCGGTGGGACGAGTAGTTTGAGATAAGTGATCGTCGCGAGCACATACGGGAAAATTGACAATAATTGTCGACGCTCTTCTACCTGAGGAGATTGTCCAGCCTCTCCCTTTGATCAAAGTTCAAAAGTAGGTTAAATCAAAAGCATCCCAAAGAATCTTTCATGAAGGATTATACAATATTTTTAGAAAGAAGGATCTTTTTTTGCCTCTGGAGGAGAGTATTTTTTCGGATTTCTTGTTTATGTGAGGGGGCGGATGCATGTAAATAAATCGGACAACCTGTCATGAGCTTCTAATCACATTCTTTTTTTTTTTTGTCGAGCAAAGTATATAAGTGAGAGTTTTAGTTCGTCATCAGGTGTTGTATGACTCAAGGTGCTGTCGATTACTTTTGCACCGCCCATTGTTCATGGAGTGAGGCTCGCAGGCAAGAGTTAAAGTATTATATACACTCTTTACTCACGATGAAGGCAAATGTTCGAATGTTTGCTGACGTTTCACGGGCGGTGACAAGTTCAGGGCTGTACGAAACTTTTGACGATGATGATGATGATGATGACGTAGGGGGTGGGAATTCCGTCGCGACGATCTAAGGAATGATCATGTAGTAAAGATATTTCGTTTCGTGTCATTTCATCTCTAAAAAAGTGTTTATTTGTTTTAGATTTCGAGGCTAGTGAAAGGAATTTTATATTTTCTCAAATTTTTCCAAATACTGCGTCAAACGAAACGGGATTTATAATTTTAAAGAGGTTCTTTTTTTGTGTGCTGACGACAGTATCAGTGAATGGCTTCTTACATTGTTTTGCGTAGATTCGAATCTCGATAATTTTCCAAGTTTTAAGTTGTGTCATCACAGGATTTTCAATTATTAGATATTTGTTAGGTTTCAATTTGAAAGTTATTCTTTACGAAAAATAAATTCTCCCTCCTACAATGGAAAATATTTGCTTTTGTCTTCTTGAGAACAAAGAATATTTTTGTTTAGAAAGCAAAAAATTGCGTTCTTTATAATTAATGAATTTTTTAGATTAGAAAAAAAATGCTTTCTTTTTTTTAAATATCCTTTTTATTGTAGAAAATTGTTTTTAGATATTTTGTAAAAAAAATTACAATCAATTGATTGTGATTTATATTATCAGTTTCTTTTATAAAAAAGAAAAATTTATTTAATATCTATTCAAATATCTTATCTATGATTCTTGGAAATTAAATGGTTCAGAAATCGAGAGAGAAAGAGAATCAGAGTGAATAGCATATACATGAGTTTAATTAATTTAACTCGGCTTTTAAATTTAGGATTGTTGTCAAAGCATCTCATTGTTATAGATTGTCATTCATTAATTTAATTGAGCAAACAAAAAGAATTAAGTTATTAGATAGAAAGAATGTTTTGTTTTCTTACATTGGAAATTCTTTCGTTTTTTCTCGAAATCAACAAAAATGGGTTTAGTTAAAAAATAATAAAGATATTTGCTGAGAAAAAAACAAAATAAAAATTTATTTAACGCGCCATAATTCATACAACGGATAATATTTAATCACTGTGATTAAAGCGGCATTTACGAACTTAGAATATTCAATTGCGAAATATCACTTTTTATCAGTTTCATTTGCTGCTCGCAAAATGCTCGTATTCATAATATCGAATTTATTGGCTTTTTTAGACTGTAAACGAGAAAATGGGATGTAATATTTTTTCCCACCTATTGTTATTTTATCTTTTATGTATTTTTTTTCATTTTTTTTATGATATAAAAATTTTGCATAATATTTATTCGGGATAAGCAATAAAATTGTTCAATTATATAAATTGTTTTATATTTACATAATTTGAAATTTATATATTATATTTTAATTTATTATTATTTTTTATTATTAATTTTAATGAAAATAATTATTTTTCGTTTGTAGGTCACAATGGCTAATCGGGGTACAGCCCAAAGGCCAAATGGCACACAAGGCAAAATTTGTCAGTTTAAATTGGTATTACTTGGTGAATCAGCGGTGGGCAAATCGAGCCTTGTTTTGAGGTTTGTCAAGGGACAATTTCACGAATATCAAGAAAGTACAATAGGTGGTAAGTTCCATTTTTTTTTTACTAAAAGGAAAAAAACATAATTTCTGTGATTTAATAAAAGTTTCATTTATTTCTTTAAAAAATAACAGAATAATTTTGTAAAAACACTCACAAGAAACTTATTTTTGTCAACAGCTGCATTTTTAACACAAACAGTATGTTTGGATGACACGACTGTAAAATTTGAGATTTGGGATACTGCCGGTCAGGAACGTTACCACAGTCTTGCACCAATGTATTATCGTGGAGCGCAAGCAGCCATTGTGGTATATGACATAACAAATCAGGTCTGTATATTTTTTTTTAATTTTATTTTCTCGAAATGATAAATATCATTTATATTTAGAAATTACGTTTTCGAATTATTAATACCTTTTTTTGTATATTATTTAGATTATTATTTTGATTAATATTATTTGTCCTATTTTTGCGGATGTGTGGTAATGAGAAAGTAAAATTATTAGTTTATTATAAAAATAAAAATTTTAGTTTTATTGATTTTTTTGTCATCTTTTTAATAGGACACATTTGTACGAGCTACAACGTGGGTTAAAGAATTGCAACGACAAGCCAGTCCAAGTATAGTAATAGCATTAGCAGGAAATAAAGCAGATCTTGCGAATAAGCGAGCTGTTGAATTTGATGAAGCTCAAACTTACGCTGAAGAGAATGGACTTCTCTTTATGGAAACATCAGCAAAAACGGCGATGAACGTAAACGATATATTCTTAGCTATTGGTGAGTTATTAATTTACTATTGAACATTGACGGACAAACTTTGAAACTCTAGACGTTAAAAAATGGAAAATTATCGTTAAAATGAATAATGATTAAAGTAAATTACTTTGTTTTTTTAATATTTAGATTATTTTTGTCTTGTTAAAAAAAAATACATTTTATCATTTGCTGGAAACAAAAAAAATAGATAAATCGGAAAAAGGCTAAGTAAATATTTGTTTTTCACAAAACGGATTTAAAAATAAATATGTAAACATTATTAAAAACACTGAGTAAACTTTCCTTTATTAGAAACCATCGGGGAATACAATTTTTTTTTTTGTTCTTAAATTCTTTAATATTTCTAGTAGAATAAACATTGTAATTAATTATTTATTTTAACTATTGAATTACATTATGATATTAATTTTTTGTAAAGAAAAATTTATTTAAAATCGAAAAATAAAATTTATTTGAAGACAATTTCTAAATGAACTGTAATTTTGCAGCTAAAAAACTTCCAAAGAGCGAGCAAACAGGAAATGCGAGTACAAGTGGACAAGGGCGCCGACTAGTCGAAACAGAAGGGCAGAAAGCAACTACCGGCAATTGCTGCAAGTGATTGACCAAATCCGTACGTGTCCCATATATTATACTGGTATCTATTTTTATAGTAGTTAAATTTTATGCTTCTTGAGATCGACGAAGCGAAATGAAAACAAGAAACAAGTCATAATACGATAAAAATGCGTATTTTTCACGTGAAAAAATCGTTTTAAAAAAGGGATATGTCAGGAAAAAAAAACCCATGATGTAGTTGCGCATTTATACCTCTCGGAATTTTTTTTTTTTTTTTTGAAAAGTCGATCGCAAATTTTGAAATACTTTTTTATATATATTGCAAAGAAATAGGAATGACGAAACAAACAAAAAAATCCAGCGGTCGGGAAAAATCATTAAAAAAAAAAGAAAGAAACCTATGTGAAAATCTATTGTTCACACAAGTATTCTCGTTTCAATTGCGAAAAAAAATCCTTTTCGTGTAATTTGTGTATCGTATATGGTGTTTTGATAGAATTTCGAGGATTATGCTCATCTCGATGATGCTAATTGTTGTACAGCGTAATTAATTTTATGCAATATGATATTTAATAATATAGATTTTATAAACGGCAGGCCACATTATGGCTTCTCTACATACTAACGTTATACAAGGAAAAAAGAAAATCATACATTATATAGTTAAAGAAGAAAAAAAAGGAAATTCGTTACATAATTTAAAAAAAAGTAAATAGAAAAAAAGAGAGAGATTTAAACGAAAGAACATATCTCTTCGTTAATTCGTTAAATGTCACGCCACTTGTGTGTGACAACGAACAATGTCTATATAGCATTATTCAATATTAAATGGAATGCGTTTTTGAAAAAAAAAAAATAGCTAAATTTTTAACAAATTAAATTTTAACGTCAGTATGTTATTATTAAGTGATAACAAGATTTTCATTTTTTTTCACTTTCAATATTGCAGACTTATCTTATTGCATTCCTTGTGATATATTTTTTGCAATGTTACGTTTTACGATTTTTCTTTTTTACAAAAATAAAGCAGGTGCAGGTGAGTCAGCATTGAAAAATCGAATTAAAGACAAAATTCGGGTGTAAATGACGCCCCTAGAAAAAAGAAAATCTTGTTTGCAATTTTTTTCTATTTTAATTCTGAAAATGAACATTTTTCAAATAAATTGAAAAATGAACATTTTTGAAAGTTGAAAAATGGATTTTTTTTTAAAGCTGACAGAAAGGGTCTTTGTTATTTTCTTACTAGTTTATTGTTTATCGCTTTTTAGATATTTTAAAGTGACACTGCTAGATTTATAATAATGACTTTAAAAAAAAGAAACATTTTTTTTTCTTTCACAATTTTTAAATGACTCACCTCGTATTTTCTATAAGTTGAAAGCACGCTTGCAAGAGAAAATTTTCATGCATGCAAATTTAAAAAAAATAAAAAAGAATTTGTGTACCACGAAAGAGGTATAATTTCTTAATTTAGAGACTGTCGTAATTTAAACGTCGATTGTATTTATACAGGGAGGATTTTAATCTATACTAAAGACAATTAAAATGAATTTTAGACTACAGTAAAATTTAGTCCAACTTCATTAACTCTGTTTTTCTTTTGTCTCCTCTTTTTTTTGTACACCACATAAAAAAGTGACTTCTTTAAACAAAAAAAGAAAAGAAGAAAAAAAATACAGTGTACAGTGGAAATTTTTATCACTTTGTACCTCTTCCTTTGTAGATGGCTAAAAGAGAAAATGATTAAATTTTATTTCTATCGATGTTAAAGTGCATTCTTCATTTTGCGTTTCTTTCACCGCTTTTGATTAAAAAAAGGGAAAATTAATAATTAAAGATTTCGGATCCAATTATTGAATTGTGTAAACAATAATTTTGATCGATTAAAAAAAATATTAGTTTCGCAAAAAAACTAAATGCGATTTTAAAATATATTATTTATTCACTTTCTGGTAAGTACTTTTTATTTTTAAGGTTTTTCATTTTTATTTATTTCTTTTAATTTTTGACATCGATTTATGTATTGATTTGTTATTGTTTATTAACAAAAAATGAAGGAAGAAAATCTTATCTTTTAATTTGCTTTTAAACTTTTGTGGTACAAATTGAAATATATTGTAAATAATATGCAGCCTGTTTTCGATTAAATAAACATGATATGTATAAAATTTAAATTGGTTGTATTAGTTATACAAATATTGTCGAACATTCTTTTTCATATTATTTCAATTCTTTTTTTTGTTATTTCACTAAATATTTACCTTTTAAATCCAGATGTTGATATTTCGGAATATTTTTAAATAATTATTTATTGATTTTCTTTTATAAGTGAAAGAAAAAATTTTTTCTTTTAATTTTACCAAAATATTAAAGTAAACTATTTTGTGTAACAAATTTTATACTTTATTAAAAATAAATTAAAAATAAAAAATTTATTTTTTCGTTACAGAAATTTTTCAATTTTGCAAGAAAAAAGAGTCTAAAAAAATTTTTTTGGGGATTAAGAAATCAGCGAGCAATAAATTTTCAATTATATTGACAATGGCAAATCTTTGATTTTTCAGATATGTACGATATTCCAGAAAAGTAAATACACCGTAAATGTGTCCACATTGACTTTTAATGGAACTTCTTATGCGAAGAAATACAACTGGAAACAGTGGAAGGTGATTTGTGCATCATGAACATTTTTTGAATGAATGAGAAGAAAAAAAAAATAAATGTCTCACTATTCGATGATATATATCACCTATTTTGAGAGGGAGAGAGAGAGAGGAGAGAAAAAAAAGACGCAAGATCTGGTCTGTTAAATTTCGGCGGATCTCTCGTTTGTAATTCTAGTAGTTAATTGGGCGGTGTTCGTTATAAATATATAAATATATAATGAAACATAGGTGATATAATTTGTGTAATAATAATAAGCATAAATGATATTGATAACAATAATAATTATACAATTAAATATACGGTAAATAACATTTAATTAAAAAAAAAAACAAAAAATATGGACTTTTTGGCACGCGACTCTTGTAAGATAGTAGAGGCCATTCCTCCTGCTATTATTATTATACATACCTTTTCTTTGTTAGATAAAAATCGTGTATGACACTTATATACTCTAAAAGTATATTGTATATTATAATTTTATTGATAAATCCTGATAAATTATGAACAATTATACAAGGGAAAGAATAAACTTGTGAATATTATAAGATAACGATCTTTTCAATATTTGGAATTCTTATCTTTTCTATCATTTTTTTCCTTTTTTTTCAATAACGATATTTAAGTTTTCATGGCAATTTTTTCATTACAGCATCCGCCAGATAAAAGATGAAATTTTTACTGCAGCAGAGTGCAAATTGTTACTTGACCTTTTTAACACGACTTACATGCAACATATGCTCATACGTTTTATCTGTCTTCCTAATTATAATTTGTTACTTACACTTAATGAGCCACCAGAAGAGCAATAAGAGAAAAATTCCCAATAATTGAAAATTAAAATTATTATCAGTCGGAAATTTTATTTAAAAAATAATAAATATGCGTAATTAAAGAATATAAAAAAATAATTTAAACAAATTTTTTTTTAAAGAAAATAAAAATAAAATAATAAAATATAGTTCATCAATAATAAACCTGTGAAATATCAAAAGAAGATTTATTAAAATAAAAAAACTGTCGTTATAAATATGGCTTTTACAAAAGAGAAACTTTCTAGTTAATTATTTTTCGCTTTCAGTCTTACGTGTGAAAGCTTTGCTATTTTTCAGCCTTACAAAAAGATTCCATATTGTCTCAAAAAAAATAATAAATAAAACTGTAATATTACCATCATTTACTGGTCGATGATTGATATCCACAATCTCGATTCTCGTCAATTCCAAAATCATTTTCAGAATGAAAAGTCGAATTTTCTTGGAAAAATTCATTTCCCTTCTTCAGTGCCTTTGTTAAATGTTTAATTTCCTGAAAAAACGTGGAACTCCAGTATTCTGATTTTTTACATCTTCTTGCAAAATATTCCTGTAAAATTTTTTTTTCAATTAAACGTCCAAAAAATAAATAACAATTAGAAAATATGGTATGGTATCTAATTAATATTTTTATAAAGAATGAAAAATTATTTGACCTTCGATAATAGAGAATGAGTCGAACTGGGTTCACTTTGTGTTTGCAAAGTTCGTAAATTAAAATAATTTTTATTGTTGCAAATATTTCTTGAACCCATGTAAGATCTTTGATAACGTTTACGTTTCTGTTGAAAAGCGTTTATAATTCGCTTTTGCTCCTTGATTTTCATCAGCAGCGCTCTAAAGATAATTTTCCTTATTAATAATAATTATAAATAAATTGTAAATTTTTGTGATCCTTGAAAAAATAATTGATAAGAAATTCTCACTTCTTTTGAAATCCAAGAATTTCGAGTTGTTCCTGTTTGCTTTTCAATTTTTCATTCAAAGTGTCAACGATATTGTTCTGCTCCTCCATCCAGTCGCGTATACAGGAAACAACATATTGTGATTCATTGCATAATTCTGATCGGCTAGCCGTCGCTTGTGACAATTCGGCAGTAATTGAAGCTAAAGATCTATTTTTCATTTTACATTCCTTTTTCAAGTCGACCAACATATTGTGCATATCCTCCAGCTGCAATAATAAATGTCCATTTTATATTATTTATAATATTTATTTTTAAAAAATTAATTAAAACAAAATTATAAATCAAGACTTACGTCATTATTCGATTTATCATTATTTTGCTCGAGAAATTTGATTTTCCTCAAAAGTTTCGAATTTTCCTCTCTGTAATCTTGTAATTTTGCTTTGATAGAAGAATTTACACTTTGGAGTTTTAAATTATTTTTCTTCTGGCTCTGTAACTGTATAAGAAAAATATTTAATATTTCAAATTTTGAATATTTATTTATTTATATTCCTAATAATAAGATTATTTACTTCGTATTGTGTTTCTTCAAGTTGACTCGAAAAAAGATTGCAAGCCGATTGGATTTTTTCGAGTTCTATTTTTTTCGACGAAACTTCTTCCTTTTCGTGTTCGAGTTCTTTTTTCAATTTCTTTGTTAATTCCTTTAGTCTCACTTCCTCTTCTTCTGTGTTCATCATTCTGGAATAGAATTTCTTTTCCTGGCAAAATAAAGAAAAATATTTTTAAAAATGTCTAAAAGTTGCAAATTAGAAAAAATAATTCACAATATGAATTTTAATGTACAATTTAATAAAATTTTATTACCATATTTGTCAACATTTGTTGTAATTCAACTTCTCGTTTGACGCTTATATTTAAAAGTTCTTGACTTTTATTAAAATCCTGAGTAACAGTTTCGTAATTATTTTCAATAATTTCAAGTTGAAGTTGAATTTCTTTCTTCTGCAAAAATATATGAAATTTGTTTGGTATGAAATAAAAAATTTTATAATAAAAATTACTTTAAATACCTTGCTTTGTAATGCACAAATATCTTCCTTTGCTTTGATCTCCAATTTTTCGTATTCCGTTTTTAAAATTGTATTATTATTCTATGAAAAATTACAATAAATTACTCAAATTGAAAATTTACTATATTAATAATTTTTCGTAAATTTAAAATTTTATTACCTTCATTACTTGATAAGCTGCTTGTAATTTTGCCATGCAATCAGATTTTTCTTCCAATAATCTCTTTAAGAAATTCGACATTTTTTCCGAATCATTTAATTCCGAAATATAATTTTCCGTCTGTTGCTCGCTGAAAAGTATCTTCGCCTTCAATTTTTCAATCATCTGAATTGAATAATTAAAAATTAACAGTAAATAAATTTTTTTGTAAATTCTAAACAAATTAAAAATAAAAATACCTCTTTTTGATTATTTTCCAATTCGGAAATTCTCTCATTGAGTCTGTCTTCTTTGTCGTCATTTAATTTTAATTTTTCAATAAGCCTCTCATTATGATTTCTCATTTCCTCCAATTCGGTAATTAGTGCTTGTTTCTGAAAATCCATATTTTCCAAATCTGATCGCAATTTTGGAATGTATTCAGTATTTTGTTGTTTTAATTCCTCTTGAATCATTTCGTATTCAACTTTGTATTTTTCAAGTTCAATCACCAAATTTTCATTATTCTTTTCTAATTCTGTTTTTAGTTTCTGAACATTGTCTAGTTCCGTTTGTAAATTTTCCCTTAATAAACAAATTTCATTTTGTTTCTTTAATTCCTGTTCAATGAGTTCAAAGTCAATTCTGTATTTTCTAAGTTCTTTTTGTAAATCCATATTTTTCTCCATCAACGATTCATATTCCAATTGTAAAATTTTCATCTCTTCTTCTTTTGTTTCCAAATCATTCGAATTTTTCAATCGACTGTCTTTCCATAAAAACTCAGCAGACAAATATTTTTCTTCGAGGGATTTATTATTTTTCTTAAGCCTCTCAATCTAAAAATCAATCAATTATCATTCCAAAATGATTACCTTTTGATAAATTTGAACATTTACCTTAATTTTTAACTGTTCACAATCACTGCCACAAGTTTTTAACTGCTCCTGCAATTAAAAGAAAAAAAGAATATTATTTACAATTAATTTAAAAAATACAATGAAAAATTTATAACTTTAAATACTAATTATTAACAATTAAAGACAACTTTTGTTTAAAAAATTTATTAGATCAATTTTACAACATTTGTTTCGAAAATTCCATCCATTTCTTTTTAATTATTGAAAAAATTCTTCAAGTGATATTAAAATGAAATATGCTAAAATTAATTTTAAATTATAAAATTAGAATATTTATACTTACCTGTAAATGAAAAATATAAGCCAAATAAATAAAGTGAAGAAGAATTATTTTACAAAGTTCGTTGGATTCTTTGTAAATAATTTTTTTCTGCAATGATTCAATCGAATCACGTTGTAGTTCCAGTAATGAATCTTGTTTTGCAGCCTATGATATAATTAAATGGGGATAAATTAAAAAAAAAGCTAATAAAAAAAGAACACCAGAATTTTTTTTTAAACTTGCCTCCGCAAAACATTCGCTGTATTGACGCTGCGTTTCATTGAGGAAAATGTATAACGTTCGAATTGCTTCATTCTTTTTCTCTTTCTGAAATTTAAGCTCTTCAATTTTTAAAATAACAGTCTCAGAAATTAATAACTAATAATAAAAATATTTAAAATCTATTTTATTAATTATATAAGTATTGAAGATGAAAAACTTGGAAAAAAACTCAAAAGTTAATTTCTAACTTACTTACAAAACTTTTTTTGAACACTGCACTATTTTTCTATAAAAAAAAACACACCATGCAGAAGAGAGATTATTAAATAATCCAGCGAAAGCTCTAGAATTGAAAGTTAATAAAATTCAAAAAGAAAAAGAAACTCACAATTAATTTCTTGTTAGACTGTTCATTTTATTTACAATTCCGCACGTTTGTCGATGCTTATATTTACAATTAAAATATAACGTAACTTTATGTAAATTACAAATTTAAATAATTATTCTGATTATTATATAAAATTCAATTCGATTTAAATGATATTAATTAATTGATTTAATTAATATTTCCAGATAATAAATTAAATCAAAAGTGAAAATTAATTTGCATCTTTAAAAACGTGCGATTGTTGTATACTTATTTTTTTTTTAAACTGAGAGACATCAGAAATATTTTTTCGCAGCTGTCGAACGATTTGTTTTTTTTTTTTTAGTAAAACAACACTCACTATCTCATTTTGTTAAACATCGTGCACATTCCCATGATTGAATACTGAAGGCGAGACTGAAGACCATAAATCACTCACATCGCTCACAAATTTCTGCCCCATTTGGTCCAAACATCTTTTCGTTTGAACCACGGCATTTTGCAAGTGACCGATCGTTTGTATTTGAAGCTCAATCTAAATCAAACAAATTAAAAGTCACATTTTTTAATTTTAACCAAAAAAATTTAATTTATTAATGAGGCTTAGGTAAAAAAAAATTATATCACAATCTTTTTGAATTAATAATAATTAATTATAAACAAATTTAACTTTTTTTATTAATAAAACTTTTACCTTATTTTGCAGCTGTTTATTCTCCTTATCCAAATGAGCGATGACATTATTTTGTGCATCTATCTGTAAATTATACTTTGAATTTAATAGTCAAATTTAAAAAAAAAGTAAAATTCTTGTTCATTAACAATGTAAAAATAAAGCAGAAAACCACATACCGTATTAATCATGCAAAAAAAAGTTTTCATACAGTTGTTATAATCACTAATAACACTAATAGAAAAAACGTGCAAGAGAAAAATTTTTCTACAAATTCAGTGTACCCGAGAAATATTTGTTTACACTCTTGAAAATAAATTCAATTTAAAGCAAACATTTGACAATGAAATATTTTTAAAAAAATAAGTACCTTCTCTTGTAATTTCTCATGCAAATCTTTCACTTCATTTTGAGATAGAATTATTGAGTCTTGTTGAATTGTGATTATTTCCTCCTTGTCTTTCAACTAAAAAAAGAGAATTTTTCATTTATTGAATTATAGATAAAAAAAAATTTCTTAATTTTATCGATGGAAAATAAAATTCATCATTTACCATTTTTTCCTTTGTGAATAAAGCGTGTTTCAATTTTTCCAATTCGGCGAAACAATTTTCGGAATTGACTCCACTTGTTCCCAATGTTGATAATGCACCCTCAGAATTTGTTTGCTTTATTTAAAAAGGAAGATTAATATAAACAAATAATTTAAAAAATAGTTTAAATTAAAAATAGTTTTCTTTCGAATAACTTTTTTTCTAAAAGTTGAACAAATTAACTTACAAACGAATTGAGCATCTCTTTCGAATTTTTCAGTTCTATTTCACTGGAAGCTAAACTTCTTCGAAGATTTGATTCTATTTCCTTTTGTTTCCATAGCTGAAAATAAAAATTTCAAATAATTTAAAACTATTCTTTCTAAACAAAACTAAATTTTTCAACATATTTTTAATCGTTTTAAGAAAATATTTAAACTTACTGTGCTTTCTAATTCGGAGATTTTTCTCTTAAATTGCATACATTCTTTTGAAAAACTTCGCCTCGTATCTTCTGATTTCTTATTCTCTCCTTTCAATTCCTGTTCTAATACTTGAATATGACTTTCTAAAATGGAATTTGCATCTTGACCAATTTTCAACTGAAAATAAATAATTTTTTTTATGAATGATTAAAATCTAAATGTGTCAGTAAAAAAATCTAAATAAACAGAATGTATTACTTCTTAAAAATTTATTTATTCTTGAATCGTACCTCATTTTGAAGAAACCGTATTTGGCCCAATAAATTAGTGATTTGACATTTACACTCATTTACAGATTCGTCTACTTCTTTTTTGTAGGAGTACTGAAAAAAAATTTCCTTATTTATCTTAATTGAATGTAAATTTGAAAATAGAATAGAAATAATTTTAAAAAATCATTTGAATCAAGCAATAACAAATTTACAACCTTACAATAGTAAAACAAAATAAATTTCAATACCTCGACCATTTTTATCCGCAAATTTTCATATTCTCTTCTTAATTTATGATATTCATCTTTTACTTTTAAAATTTCGTTAACATCCTAAAAATAAATTGTTATTAAAAAGAAAGTTCTAAAAATTCTTTTTTGTAAAACAGTATTTTAATAATACAAACCTGATTTATAATATGATTATCCTTTACTGCATCTAATTCATTGATCTATAATTAAATAATTTTTGTAAAACAATTTTTAACAAATATTTTAAATTCATTAAAAATAAATAAATAAATAAATCTTTGTTGTTCGCGACTGTAAAAAATTAAGATATTATAAAATTTTAATTTATAGTGTAATTTAAATAAATTTGAAAAATACCTCATCCATCGCAGCAGAAATTTCTTCCAAGGCATCTTGCATATTTGTATGAGCATAATCAAGTTCTTTTTCAGATTTTTCTACAGACTTTTCCTTCTCTTCAAATATTTTCTGATTCACTTCATTCGTTTTCAGCTTCATTAAAAATAAAAATAATAATAAGTTATGTTTAAACTTTTTACTAAAAGAAAAGGAGAACAAAATTTTAAATACTCACAATTTCTTGACTTCTATTATACAATTTTTCTAAATTATTATCGACAGTCAAGAGCTGCATATTTAATTCTGATAACAATGATACTGTACAACATTCCTAAATAAATATAATTTAATAATTAGTAAATAATATAAGTGATAAATATTCAAATAGTCGATGAAATTGAAATAAAATGAATGAGAAAACTATGTGACTGACCTTTTCCTGAACGGTTTGTAAATTTGATACAATTTGTTCAACTTCCTCCGCAACAATATTGAGAACGTCACTTGAAGAATAATTTTGAGTTGAATCAATATTTCCAAGCTCCTGATTATTTTCCTGCATACTGACAATATATTGAGAAAAATGCACTCGAGCTAGATTGATATCATTTTTCATATCCTTCAATTTATCGTTTCCAGATGAAATTCTCTTATTGTACCTCATTCTTTCCTCTTCCTGTAATTTTAATTGACTTATTGTCTTGGAAATTTTTTCTCTTGATGTTGTTAGGTAATTTTGTACTTCAGCTGTCAATTTATTTAGTTCACAATACTGAAAGAAACAGTAGAATTAATAAAAAAAATTAAGACAAATACAATTACAATTGTCAAATTGAAATTTAATCATAATTTTATAATTTGTTACTTTTTTTTATTAATGAATAAAAATCTACCTTTTCATGACGACAAGTAAAATTAGAAACAACATTTTCCATTTCTTCCCGTAAATCTTCAGTAGCTGCCTGAGCTTCAACGGCACAAATTCTAAATTCTTCCATTCTTTTGAACTGCTGGAGAAATGTTTTGATTGCCTGCAAATATTTTTTTTTCACAAATTAAAATTAATCCAGACATAAAACATTTAAAGGAAAATTTAATAATTTTTTCTTACCAATTCATGGCTTGGATCATTGCAACTATTTTCGGAAGATTTTGTTTCTTTCTTCATCTAAAAGAATAAATTTATAAAAATTTCGTTATTAAAACTAAGATAATGAAATAAACTTACGGAAAAATCTTCAAACGTTTCCTCTTTTTCGAAACAAATTTTCGAAATTTTATTAGTCACACTGCATAATCGATTGATTATTTCTTCCAATGTTATATGGGATTTGTCATCAGAATCCTGAAAAATAATTTGAATAATTGAAAACAGTGAATTACTCATTATTATAATTATAACATAATAATAAATAATATTAAAATATAAATATTTAGAAAAATACCTCGTGAATGTTTTTTAGAATATTGAGAAGCGAAGCCATGTTTCCCTCAATATCAGTAAAAAAAGTTTGCATTTTTTCAACGGAACCGTTCTGCACAGAAATAATATTTAACTTCTACGTAAAATTTATTTGATTGCAGTTGTCTTGAATTTTTGTTTCTTCCATGATAAATACTAGAGATAATTATTACAAAATACTAAAAAATTTATTAAAATAGTTCTCAAAATAATTTAATTACTTAAATAACAAATAAATACAAATTTTGCTATAAAAATTGACAATTTTTTTTGTACTTTATTCAAATATTTATCAGAACGTGAAAAAAAAAATATTTAAATAAATATAAATAAAAATCTTACATTCTCCATTACTTGTGCTTTGAAGGTTTTCAATAAACTATCCATCTCGTGCAGCTTTCTATAGAGATGTGGAAAATCTTCTCTAAATTCCTAAAAAAAAAACAATAAAATTTAAAATTGTTGTTAGAAAATAGAAGCTTTTTATTTTATGAAATTATATTTTTTCGTACTTGTTTATAACGTAATTCCGTTGTCATTTTTTCAATCTCTTCTTTTAAAATTGATAAAGCTTCTTTTTCCTTTTCCATCATTTGTTTTGTTTTCGACAAATACATCACTACTTCATTCTGAAATCAATTTTTATAAAATAAACTAATTAGCTCATTGATTAAAATTAATTTAATTAATTACATACCTTGTGAGAAGAAAAATCTTCGCTAACAATCTGAAAATAAAGAAAAATATTTAGATAATTAAAAATGATTTACAATTGTATTTATTATTTAATTTTCATTTTTTATTTAAATTTCACTTACTTCAGAAGCAGGTTCTTGATTTATTCGAACATGTTTTGAATGAGAGACGTCCTGAAAAAAATAATAGAAATTAAATTCCTTTACATTATTATAAAATTGAATAATTGAATTAAAACTTTTTACACAAAATTGTTGAATAATTAAATTTATTTATTATTTAAAAAATAAGGCAATTATGCTAATAATTCTCTAATTCTACGATACGTTATAATTTAAAAATTTCTTCATTCTTCATTTTTATCAAAATACTCAAAAAGTACGAAAATTTTTCTATAGAATAAAAAATTAATTTTATTTATACGTAATACAACGCGGTTTGTCTCTACTTGGTGGGGATAATTTTTCCGCGGTATCAATAATATCTTGATCAACTTGCTTCAATTGTTTTTTACGTTCCACAATATTTTTTGAAATATTTCGTAAATTTTTAAAAGAAGAAGACAATTTTTGATCACCAATTTTTTCTGGACTTCTTGTTTTTAATGGATAAATATTTTCAAGTATTATTTTCGAATTATTTGCATTTTCTGGAAATTCATGAATAATTGACATTTTCGTTTTTCTTTTCATTATACAATATGAGGAGGAAGAAGAAGAAGACTCAATGACTCTATTGCAATTATCACAAGTTGGTTCCAATCTATTTGGCTTATCGTAATAATTGTTTTTTGTTGTCGACTAAAAATACAGGAACAATTTAATTGAAAATTGCGAATTCAAATAGAAAAATAAATAAGACGTACTTTTTGTGAAATTTGTTTCAATTCTTTTCGCAAATCTTTAATTATGTCCTCCTTGAATTGTGTCTGCATACTTAAATGATGACATTTATCTTCCAATTCCTGGATTTCTCGTCGCAGAACAATCACTTGGTCGTATTTTTCTGCTACTTCTGAGGCCAAAGCTTCTTTCGATTCCAATGATTCCTGAAAAAGATCCAACTTTTTAGAAGTTTTTTTTTTTATATTCACATTAATAATTTTTGTAAATTAAATTACTTTAAAGTTAAATTAATTAAATTTCGTCAAATAAAATTAAAATCGAGCCGTTAATTAAAGATTTTCTAAGAATGTTACGTATTTTCGAAAATTAAAATTTTGTAAAATAAATCAATAATTAGCATTTTTATTTCTATACAAACTTTTTGAAGAGCCGTGAGTTGAATTTCAAGTTCTTGAATTTGTTTATTTTTTGCCTCACACTTGTCATTCTCATGCAAAAGCTTTTCTAATTTAGCATTCGACTCCTCTAGACTTTCGTGGAGATTTTTGATTTTTAAATCTTTGGCAACAATTGCACTTTCCAAAAACTCAGCCACTTGCACAATCTAAATGTTAACACACGGTTTCAGGTGAAAAATAAAAAAAAATCTAATCACTATTTCATGCAAAAGAAATACTTTCATGCACTTTCAAAAACAACACGAAATCATGCACGAGACGAAAAAGAAAAATAACATCCGACACTACGAAAAAGTAGTATAATTGCCTTATTGTTATTATTTAATTTAAAAAAATAATTACTACCCTTTAATAACAGAAATCAGAATAATTGTTTTACGTGTTAATTTTCCAAATAAAATAAAAATTTGTAATAATTTAAAATAGGAAAAATGTATTTTATCGGTGGATAAAAACGAAAGAGAAAATTATTAAATAAATCATTGAGAAATAAAAATTTTTTTTTTGTAATTTCGAGGGCAAGACTTACGTCAAAGTCAAGGTTCTCAGTAGTATCGTGAATAGTATTGATAGATTTTTCTTTAAGATTATCTCTTAATGTTTGGACTTTGTATTGAAACTTTTTGTAAATCTCGTCTTTTTGCAAAATAATTTTGTTTTGCTCTGACACTTGTTGCTCCAACATCGATACTTTCCTGTTGGATTTTATTTTACAAATTGCATTTTTTTTTAATTTTCATTTGTAAATAATATGTTTTACTAAATTTACTATTTTTTTTAAAATAAAAATTAAGTAACTACAATGTGTTTTATTTTATAGTAAATAAATTTCCCTCTTATTTTAAATTTTTCAACAAAAATTAAAGTAATTTAAAAAATATATTTTTAACTTACTCGAGCAATAATTTTTCATTATCTTGCATTGTTTTCAAGACGTTATTATATTCTTCATTCTTAGCACTTTCCATTTCCTAATTTAAATATCAATAAAATAATAATAATTATTATTTGAATATTTAAAATATATAGAATGCAATTTTTTCCTTTAATTTAATTTCATGAATATTTTTTAAAAAATAATTATTAGCCATTCTCCTAAAACATTTTCATGTATAACAAAGAATTTCAAATAAAAATAAATAAATTTTTTAAAAAATTCAGAAATATTATTTGAAAATGATAATAGAATTCCTAAAATGACACTCTTCATTTGGCAATTTTATTTCTCGTTGGAATTCTATATAAATATATAACTGTAAATTTTACAAGGAGTGTGGAAGAAGCTAAAAATATATGAATTAAAGGAAGTCAAATTAAAGGCATGCAGAAGATTTCGAATCGCAAGGCAATAAATCTGCATTATTAGAAATACAATTGCAATGGAGTTCGTTTGTTGAATATTTTTTCTTTTGCGATGAACCGCAATTAACATCTAATTCAAATATCAGTTTCTTGGATTTATTTATAGATTCATTTACCTCGTTACAGGTGCAACTGTAAAGAAATAAAATTTTTTGCACATTTTCAAACTTAATTAAAATTAATAAAAAAAAATTTACATTTAATTTAACATTTACTTTAATAGTAATTTAAAAAAAAATTGATATTAAAATTTAGCGTAATATTTTGAAAATTTAATTAACATATTAAAAATTCTCTCAATAATTGGATTTTCTTTTACAAGTAAAGTAATTAACTTACTCAAAAGGAACTGGTATGTCTTCGGGCTTAATTTCATAAAATGTTATGCCATCTTGATTCCAACAACTATTTTCATGAGCTCGTCTAATCAATTCTAATAAGCCACTAATATCATTTTGAAGATATTCAATTTTATTTTGAAGATATTCATCTCTTTCTAATTCAGATATTCGATCCGAAAGTGTATTTAAAGCCTGAAGGATTTTTTGTTCTTTTCATTTTTAAATCGAAAATAAATATTTTTCAACTTTTAAAAGAAAACTTTCAGCTTTTTTTTGTTACCTCTCCTGAATTGGCGCATTGTGCAATATTTTCCGAAACTAAATTAGTTGACTGCAATAATTTATCTTCTAAAAGTTTAACTCTATTAACTGCTGCTTTCTCAAGATCCTCAACTGTACGTACTAACATTACATTTTGCTCCTTTAAATCATCAACCCATTCAGTCATTATTTTCAATTTTGTCTGAAATTCAATAGCAATAAAAAAAAGACATTTCTTTCAAAAAAAATTTTAGTTACAAATTAATTTTTATTCCCACCATATGGAGGAAAACCGAAAAAAAATTAAATAATAAAGAAAACGTGAATTGTTCCTAATTTATAATTAATAAGAAATTAAAATTTATTTCAACACGATGGAAAATTGAGTGTGCAACTTCTATAATATTATATTTGAATTTTCTCCTGAGACTATATTTAGATGTCTCGCTTGGAAATGATTCTATAGAGGGGAAGATTTTAAAATACCTCTATAAGCAGGCTTAACACGTAAACTAAAAATAAACAAAAAGTGTAAATATCAGAAAAGTATTTATAAAACTAGTATAAAAAAAAGTATTCAATAAAAAGACCTTCATAATAAAAGTTTATAAAAGGATATTTATAGGGAAAAATTTTTTTTTTTTAAATAACATTTTAATAAAAAGAAAATCAAATCTACGCTACATAAATGTATAAAAACGAATAATAACAAACATTTTATACAAAATAGAATTACAAAAAAATTCTCCTTAAAAAAATAATAAATAATAATTCATTCAAATACACAAAATTCATTCTTAATAAAACCAAAATTCAATAAAAGAAAAAAACCACAGTAAATACTTTTTTTCAAATTTCCATGCACAATAGAATAATCATGCAATTTAAATGAAAAATAATGATCAAAAGGGGCAATTTGTATATTTAAGTGTACTCTCGATTAATTACAGAAACATTATACGATAAAAAAAGAATAAAACAGGAAAACTAAGGTTAGAATAAAAAACTTACAGAAATGCGATCAAATTCGGTAAATGTAGTATTTTTATCGACATCGTCAATACGATTCTCATAAATTCTTTTGAATTTCTCAAGGATTTTTAAGCTCTCAGTTTCACTTAATTTATCTTCTTCTGAAGAATTTGCTTTAATTTTTGAAGATTGACCGGGTTTTGAAGTTTGAAGACAATCACAATTTACCGAATCCTCTGAATCACCAGCAGCGATAGACGACATTTTAGAAAAAATGAATTCTTTAATGCAGTCTTCATTAACAAAATTAAATGATTTAATATCCTACACTCCGTATTTTTTTTTTATAATAAGAAATTGTCAAACTAAATATGTCAACACGCCATTTTCATTGACAAACGACCGAAAAAATAGCAGACGACAAAATGCGGAAACAAATTGTGTTTAGTGTCACGTGTCGCCGCTAGAGTAATTTGAAAATTGGCGCAAGAATATAATTTTTACATACTCTATTAATATTAATAATTATTTATAATTAATAACTTATTATTAATTTATTATATTATTGAAAACTAAAAACTATTTTTTTCTGTTAATTATAGTCAATTAAAAAATTGTGCAAAAACATTAAGGCATGTTTTCAAAACGATTTTTTATAAATTTAAAATTAGCCAATGAACGCTATTGTTGTTTAAAGGTTATGAAACATGTTTGACAGCTCCACGTGCATTGAATCCTAAACGAAAATATAAATAAAAATTGTTTAAAATGAGTTTTAAACAAACAAAAGAGTCTGTCGACGAAGGAGATGTTGTGATTTTATATTTCGGACCAACGAATATGCATTCAATTGAAGTTAAACGACAAATAAAGAATAAAAAAGGTGAACTTGTAGACAATACATTTCAAACAACTTATGGGGCTTTGAAGGTAATAGATCTTGTTGGAAAAGAATATGGTTCAAAGGTACAATTAACTAAAGGATTTGGATATGTACTTCAACCGACACCTGAATTATGGACCTCGACACTTCCTCATCGAACACAAATTATTTATACCGCGGATATTAGTTTAATCATTCACTTATTAGGTTTGAGTCCTGGAAGTATTGTCATTGAATCAGGTAAGTTTGCAATTAAATTAATAATGAAATTCATATTTTATCGCAATTTTATTTATTCATACAGGAACAGGAAGTGGATCTCTTTCTCACGCTTTAATTCGCACAATTCGACCCAATGGTCATTTGTATACATTTGATTTTCACGAGAATCGTGTAAACGTTGCACGAGATGAATTTCAGGTTCATGGACTTAATGAATTTGTTACTGTAGGACTTAGAGATGTTTGTTCTGAAGGTTTTGGCGATAATTTAAAACACAAAGCTGATGCAGTTTTTCTTGATTTACCTCATCCTTGGAAGACAATTGACTTTGCTGTCGAAGCTTTAAAGGAATCAGGTAATTTTTCAAATTAACTCATCTTATCAATAAAAATAAGTATAATTTATTAATTAATCAATTTTTCATTAGAAATTTTAATTTACTAGTAATATAATTTAATGAGAAATCTTATTTGGTCTCTAGGTGGAAAACTCTGTTCGTTTTCTCCATGCATCGAACAAGTCCAAAGGACATGTGAAAAATTAGCTTCCACGGGATTTGAAGATATAAAAACTTATGAAAATTTACAAACGGAGTTGCAAGTTCATTATAAAAGCATTCCAATTTTGGACTTAGAAAGTTTGAAAAAACCAGAGGTTTGAAATATATTTCTAAATTTATTTTCTATTTTAACATTCGATTATTTAATTTTCTTTTGTTAATTATATTTTTGAATAAACAGGAAGAAGAAACAAATGGAGAACCAATTAAAAAGAAGGGGAAATTTAAGATCAAACAAGACGAAAATAAAATATTAACCGTTTCGGAACCAAGACAATTGCCAGGTCACACGGGATATATAACAATTGCAACATTACCTCCAGAATTTGCAAGATCTGTTATTGTTGAAAGCTGACAGTTTTTTTTAGGAAATTAATTAAGTAAAATAAAAATTTACACATAATTTTCTACAAATGATAACCTATATTATAAACAATTTTTTTATACAGTTATACTTTTGAGAACAATTATAAATTCTTAAATACATGTTAGTTTTGAATAATTACGTCTCTCATAATATTTCCAAGTATTTTATTAACAAAACTAAAAAAAAAATAATTTTTAGCACATAGCATTCTTTATTTCTAGTAAACAAATTAGGGGGCGAAAAAAATAATAAATAAATCTAAATGTTATTATTTAATAAAGTTTCTTAAAAAAATTGATTTCTAAGATTATAAAAAAAAGAATGCAAATGAGTATTTCTCCAGAAAATCACTTAATAAATTGGCAAGTGTAATTTTTTTTTAAATTATAGAAAATGTAGTTTCTTTTTTTTTATTCAGCTTTACTTGGACTCCAAGTAAGATAATCTGCTTTTGTAGCTGCTTGATATTCTTTCACTAAATAATCCACTACTTCCCTCGAATTATCCAGTTCGTTTAGATTTTCCTCGAACATTTTTTCCTTGCGGAATTGCTCCAGAAAAGCTTCTCTTTTACGCAATTTGTCGTATTGCTGTAGTGCTCGATCAAAAAGCTATAAAAAAAAGACAAAATTAATATTCAAATAAAAATATTAGTTTATAATCTAATAATATAAACATACCGATGAGATGTTTGTGTGATTCGCTAACATCAAACCCGAGACGCGATGAGTGCTTTGAATATAAGGAGATTTTCTGGAGAGAGCCACTTGAATACTGGCTGGACCCCAAGGAATGAATTGTGCGAGTTTTCTTTCTCTAATTCTTTGCAATGATTTGTGCACTTGTGTAGGATCAACTTCGCCCTATTAACATTAATTTTTTTTACAAACATTAATTAATCAATATATGTACAAAAATTGGTTTTTTAAAAATTATTTAATTACCTGAATAATATTTAAAATTGATATATAACAATGTGCTGCATTTCTATCCAAAGCTGTTGAAACCATCATATTTTTCGGTTGCAATAATCGTCGCATAACGTCTAATACTGAAGTTTTTCTAACTGACGCTCCCTATAATTATAAAAATAAAAAATTATTTTCTTATAATAATAACGTTAATAATTAAATGATTTATAAATCGTACCTCTTGGTCTGTAGTAAGTGGAGTATATCCCGTCATCAGAAAATGCAATCTTGGAGTAGGAATTAGAGGCGCTATTAAGCCCACCAGATCATTATTCATATAGGAAGGATATCTAATAAATTTTAAAACCGATAAACTTAATAATTAAAAAAATAATACAAATTTGAATTGAATTGTAAATTTTTGTCATAGTAATTTATTAATAATTATTAATAAAATGTGAAATTACCTGAGAGTTGTGGTACTGACAGACATAATTGTTGAGACCAATTTATTAATTTGCGTAAAACTTGGATTTTGTATGTGCAATCTATCCGAGGCAATTCTATTTAAAGCTGTATTATCCAAAACAACAACACAATCGGCACATTGTGTTAATCGTTTCAATGTGAGCAATGAATTATATGGCTGAACAACAACATCACTTATTTCATCTTGATTTGGAAATACACTGTAAGTTTCAATTAATTTTTTTGGAAATCTATCGGCCAAACTTTCCAACATAAACGAACCCATTCCCGAACCAGTTCCACCTGCTATCGAATGACAAAGAACAAAGCCCTATATAAAAAAAAAAGATTAAAATTTAGAAAAGAACAAAATTAAATTCTAATAATTTTATAATTAATAAATTGAAATATTATTTTCTTTGCTATTTATATAAAAAGTAGAATAGAAAAAATTACCTCTAAACTATCACTTCCGTCTGCTTCTCGATCTAAAATATCGAAAATCTCCTCCTGAAGTTTTTCGCCTTGATGATAACCAGAGGCCCAATTATTTCCTGCACCACCTCCATGTTTCGATAAATAGATATTCTCTGGATTATAAAGCTGTAAGAAAAATAAACGCGACAATAAAAAATAAGCGAATACAATTAAAATTGCAAAAATTAGATGAAAAAAAATTAAAATATGAAATTTTCTTCTGGAATTTAATTGAAAATACCTTAGAATATGGAGAATTCATAATAGTATGAATAACCCGGGGTTCCAAATCCAAAAGAACAGCACGTGGAATGTAATGTTCATCGTCAGATTGATAAAAAAATACATCTTTCCTATCAGTTCCTTCTGTAGCATAATCTTCCAAAATTCCCTCAGGACTAATGCCATGTTCGGCACAAAGCCTCTTCCAAAATTCGAATCCAACTACAAGAAATTATTTTTAATTTAACTCAAACAGATTGACTATTTTATTCTACAATTAATTAATTAGTTAAACTATGTAAAATAATCCTAATAATAATTAATAACAAAATAAAATTTTGACATGAATGAATTTTCAAATTCAAAGAATATACCAAAATTATTACAAATATTAGTAATTATTATTAAATTATTAACAAATAATAATAGTAAATATAAATAATAACAATAATTACTATTCTTTGCAATTTTCTAACGAAAAATAAACAAAAAAAACTTACTTTGATTTCCGCATTGGCCGAGTTGTAATGTTATCATTTCACACGGCATTTTGACGTTTTGTAATTAAACAATAACTTCAGTAAATATTATATTATGGCACTGCTTTTCAAAATGACACATGAAATAATTGTAAAATATTTTTATTTATATTTAACTTTTAATTACATTTTTTTAACGGTTAACCTTAAAATTCATGGCTTTATTGACATTAAAATCATAGATGGCGCAATGAAAATTTGTCCAAAAATTAAATATACAAAATTTCTTAAATTCAAAAACTATTTATCGAAATTTCAAAAATTTGACTATTTATGCTATTTATTTAATTTTTATTATTGTAATTTGGTTTTTTTTGTATTTAATTAAAAAAAGAGACACAAATTAAATCATTTACCGCCAGAAATTTAAAATTTGCAACGCATGCGCATATACTATTTCCTTGTGTCAAAAAATCGTATACAAAACCTAACCTTAAAATTAGTCAGAATGAAGTGATGAGGCAAGTCTTCCTTTTCATTGTTAATAAATTCTTAAATAAAGATTAAAAATAGTCAATATTCTTATTTGTAAATAGTTTACAATAATGCAATAATATTCCTAATTGGAGTTTTTACAGTGAACGTGGGAAAATAATAAGGTATTGTCAAAAAATTACAAAGTTGCGCTTATTGCATCTTGGTGGATTTGGTATTGTATATTTTTTTTTTGTATTTTAAATACATATAGGAAAGGGAAATTATCTTTTAATACTTATTAATATCTAAAACTTGATGAATGTCTGAAAGTGATTACGATTCTGCGACGGAATATACGAGCCTCATGGACGGCCACGCGGAAGTTCGCACGGACGGCCTAGGCTCAGGTGTTGAACATCGAAGAAAACGTCGCGTAAAAGCTGCCAGTAATGCAGAGGTGAAATATTTTTACCAGTTTCTAATCTTTATAAATTAATAGTATTATGATAAAACTGTAATCTCCGAATTATTCTTTGGCAAATGAAGATTTTTAAAGTACTCGGTTAAATGAGGCATTTAAATTTGACAGATAACTGTATATTTTGATGAACAAATCAAATGATATAAACTCCGTTCGAATGCGTGAAAAGTTTATTTATTTTGAAAATTTGAAATTGAAATTAGAATTGATTTTAAGTTCTTTTTATTTATTATATATAGGTTGAAAATGGAGTACCGGAGGTGCACATTGAAAATCCTGGTGCCTCAAATTTTGGCGATTCAGGAAGAGCTGGTCGTGATTATCAGAGGGATATTGATGCTCAACAATTAGCGGAGGAGGAAGAAGAGCTCAAATATGGTGCGGCGCACGTTATAAAATTATTTGTTCCTGTTTCCCTTTGTATGTTAGTCGTTGTTGCTACAATCAGTTCTATATCCTACTACAGTGTCAAAGGAATATATTTGTAAGAAAATAGTATTATTAATTAAATTTATCTTTTCAATAATTCAGTTTGGCAATAATGACAATTTTTCTCCTCAGGTTATACACGCCGTTTCACGACGATAATCCAGATACGAGTACGAAAATATGGCAAGCACTTGCTAATTCACTTATTCTGATGGTGATAATCGTGACAATGACTATATTACTTATTATTCTTTATAAATACAAATTTTATAAAGTAATTCACGCGTGGCTAATGCTTAGCTCTTTAATGATTCTTTTCCTTTTTTCGATTTTATACTGCGAGTAAGTAATCTATTTTTTTGTTTTATTAAATTATTAATATTTATAATTTTTATTTGAATGTTTGTCCCACAGAGAAGTGTTAAAGGCTTATAATATGCCAATGGATATAATAACATTAACGATAATATTATGGAATTTCGGGGTTGTTGGAATGATTTGTATTCATTGGCAAGGACCATTGCAATTACAACAGGCATATCTTATATTTATTGCCGCTTTAATGGCATTGATTTTCATAAAATATTTACCCGAATGGACAGTTTGGGCAGTATTAGCAGTGATTAGCATTTGGGATTTAATTGCCGTCCTAACGCCAAAAGGACCACTTCGTATGTTAGTTGAAACGGCGCAGGAGCGTAATGAGCCAATTTTTCCAGCTTTAATTTATTCATCGACAATTGCTTATACATTTTCAATGAGTTTAGCTGGTTACGCTGAAACTGCTTTGGTAACTGTTGAAGAAAGTGGTACTGAAGATTCAGTGTCATCGACGGCACGTGAACGTGAACAAAATAATGAGAGAACGACTGATACAGAAGACGGTGGGTTTACAAGAGAATGGGTCGAAACTCATGGTAACTAAACTTAAAATTATAATTTTTCCAAATTTTCCTTTTTTATTTGCGTATTATCGCAAAAAAAGAACAATCTCCTCTAGAGGAGACATTTTCTATAAATTAGATAATAATTTTAAGGTAGTTTGCCTGATGTAGTTTCTGTTGGAAAAAAATTTTTTATTACCAAAAAAATTGGAAAAATTTTGCAAGAAAATTAATTAACATTTTCATATGATAAAATTTTACTTTCATTAATTGTATTTCAACTTTTTCCAATTTTTGAATATTAAATTTTAATGCTTGACAATATAAATGTATATAAAAGTAATTTTTGAAATTTTAATTTTAAAAGCCGATCGTAGCGCGAGGAGAGCTCAAGAAGTGACAGAAAATTACACGGTACCTGGTCCAGTTAATCCTAGAGAACTTAATGCGGCTTTACAAGCAGCACAGAGACAACGACTGATTCCTAATGAGGAAAGAGGCGTTAAATTAGGACTAGGAGATTTCATATTTTACAGCGTTTTAGTCGGTAAAGCGTCGAGTTATGGAGATTGGAACACGACTTTAGCTTGTTTCGTTGCCATCCTCATTGTAAGTACAATCCTATTGTTCTTTTCTATCTGTTTTTAATTTCAGTATTTTTCTCTTCAAATTTATAAAATTATTTTGAAATTATTTTCCAATTTAATTATTAGATTTAATTATATTAAAATTCCAATTTTTAAAAATACAATTTTATTAAATTCAATTTCGTAAATTAATAATTGAATAATAATTGATTTATTTTTTGCAGGGATTGTGCTTGACACTTCTATTATTGGCAATTTTCAAGAAAGCTCTCCCAGCCTTACCGATCTCAATCACATTTGGCTTGATATTTTATTTTCTCACACGAGTTATTGTTGCTCCATTTGCAGACAGTCTAGCCAGTGAACAAGTATTTATTTAATTTTTCCTTTTTTTTATTACAATTTTTTTTACCACATATTTTTAATCGACGCAATTCTATCCTGGATTAATATAATAAAAGTCTGCAATTCTTTTATGGTTTTTTTCCATTTTTTTTTTTTTTTTTTTTTAATTTTTTTGTTAATTAAGAAACCCACTTTGTATTTTAAATACAAAGATTGGAAAATTAATCGATAAAAAGTATATATTATATATGTATATGTGAATGTAATTTTTATTCGTAAGGAAAGCAATTTATCTTAATAAATTTTTTAAAATAACTAAATAACAATTTGGAGTTGTGTGTTTTTTAAAAAAAAAACAATTATCCTTTTAAGGGAAAATTTAAAGCTAAAAAGAAATTTTATTTTCACGATATGTACAATTTCTTGGCTTTTTCTGCAATTTAGGAATATTTTCTATATAGTTAATATATTTAAATTCGTATAAATGTTTTGAAACGAAGTAACATAATTATTAAAATCTAAAAATTTACTAAAGCCTACTTTTTTTTTTAGGACTCTTGACAACAATGAGGTCCATTTAGACAAGCTTTTTTTATAGTTTACACAGCCACAATTCCGACTGATTAAATAGTATTTTTTTAAATATAATATTATGATATGCGGTAATACAATTTTTTCCGATATAAATATATTTTCAGTTTTAACTGTAATATTGGTTTTTGTTTTTCTTTTCTTTTGGGAAAAATTTGTTATAAAATTAAATCGTGATTTTCTTTTACAAAACAAATGTTTTTTTCTACTTGTATGTTTTTTTCCTATAAATTTGAATAATTAGAAAATTGATAATATAATCAATAACTTCCTCGATAAAATGTTTATTTGTTTATCCATTTATCGATCGAGTTTAAAAAAAAGACGATTTGATAACATGATATATGTATATACAATATATGAAACGCAAATTATATTTGCAACAATTATTTTCAGCGTAAGCTTTAAATTTAACATTTTCATTTTTTTATAAAGAAAAACATGTAAACTTTGCGAAAATTCTAATAATAAATTATCTATTTTGGTCAACTTATGTTAGAGACTATACATAACAATATTTGGAATTAAAATAATTTTTTTTTCAGATCTGTTTTTCAGTCAACTTGTTTAAAAAAAAATTTCATCATCATGACGGAAAAACAAAAAAAAAATAGTATTAAATATATCTAAATAATAAAATAACAAAAGTAGAGAATAAATCCGTGATCGAGGTAATTTGTTTATAGTTTTCCCTGCCTTTGTGTGCCAACTTATAAGTAAATACTGATATTTCATGAGAATGTGATTATATAGATAAAATATTATGATTCCGTTTGTTTATGTAATTTTTTTTTATAATTCTTTTGTTTTAGAATTCTAAATTTTTTTTCTTCTTCAATTATGCAGAATTATTTGACTATATTATTTAATTATTAAATTCGCATATATAGTATTTAATTTACAAATTTAGAATTAATTTCTGTTTCTTTTTATATTCGCTATTAATAATTTGAGAAAATATATAACGAATTTTTAATTCTATTTAAAATAGCGAATTTTTTTTCATAATCTGTTATTCTTCCTCCACTTAGTTTTCAATTTGTTAAATTCATTAAACAGAAAATTATCTAACAATTTTTTCAAAAAAGAGAAAACGATTTTGAAAATATAAAAAATAAAAATGTTTTAGTTTTACAAATAAAAAAAACAGTAAATAATGTAGATTGTTGTTCTAAATTGTCTAAGAGGACAAATAATTTTGTAAATTAATTGCTTATTGTATAAAAATAAATAATATTAATTAAGTAAATAAGTTACGGTATCAATGATAAAAAAAATCGTAAAAAGTACCTAAGTTGTCTGTTTTTTTTTAAAAACAGGTAGACTCTATTGAGTCAATCACTAAATTTTAGCTAGTGCCAAACTTACTGCTTTCAAATGTTCCTTTTCGAAAAAAGGAGCTGAACTCAAGTAACGATTGCTTATCGATATTGGCTAAATTTCCATTGAATTTATAAAGAGCCTCACAATCTGGTATTTCCGAGCAAACTTGAATTAATTTACGTAGATATTCTTCCAATTTCTTCCGACGTTGTCGCGCAATCATCTCGTATCTCGCAAACACTTGTCGCGGTGGAAAACGAATTGCCGTTACCTGAAAATTCATAAATTATTTTCAATTTATTAATTTGATATTATTTAATATTATTAATTAATTATTAAAATTTAATTGAATTTAAAGTTATTAATTAAAATTGATATTTCAATGAATTTTAGTTGAAAATTTAAATATTTTTGAAATTTATACAAACCTTGCTTCCATATTTTTGCCTCATGGTTGTATAAAGTTCCCGAAATCTTCGATAACGTCGAAGAAGTGTCCAACTGTCGTCTTGAGCAATGACTCGAACCTCATATTGATAATGACTTGAAGTTCCTGCACCTCGCACAACATAAGACGGCACACTTATAATCCTGTCAATTACATTTTCCCCAAGATTTTCATTTGTTATCAACGAAGGTAATGATCTCGTTATTGTTAAGGCATAAGGACTGCTCAATCGATCACCTCGATTTAAACTCTACAAAAATAAACAAAAAATTTTAATTTTAATTAATATGGAAAAAATCAGACAAAATAAAACTAAAATTTCAGAAGTAAAGTAAAATTAAAAATTAGTAAAAAGTACCGTGAGATAAACAGAAGAATATCCCCGATTTGGAGTGACTTTAGCAGCAATTAATCGCGCCGCTTCATCCTCATTTGAAACAGACAATCTACTTTGAAACATCATTGAATCCATGGTAGTTGATGCATTTGATACATTTCCATGTGAATTAATTCTCATTCTATCCAAATTCCCAAAATCTTCTCCATCTTTCATTTCCAATTCTTTTGATTCTTGATTAAAATTCTTTTCAATTGATTCACGATTTCCTCGTTTTTGATCCAACAATGAAATTTCCAATTCAATTTGTTGTTTTCGTAAATCCTGAAGAATATCAATTTGTCGATTTAATTCTTCATTTGATGGTGAATTTGATTGCATACATTTTGTAATGAGTAATCTTTGACGTACAATTCTTTGGTTTATAATTTTCATCTCTTCATTTTCATCAATAAGCAAATCATCAGCGTCCAAATATTTTTCATCTTCAGTTAAATCACAATCAGTGCTAAAACATTTTTCCGATTCTTGCCGACTTATTTCATCATCACTGCGATGTGAATTATTTTTCTCTTCAATCTGACCAATTGCTGCTGTTGTTGCTGCTGATATTGACAATGTTATAGAGTCATCACCAATTTCTGGACCAAATAATTGAATTTCATTTGTTGATGTTTGAAAATCAAGATCAGTATCGCTACTTCCATCGGGCGATATTTCAATTTTTTTTATATCCATTGTTGTGCTATTTTCATTATCCAATAATAAGCCGGGAAATTGCGGTGAATCGGCAGCTGCCGTGTGAAATGTTTCAATTGTATCTATTGAACTCGGTACATCTTGATTTATTAAACTGAGAGCTGTTGCTAATTTTAATTTACGTTTACAAGAATCTTGAAATGATTTAAGATCATTTGCCGATATAATTTCTTCACTGCACGATGATCTATCCTCTGATGATGCTGGAAGTGATCGTTTTAAATTCAACGAGAGACTTTGTTTTCTTATCAAAATTTCTTGTAGTTGCTCTTGTGATCTTTTTGCTAATAAAATTTTCTTCTCCGACAGTTCTTCACCTTCCAGCTGTGAATAAAATTTACATTTAAAATTATTTAATATTAAGAGAAATTTATTTTTTTCTTTACAAAAGAATTTAAATTTAACATTTTTAAAAATCAATCAAAATTGTTAGTTTTTGATTTAATTAAAATAATATAATTTAGAGGAAATTGTAAGAAAATATTAAATTAAATCTCACATCAGAATCATCAAGTTGTTTTTGTTTATCGGAAATCTCCAAAAGTTCCTCCTCCATTCGATCAAGTTTGCTCTGATGTTCATTCAATGATCGAACTTTGTTCTTCAATTCAGCTTCCAATGCAGCCAATTCTTTTTGAAAAAGAGCATCGAATGACTAAAAACACAAAAAAAGATAATATTTTTATTATAAAAATACAAAAACTATTCCTTAGAAATTCTTTTCGATACTCACACGATGATTCGCTAATTTCTGCATCACATCCAAAGATTTTTCCTCATTAAAACTCGACCACGATTCTGGAAGACTGCGATTTTTCTCAATTCCATCTTCCGTCTGTAATCATAACAATTAAAATTCTCCATAAAGAAGGCTCTAATTTTATTTACAGGAAAAAGTTCAATGAACCAAACTAATTAAAAGAAGAAAAACAAACTGAAATAAAAATAAAACAAATCAAAATAAAAAAATAATTCATCGAAATGAATAAAAATAAATTAAATATAAATCAATGAAAATTAATTCAAATTCTACAAAATAAAAAAAAAATGGGAGAAATAAATCCAGAAAATCACTGGAAAGAAGAAAGTCCTTTAACTTGTCAATTATTATGTTTTTTTTCTTTTGTGCGCAATAAATAAAAAAAATCTCAATCTTTACCTCGTTCCAAGGATGTTCCAATCTCTGCAAACGATTGTGATTGTTCATGAATTCTTGAAACTGTCGATGCTTGGATTGAAGTGTGGTGCGAAGAGAGGCGACTTCCCTACACAAACTTTCTACCTAAGCCACACACACCGAAGCGTTAAAAAATAAAATAATCAAAAGAGAAATCATAATTGTAACGCATCCCGTAGCCGAATTATAATAACACAGAGAACAAAAATATTAAAACAAAAAAAGACCTCCAATTTAATGTTTTTTTTTTTCAAATAAAAATTAATAAATTAAAAAAATATACTGGTTCGAGAGAGAATGTTCACATGCGATTCACCTTTTGAAAAAGCTTTTCTTTCAATTTTTAAGTGACAAAACTAGCGTAATGGTGATTGGAATCAAGCGAAGGGTTCGGATATACGATTATTAAATTTTTGTTTTCCATAATCATCATCATCATCTCTTACCTGCAATCGTTTTCCCCCAGACCCTTTATCGTTCCATCGATTGTCTATACCGATTAATAATAATAAGAATAATAATATTGAAAAGCGAGAATGAACGAAAAAAAAATTGTTAAAATAATAAATAATTGGGTTTGTTAATCGGAACATTAAATAAAGCTACACCGATACCAAAAAATTTCAGAAAGTGTGAAAAAAGATAAAGAGAGCAAGAGAAAGACTAAAAAGAGAGACAGAAACAGGAAAACACGACACTTTATTTTTTTTTTATGGGAGATCTAAGGCCAATTTTTCTTAGAAAAATTTATTAATCAACAATAAGTGTGTTTATAACAACAATATTTCTCGCATAACAAACCCATATACACTCTCTACAGGCGAATACTTCTATTATTATATACATCATTTCCTCTTTTACACAGTCATTGACTAAAAATATTATTAATTAACATACCATAGACTATACATTATCCTCGGTCAATATCGTCATCTACATAATATTAATCAAAATTAGCGTCAATTTTTGTTTTTTAATTTACAGTTTACGAAATTAATTATAGTTTTTTTTTTATCGGCAGTTGTAGGCACAAGTGTTTGCAAAAAAAAACTTGATTTTTTTTCACGTTATTCGTAATTAAAAATATATTACAAAATTATATCTCTCTTTTTTGTTTTATTAGATCTTCAAGTTAAAAAAAATTATTTGATTACTAAGATTCGATTTCTGCCGGACAGAAATCGATTAGAATCTTGTCGCGTCTCAATTGTGTCGTTTGCAATTTTTCAACATTTTTTTAAAATTATTTTAAAAATATAAAAATTACATTTTATAAATAAAATTTTTAATTAATTTTATATTTCGATATTCTTTGCTTTTTCGTTAGAACTTAATAATTTTTTATTTTTTGGTTCCTTAGTTATTTAAGATTCTAGATTTTTATAGAAATAAAAAAAAACTTTTGTTTTATTTTTTTTTTACACTGATTTAATAAAAGAGATTTTGCAAACGTCACAAAATGAGAGAAGTTTTATTATTACGTTAATTCGGCCTTGAACAAATGGTTCAAGAAGGAAAAGTAATTTTTTATCCCGAGATAAAAAGTAAACGTCACATGTCTAAAGGACAAACGTGCGAGTAGATGATGACATTGCCAGAGAGACAAATTAGGACCCCCAGTGCGACGAGGACGAGATAGAACTGATACTTGACCGGCGGATCCGGATCACTTACTTGAGTCATCTCATCGCGTCGCTCTTGTTCAACGTGGTGACGACGATTTCTTAGTTCCCGTTGTCGTCTTTCCAATGCTGCAATTCCCTCCGCCCATTCTCGCCATTGTGCACCCCATTCACGTTCCAATTCACGTTGCGCCTCTTCCAATGCTTCGCGTCTTGCCGCCCATCGCTCTTCCCTTTCCTCCTGTTCCCTCTGCAAAAAAGAATTCATTTTTCCAATTCTAAAAAATTGATAAAAAAAAAAAAGGTGAAAAAGGGGACTGAAACAATTGAAGACAGAAAATTATCACCTTAAAGTCCTCCTTCTCTTTGATTAACGCAGCCTTTTGTTGCTCGAGTTCCTCGAATGCCCGGAGATCCTCACTGGAGTTGAGTAAATTATCACTCGATGACGATGCGTGAAGATCGGAAACACTCCAACTCAGCAGTGACAATCGAGAAAGATTGACAACAGTCGATTGAAGATTTCCATTTCCAAGTCCACCTTCCTTACGTAGTTTAGCAGCCTCCACGGGATCATTGTAGCGGAACATATTATTTCTACCGAGGAGAATAATACAACCCTGCGAGAGTCTTGTTGCCTTATCAACTTGTGCAGTGTTGATCCAACAATGCGACGAAAGAGGATGTAGAGTTGCAACACCGCCCTCTAATTCAACGACACAATGTTCTGGTTCAACGTCGGTGCCATTTAAAACAATATCCTGCGCCATTGACGCATCCTCAGTGCCAACGAGTGTTTTACCCTCTTTTAAATGATAAAGAGTGACACCAGTGCTCAATAGATCGTCATCAATTCCAACTAAATGTGGCATCTCCGAATCGAGAACAACACCAACTCCACTTTTTCTCAAACCGAGCGCACGTTGCTCCTGAAGAATTTGCTGTGTCTCTCGCCATTTTTCCGCCCATTCTTCCGTGAGCAATTTCTCCTGCTCCTGTTTCTCGTGTATTTGCGCAAGGAGATTCTGCGGTGGTCTCTCTATATTCTAAAAAATTTGATATTATTTCCAAAAAAAATTTAATTAAATCCTAAAAAAGTAATTCCAGAAAAAAATACAAATGGGGAAAAAACTCATACCACGTCCTTTCCAATTTGTGATTTTAGCTTCTCAATTTCCGCTCTCAGTTCTCTGATGAGCTTCACATTTGGATCCTCATTAATTGTGGGTTTGTTGATGATATTTTTGGCTCTGTTCGCGTATCTAAGTGTACTGAGTGTTTCGCCATAATTACAATCGGCTGGACTTATCGCGGCGATCATTATTGTCTTGGAATTACCGCCAAGAGAATCTTTTAGCAACCATGTCAGTACACTGTCACGATATGGTATAAAGACTTTACTTTTTGAACTACTCGAATCACTGGAGCTAACTTCGGCCAATGCCGATATCACAGAACCTAGTGTCACAAGTGACTTGTTGATATGTGCACCTTCCTTTAATCGTTGACCAGTTGCGCCCGTCGCATTTGCTCGTTCACTTTTTTTTACAGACAATAAATTTCATTACATATCATTGTCATTATGGATTTTCTTTTTTTCAATTGCGATCAATTTGAACAATTGACTTATTTTCTCAATTGCATAATTCACTGATTGATTCATTTAGTAATTATATAATTTATAGAATTGAAAAATAAGTTTAAAAACATAATCCTCGATTAATAAACTAATTAATAAATGAAAAACGAATCTATAGCTATTTCCCTATTGCCTGCTAAGTAGAGAATTTTCTTTATATAGGTTCTCAATAATAAAATTAATCAGCTCATTAAGCAAACTATCAACAAATAAAGCAGTTTCGATTAACTGATTATTTCTCGATTACATTGATTTCATGATAACAATTGAAATAATAATAATAAAATAATAATTCTAAAATTAGTAAATAATAGTTTTTTAATTTCAAAACAAAAAAAGATTTTTTTTCAAAAAAGAGAAAAATTTTCACCGGTAAAATTCTTTGTTGAATATTTGAGATTTTTGTTTGATTTCTTCATTATAGTTTATTTATAAGTGGGTAATAATCACCTGCCAGCTAAGTCGACAAGATGCACCTTAGATACCGTTTCTGAGGGCATATTACCTTCCGAGAAACCAGCTTGCACAAAAGTTATTGTAAATATTGCATGACTTCGACTGCTGACGTCGTTCATATTTGTGCTAGCAGTCGTTCTATGCGTATTACCCCTGACCATGCATTCCTGAAAAATAAATCAAATAAAATTTCCAATTATTATTATTATGCACCAATTTATATATTTCACAAAATAAAATTTATAATACTATTTTAAAAATTGTGTTTCGATAAAATTTAATTTAAAAATTGATTTTCCTATCTTTTGGTTTATTTTGCAACTGACATTTGAATTAAAATAAAATTGATAAATGAACTTGTTGAAAAAAAATTACAACATAAATCTTCTTTCGATTTCTCTTCACTTGAATAAAAAAAAAACTTTCAGTTTTATATTAAGCTATCATTTTCATTATTTCGTCATATATTAATATAATAAAAATTAAAGGACTTGTTCTAGTTTGTGAGTGATTGCGTAAACGTTTTTATTTTTTTTTCTTTTGATTACCTGAATGTCAGTGTAGTCATATACAAGATGATTCGACAAATCTTGCACGTATGGACCTTTCTTTGGATGTTCTCTAACTCGAAGAGAATGAGACTGATACTGATCAGGTCTGAGTAAGTCTTTCACTCTCTCGTTGTGTATTTCTAGAAATGAAACTTCAGTCCGATAAGAAGTCCCAGTTTCTTTTCCAGCTGCCATTCGTGCGAAAAGTGTCTTGCAAATTCGTGGTATCAGTCCTTGGGCTTCCTGCAAAAGAAAAAACAAATAATTAGATTTAATAGAATAAAAAATGTTCTATTTTATTTATATAAAAAAAACGATTATTACCGGTGTACCCATCATGGTGAATGTTTTTCCGGATCCAGTCTGTCCATAAGCGAAAACGCAGGCATTGTAACCCTCGAAGGCACTTTCAATGACTTCCAAACCAAGATCGTAATAGACCTGAAAATTTATAAAATAGAAAGATTCTTTTTTTTTGCAAACCAATCGATTTTAGGACGACGACATCATAAAATTACGAAAAAAATATAGGCTAACAACTTCGAACCACGGAAATCAATAACATTTACATAGTGACTGTTGTATTTTTCTTTTTTTTTTATCTATAAAACTACATAATTTTTAAGGAGAAAATTTGTTTTAATCAAACAAAATTATTTAAACTGAATTTAAATATAATTAGAAAAAAATAGCTGTAGTAGAAAAAGAAGAAGAAAAGAATATAAAAAGAAGTTTATTATTACCAATATACTTTCTCACGAATACTTTTTATATATTTTCCATGGTTCCCGGAAAGAAAAACAAATTGCTTTGTTTTCAGAAAATACATTTCTTCTCGTCTATTATTCAAATGATTTAATAAAGTATTATTTATTTAGTAATACAAAAAATAAATTTAAACTTTTTTCGGTTTTTTCAGTTATTAAATAAACTTTGATAAAACAATTCTTTATAAAAGAAAAAGTTTAAATGATACATTTTTATAATTATTAAGGTAAAATATTGCAAAAAATGAAAATTTTTAAAAGACAATTGTATAGAAAAAAATTTTACAAGAAAAATAATTTCACCTCTTCTTGGGAAGCATAATTATCATCACTGTCATCAAAGGACCAATAACTGTGATCGAATGTAAAGTCCTTATATTTCTCTCGGTCGATATCTCTGCAACTTCCTGGAGTCTGAAACATAATGAAAATATCAACAAACAAGAAACTATTGTTAAATCTGATATCTACTTATATATAACAAACTTCCTGGAAACAATACAACATCAACAAAACGCATTTGCGAACATGTGTTAGATATATCAGTCCATGTAATTTACGATTCACGTTTAAATTTACAACTCTCCCTAAAATATCCAATTGTCTCTTAATTTAAATTTAAATCCTCAACGAAATTATAAAAATTATAAATAAATTATAAACTAAAAATATTAATTTTTTCCCGACATTTAACAAAATTTGAATATTTGTTTTTTTAAAAGAAAATTTAAAAATAAAATTGCATGACAATGAAAAAGTGAGCAATATTCGTCACTGCAAAAAACAATATTCAAAGTTTATTGAGCTTATTAGACACACAGTGTCCCATATTCAACGGGTGATTAATTTAAACACACACCGGTCATATAACAGAGTGCAACCAAAATTTAGTCACGCGCAAGATATAATTATAAATCCCTGCAGAGAGCCGGAAGCACAAAAGACAAACTGGGACAGTCTTTAAGTACTTTTAAAACAAATCATCGTTTTAAATTTAATTTCGATTTCTTTGCAATTATTTTTTTGTCTTAAAAACCAAAATAATGTAATCTATTATATTAATACTATTTAATATTATTTTAATTAATACTCGATATTATTATTATTAGTATTATTAGTTATTAAAATATTATTATTGCTGTCATTGTTATAATAATTTTTAAAAGACAATTTCTTGATTGATTTTAAAAAGGAAAGAAAAAAAAATGTGAAGAAAGGTAACTTGCTTCACACATACACAGCGTGTTCTTAATTACAGCTTGACAGACATTCGGTTCAAGAAGCAATCGATGTTTCCCAGCTAATAAACACGTGAGAAGGATCCCGTAGTTGTCTAGACAAGATTCTAGACTAGAAGCAGATTCAAAAGCCTAGATATTATAGTTTTTTCTTTTTATCAAATTCAATTAACCTCGTAAATGATTTAACGATCGCAATATTAGATTAAATATTATGTTCAATTTAGAAAAACATAAAAGTTAGAAAAACTTTTACTCGTCTATCAGATTTTAAATTTAATATTACAATTATCTTTCAATATTGTTGGCTCAATTTTTTTCTTTCAATTACCTATATGCAGGTTGAGAAATTTTTGCAGGAAAAATAATTTTTATTTTACAAATTATTATTTACTAATTTTAAATATTTTTAATGAATCAATCTGCTTATCTGTGTCTTTACAAAAACCAATTGTAAAAAAGGTAAAACCAACGTCAAATTTAAATTTGTTAGATAATAAAGTTGAATAATTTAATCCAAAGTTGGAACATTTTTTAAGGACACCTCTCGAAGAACGTGGAATATTGCCGCGATTATTACGTCAGTACTGGAAACTCGTTATGAGGCCAAGAAAAAGAAAAGAAAAAAAGAATCCAGAGATATGTACAAACTTTCAATCATTGGCTTAAGAGAAAGTATCGAGAATACAATTTGTTTATTAATAAAAAAAAAAAATAATACAAAAATCCCCGATTTTGCAAAGTTTGAAAAAATTTCACAACTTTAAAAATTGCAAGTAGAAAATTCGAAATAATAATTTTATTCTACCCAAGGAAGTTAAATTATTATTTTTAATGATGTCAGCAATTTTGTATTATATTTTTATTGCTACGTTTTATTTTTTTATAAGTTATGATTCATCTTGTCACTTTTGTTTCATTAATTTATTTTAATCTCTTGTATAGTTTATAGATGTTGATACAAAAATAAAACTATTTTTACGATCATTATTAATATAACAATTTGACATTATCGTAAGTTATTATAATAAAAGTTAATATTTTAATAGTGAATTATGAATTCACGATTTTACTAATTTATTTGAACGAATTTACTAATTCACTAATTTTACATAGATATAAAAATTTCAACATTAACGGAAATGAAAATTAAATGAAATTAAAAATAAAGAACTTCAATTTCTAATCGAAAATAAAAAAAATTAGGATGTACAAACTATATAATTGTTTAGAAAATTAAAAAAAAAATAAATACTGTCGTTTCATTGAACAAAATGAATAAAACTGTAAAATTGTGAATAATTTAGAATACAGAGAAAAATAAAGAAATTTGCAAAAAAATTTCTCTCATCATTTTCAAAATAATAATAATTAATAGGACATTGCCTTTCTTCCCACTTGATTTATTCATGTCACGATTAAATAGACAACATCCGACGTATCGAGAAGTGTCTGGTAAATGATTCTAACCGGTCTCAATGTCCGGCTCTATTTTATATATTGCGACCCTGACCAAAAGCAGGTCGTACGTCACGCTCGCTTGAAAATTCGTGAAAACCCTCGATTGGAACCGAGAGCTGTCGACAGTCCCATAAAATGTTTTCAACTCTTTACAATTCCTCTGTTTTATATTTAAAAACATTAATTTTCATTTGACAATTGCCATATATTTTCTCTGCAGAGCGAAACCAAAAAAAAAAGAAAGAAAATATTACTAAAAAATTAACAACTCAATTTCATTAAAAAAAAAAATATTTTTATGAATCTATATTAAAATTTTGATTTATTTTCAAACATGATTGACGTGAATTTCTCTTAAAACTTGTGAGTTATAAATATTTATAGATTTTCAACGAAATAATTGGAAATTTACTTAAAAATTTTTTTAGAAAAAAAAGTATTGAATATAATTATTAAATAAAATAAAATATTTTACAAAATTGTATTGTAAATTATTTACTTTTTTAAAATGGATATAACAATTTTTTTTATATAGTTCGTTTTAAAATCAAATACTAAAAAAAAAATTTTTATAATTTCCCTTGGTAGAGTAATTTAAAGAAAAATTATATTTTAATAAAAAATTCTTTGTTATATTTGCAATTCAAAATCATAACTTTATGATTCTTATGGTCGAGACCTCGTAAAACGTATCTTATATCTTTTCAAGTCGTAACTTATTGAAATGTGGTAAGTTGGTTTTACAATTACAATCACTGACTTACTCTCAAACATATATGACAAAAATAGAAATTTATTATATTATTTGAAAATCAATTTCTCGCTAAAATTCCAAATCTCCATAATATTTTATGTATAATTCATTATTCAATCACGTTTCGTCAATTTCTGTATTATATTTTTTTTTAAATTTTTCTACAATATTTTTCAATGAAAATATCAAGCAATTGAAAAAGGAAAATTTTCTTTCCATTCGAGAAAATAATTAATTTAAAAATTCAATTTCAATGAAACAAATACCTTTGTGTTAAAAATTCTAGTCTTCTTCCCTTCCATTTGAACAATCATCTTGGCATTCATTGCCATCTCCCTGGAAAAAAGTAACAAGAAATTATTCATTAAAAATTCGATTTAAATTTATAAACTTAATGTTTCTACATAAATAATTATTATAAATTACTCTTTCACGATTTCAATGTTTTGTGCAATTTCCATAATATATATAAAAAAAATATCTTTCTTTCATGCATGTCAATAATTCTATTTTATACACTCAATTGTCTATTGCGCAAGTACAAATTTATATTTCAGAAATTGCTTTACAACAATTCGATTGCACTTTTATATTTTTGATTATAAATAAATAATTAATTTCCCATTTCAAGGAAATTTTTTTTTTGAGAATTATTTTATGAAAAACTTTCTGAAAGTACATTTTTATAAAATAATGCTCACAAAAGTAAAACAAATGTTAAGAAAATTTAATTGAATTTTTAAAATGTTAAAATTAAAAATGTATGAATAAAAAAAATTGTTTAAATTTGCTTATTATTCCAATCAATTAATTTTGTTCTTGGCGAAGCTTAAATTGTCATTGGTCAGTTTCTTATCATTTGCGTTACCACAGCTTTTTTTAAAAAAAGTTTTTTTTCATTATCTCATTGTTAGTGGCACCTTCTGATAATGATAAGCTATCATTTTTGTCTCTCGTTCGTTCCAAAAGAGTCGACTTAAAAAAGAGGAAGAGAGAAAGAGAGAGAAAATGCATTTTAATGAGAAATTGTATGCAGTAAAATTTAATTTTTCACGAGAAATGACAGCGGTTAATGCCATTTTATTTTTTTTTATAGACGTTACAATAAACATAATTGACCACTCTTCTTTTGAAAAAATATATAGATCTATGCATAGACTTCCGAGAAAAGAAAGTTTGATCATTGTTTCTGTACAAAGGAAATGCTCTACCTAATTTTTCGTCTTTGTCAAATAAAAGAATATAAGAAAAAAAATTTCCATGTTCAAAATTTCCATAAGAAAAATTGAATTTATTTTTTTAATTTTACGAAATTTAAAAGTATTTAAATTAACAATAAAATTTATTATGGAGTTAAATTTTTTAAAAATTGATATTTAATTTTTAAAAATTTATTCTATTTAAAATATTATTTAATTTTTATTAAATAATTTCAAATGACATAAGTAGGTATGACAGACAATAAAAGAATAAAAAGCATTATTTTATAATAAAACAAAAAAAAAGGTTCCTTTGAGAAAAGATCTTTTTGCATTGCGCAATATTTAATGAAGTAACTTCTGAAAATAATTAAAAGTACATGACATAATGGTCTTTCGAAAATTAATTAAAATCGAGAAGTTACAAATTGTATATAAAAAATAATAGGAAGTTGTTGTAATCATTAAAAGCTTTCACTTTGAACTTTTTTTATATTCTAATTTACAATTAATAAATGTAACCAAATTTTTATTTATATTATTATTTAGCTAATTTCATAATATTTACTAAAAAATAAATAATTTATCCAAACTGTAAAGTCTTTTGATGTTTAAAATTATATTTCATCTTGAGATTCAATTTTAATTTAAATCAACTTGAAATGTGATTCATTCACATAAATAATTACTTATAACAAGAACATGTTTTTATTGTAAAAATAATTCCTTTGAGGGTGCAAAATATACTCAAAAACTAAATTTTCTAAATATATAAAATGCAGATGATATTTTTCCAAACAATCGTAAATTTTATGACAACCAACTCGAATATGCAAATATTTAAATTGACCAATTAGAAAGTATTTTTAAGAAAAAAAAACCAGAGCAGTTAAAAAATCCAGTTTGACAGCTTTTGAAATTTTTCCAAAAAAATCTTTTCAAACAAATTTGAAAGAATAAAAAAATTAAAATTAAATAAAAATACAATTATAATATTAAAATGTTTAAAAAATTTATTCTAAAATTCAATTTACGAGATTAAATTTAATCATTCAAGATTGCTTATTTAAATTATTTGAGTGAAAAAAAATTCTATTGTGATAAATATTGCGAAAGAAAGACAATTTTTTCAGTTTATCAGTCGCATGTAACAAGTTAAATTAGAAACAATCATTGACAACATTACGTCACTAGAACTTTGGAAAAATGACTTGAATTTCAAAGTATATTCTCGATATTTGCATTTTAGATTATACAGAAACTTTCCTTTAAATATACACTTTCCATATAGAGACATACTTTCGGAGTATTAAACGATCAATGAATTGGACCTGATAATTTGAAAAAAAAATCAGATTGCTATTTTTGCGACTCAATTTAAACTCAATGACCCACAGGTCTTGAATGTAATACATATAATCGTCAATCTTTTCATTCTTATATTTGTTTCTCTCTTTCTATCTTTTAATCTCAATTCTTTTATTGACAAACAATCAGTATTTTCTTATCGTTCCATCTCTCTCTTTTTTTCTTAATAAAATTAGTTTAAGTTTTACATGCAGTAGCAGGTGGTGGCGCGAGAAGTGAGGAAAAAAAAACACATTTTGTGGCAAACACACCTTTTGTTAAAGGGACGGACCCTAACGGCCACCTTCACCGAAGCCATGGTGGATTTTGCGCATGGGCTGTTAACACAAAATCGGCTTGATGCACTTTTTTGTTATGCGATTTTTGATGATGAAACACTGCACATTTCTTTAATACTTTTTGAACAACACGTTGTTGGACCTGTACGTCCTTTCATTTCGCACTTCACTACAAACATGATCTTCGACTCGCGATCAGTGTCTGCTGATCACACTGAGCGTTGAATAGAAGAAGTGAGTGTAGACTGAGGAGAGCCGTAAATGTGTATGTGTGAATGCGCACTGAGGGATTATAGTAGTAGTGTGTAAAAAGAGAAGAAAAGAAAACAAGAAGAAGAAGAAGTAGGATTTGAGCATGCGCAACTTGTAATCGTGTGGGTGGGAGTCGTTGAATGGCACATGGCGAGTGTTCGACCGTTGAACAGGATCGGATCACAACTTCCAAATATAATTATTCTATATACACTTGACTCTAGAGTGTATGACATCGATTTTCTATTTTTTTCCAATTCATAGACAATTTTTTATAAAATCTTTTCGATTAAAATCAATATTTTTTGAAGATATGAAGAAGTCATTCTTTTAACGACCTGCAGAATTGAAGATAACAAATGTTCATTCAAAACAGATTACTCCAAAAAATGTTCTTGGGATGCTGCCTAAATTTGAATTTCCATTACTCCAAAAATTTAATACTTTAATTTAATACTTACAAAATTGAAAAAAACTTGACCATTGTCTTCTAAGTAAAGATATTGATGATCGTACATTCAAAATAAAGATATCCAAAATTGATGCAATTTCATTAGAATTGACAACATTTACAGTTGATCCTTTCAGATGTTATCCAAAATTGATTTGAATTGAAGATCAAGTCCAAATTGAAGAAATCCAAAATTGATGATCACATTGACGATGATTTTATCAAAATTAAGCGAGAAAAAGTTGAGAATTGATGTCCAACACTGAAATCAATTAATAATAATTAGAACTAGAATTGACAATATTTTATTAATTCATCAAATCATTAATATGGACCGAGAAAAAAGATATATTTGTCCTCAGAGGCAAATAAATATTTATTTGTTTCAAATTATAAAAAATAAAATGAAAATTAATAATAAATTAAGAATGAAAAATTATAAATAAATATTAATAAGAAAATCCCCAAAAAAAAATATTTCTAAAATTACATTTAGAGAAAAAACACCGTAATCATTGGAAGGTTTCCAAAGAATTAGGAATCTAATAAAAAAATTAAAATTACAAAGCTCAATGACAGAAAAATTTGGAAAATTACCAAACGTTACAAAACTACAATCAATAATTAAATTAATATCAATCGAGATTAGAAATTATTATTAAATTTCAGCTGAAATAGAATTTTCGAATATAGAAACATATATATGTATATGACAAAATTCTATTTTCAATTTGTAAATATATATTCTCAATGAAATGGGAATCTTATAATTATCTCTTTGACCCTAATTATTATTGTTCTTGAATTGCGACTACGCCTCCTTTTTCTTGTTCTTACAAGGTTAATTTACTTCCCACCAGTCAAGCGTTAAATATTTAACTAATTACTCATTTTTTACTGAATTTATTTTTAATTATCTAAAAAAAAATCTCGATATTTTTTTTAACAAAAGACATAAATTTTGTCATTTTCTCAAACAAAAGAGAATAAAATCATGAGATTTAAGATTTGATCGCTATCATTTGCGTGCAATTATATGATTATATCTTTATAGTAACAGATATATAACTTGCACCTTCACCCACACAATAGAATATATATACATAAGTTTTGCGGTTTCATTTAAGGTGTAACTGCGGTATCAAAGAATTCTCACATCGTTGATCTTTTCTTATTTTTCCACAACAGTTATAGAGGAATTGAGATAAAAATAGAAAAAAGAAGAAGAAAGTTTCGAAATAGTTTTGTAATCCTTTTTTTTTAAATTAAGGATCAATTACAAATTACAGATTTATTCTTTGGGATTTAATTTTCACACAAAGGAAATTTGATATAAAATTTTTTTTTTCAGAATTTATTCCTAAATAAAAGATTTGAATCATAAAGCTGGAAAGATATTAATTTTCGGAACCGACATATCGTATAAGGAAGAAACGTCACCAGGAAATGAACTCAAGTGTTACGGGTCGCAGGACAGTACGAGATCTGAGTTGTAATAGACACCACGCAGAAAAAAGATACTTGAGTTTAAAAGCTCTACTTCTTCTCATCAAAAACACGTTTTGTTGCAAACTTCGAGGTATACCTACATATATTTCTTTAAACTTTTCATTCTGTCTGTTAAAGACTTTCTTTTTTTACTCGTTTTTTATTTGAATTCATATCATAATTCTCGAATATATTTAAAAAAATATATATTTAATTTTCTTTTTCGAAAAGTAATTCGCAGATTTAGCGAAACAATATAAGATTAAAAATTCTGGAATAATGACTCAACCCATTCAGCATCCCACTATATGGCTCGTCAATGAAAACGAATTATCATCTTCATCTTAAGTGAAACCAAATTTAGAAATGAGAAATATTGCATCAAAAAAATATTTGCGCCGAGGGTTTGCCTTAAAAAAAAATTGATTAAAATTTTAAATCGACTGCAGATGTATCTCAAAATTTCTTCCCGTTATTCAAACGTTGAGAATGAATGTGTGTATGATAATTCTGCAACCTTATTTGGTTTCGAAAAAGATGTGTCTGTCTAAACAAAGTTCCCCTGCTATAAGATATTTGCCGAACGGACGTCAACAATACTCCTTCGGAAATAACGTATATATACAACTGCAATACTACGTGAGCTTACAATTACGTCAGGCCAATCGCCTATGAATCACTATTCTTCGTGCATATCATATAACTTTACATTTCAAGGTTTCGCCTCCATTGGTTAAGCATATCGTCTACCTGATGTGCATTTCAACCTGCGAGAAATCTCTATACTTTGATGTGTGACACACCCCGAAACTTTTGTTCGATCTAAAATCTTTGTTTACAAAAAAAATTACCAAATAAAAAATTTTTCTTCTATTAATCAATAGCGCCGATGGAAACTAAAATTAATAACGAATATTTGAACAATCGAAAATATAAAATAGAGAAATTTTGAAAATCAGAATGATAAATTATTCTAGAACCAAAATTAAATTCTAGAAAGGAAAAGTAAAATTTCCATAAGAGAAGGAAATAAAAATTCTATACAAAGATGAAGAAGTAGCAACCTAAATTGAAAAGAAAAATATTTGTAAAACACAATACGAAAAACCCAAAAACAATTAACTTAGAATTTTCACTGTTTTAAGAAAAAATTCAAAACCAAAATGTAAAAGAAATTTAAAGTGATCGCAAAATTTAATTTTTTGAAATTCCTTGCTGATTTTTAAAATTTATTACAACTTTTTCCGTATCAGGATAAAAAAAATCCATTTCTTGCAAAAATCAATAAAGTTAATTTAAAAAATTTTCTTTTCAAATTAATAGAAAAATTCAAAAACTGCTTTCGTTTAAACAGATATTTATATAGATTCAAAAAATTACAAGGGAAAAAAAAATTTAATCAAAAATGAAAGTAAACGTCGTTACCAATGCCAGATGATGTTCTGTAAATTTCCAGGAGGCAAGAAAGTGTCTCTACCTGTCGACTCCAGGTTAAACAAACCTCGTTCTATGCCGCTTATTTCCCGACGCGAAAGTCCACAGAAATATAAGCGAGGCAAAGTCGATAAAACAGCTTTCGTTCTCTCAGAATTTTTTTTGGTAGGGGGTGATTCGAATCGGCGCATGCAGCAAAGGAGAGCTTGTTGGAGGCCGATGGATTCTTCTATATGTCAGTCGGGTGGCAACTGTCGGTGAATGTTGCCCAAAGAATATTCCTCCTCGGATCCATTCATATATATTATTTTTTCTCCCCCAAAGTGTTGCAGTGGCTCATACTCCAAAAAAGAATTGTGTGTCTGTGATTCTTTCTAAAAGAAAAAATGATTCTTTAGTTGCAAATTTTTTTTTAAACATGTGATTCTATTAATAAAATTTCAAAAATTTTTCTTTTGTATATATATATAAATGTGAAAATTAAAAAGTGTTCACCAAAAAAAAAAGTGATTGAAATTTCTGATGCCACGTTAGGGGTGGATATGTACTACTGAACCCAAGGGTCACACGCGAATCATGGTTGCCAAGCATTTCAGTCAGGGTGAGTTTTCTCTGAAGGTCCTCCTTCACCTCGGCATTGTTAATTTAAAAAAAAAATCCCATAAGAAACTTCGTCCATGAAAAATCCAGTGACCGCAATTAATTGATATAATTTTTTTTTCCTCTCCAATCAACCTGAAACAAAATAGAGGAAATTGAATATTAGCAGAAATTTTTTAAGGGACCGAAAATTTCACGCAGGGAGCGCCGGCGAGTACCGGAAGGACACTCCTTTCCTGCGATAAATATTGAGCCAATTCGGGAAAAAATAAAGAAGGAAAACAATAACAATTCGTTTATTCCGATTTGATGGACCGTGGAAAATAAAACATGTTTTTGCAAAATGATTTCTTTTGAATAAAAATAATAATTGATCTCTCTCAGACAATATGAATTGGATTTTTAAAATTTAATCCGAATTGGCAATTTATTTTCTAAATGGAGATTTTCAATATAGTTTTAATTATTTTTAAGGTATTTTTGTCTAATTTATTTTTAAAACTATTTATTAACAACTTTAGATCATTCAACCATTCCTTTTTTTCTAATTTTTAATATTATTTATTTATCTAATTTATTTATGTAATTATTTCATACATTTACAATTATTGTTTACAAAAAGAATTATTTATATTAGTTATTTATAATAACTGTTATTTGTAATTATATTTATAATTTAACTTTATTTTGAAATAAGTTTTAAATAACTACAAATATTTTTTATTAATAAATATAGTTAAATAGTTTGAAACTTATAAATCAAGTAGTCTAATGGTTTCAAATGATTAAATATTTACAAGTCAGATAATACTAATTTTACATAAATAATTAATAGCTCTAAAGGGAAGTTAAAATAAATAGTACATTTAAAAAATAACTTTAGATTAAATAATTAAGTGGCGTCAGAATTGCACAAAAATTAAATAATTTAAACTGTATTAAATGAAAATAATATGATTTAATAAAAGAATATAATGATTAAATGAAATAATTGAAAATTAATAATTCAGAGGAATTAAATATTAATATTTTGCAATAAAAATTAGTAACAGGAAAGAATTAAAAATAAATTGAAACAATTTAAAATTAATTAATAAAGAATAATTTTAAATATTTTAGAAAAAAATTTAAATAAATATTGTGAATGAAAATAAGTTTAAATGAATCGTATAATAATATTCTTAACCCACTGAATTCGAGTTGAAGAACAATCGATCAAATTGTTCATATTCATCATCCAGTGTCTTTGATCTTTCCATGACGCGAGAATTATACTCCCTAATGGTTACAAATCTGATGCACTGATGGAACATTGACGATTCATTAATTAAAAAATTCTGACACTTTTTTTTCAAATTCTCTCTTAAATCTAGATATTTTATAATATACAAATGAACATTTGTATATATGTGAAAATAGTTGTGTGTGCAATGGAAATACTTGGTGAGCACATACCTTTTAGAGAGGTGTTTCTAGACAATCAATAAACGTACCTTCGCAGATAGCATGACGTGCAGTTTGATATCAGGAATCCTGATAGAAAATTCCTGTTAAATTTCATGGGTAGAAAGGGTGACAAGCTGTGTGTGATGAGATAAATATTGATACACATCTCCCTGCGATGGCGAGTTTTGAATCCTATACATTTCGATTTCATAATGATGAGCGTTGTCCGTCGTCGGGTCTTTGACATTGTGGTCATTGCATGCAACGCGTATTCTCGTCGCACATGTTTATATTGTTTATGCAAACATTCATATTCCCAGACTATAGAGATCGTTCAACGTCATCGTCGTTTAATTTTACTTCTTCGTCTTCTCATCTTGATATTTCGATTCCGTTTTAGTCTCGTATTATCGAATTTAGATATTTTCAAAACTCGATACACTGAGAAATATACAATAGAAAAAATATAAATTTTTTTAAAAAGTATAAATAAAAATAGAAAATCGAATTTTTTGGAAAAAAAGAATTCTTTTCTTACCATCTGGAGTGTTTTTTATCGAACAATAAAAACTGGTCCCGCAGACGGCGCGTTGACCTCCTAAAACAAGTCGTATATCTAAAATTTAAAAAAAGAAGAGCAACTCGAGAGTTTTTCTGTCAAGGTAAAGGGCAATTTTTCCCCAGGTTCGTGTAAAGTCTTTTAAAGCGATTGTGTGTGTGGGAGAAACACGACATGCTTTATGCAAGCTCAAAAGTCGGCTCAATAATCCAAGTCCTAGTCCCTCTCTCTTTCTCTATAATCCTCAGCAAAGCATCTGTCAGCCTATATATCTAATACCAAATTGTCCCTACATGCATTCAAATGCATCGTTTATGTGTTAGTGTCTAAATTCTCATATATATATATGTGTTGCACATTATTAAGGGTTGCCATATTCTCCTTCCGGGCAGACAAAGTCTCGTCTGAATTTAGCTTCGTCAAGTCTACTGCAAATCAACTTAACACTCCTCGCATTTCTATTTCTGCGTGCACGAAAAAAAGAAAAACCAAAATCAAATTACAACACCTTGACAGAAAAAAATCACATTGTGCAGAAATTACATTAAATTCAAGAACTAATTCATTTCGAATTTATTCAATATAAAATTCGAAATATTAAAAATTGTTTATCTAGGGGTTAATAGAGAAATTGTGTCATATATATTTTTTTTTAATCGAATATGGAAAGCGATATGTGGGATGAATCACCGATGATTCCACCCTTCAAACGACCCAGTTTTTCCAAGCAGGAGAAGCAATGAACTGAAAGCACAATCAGTACACAGCAGTCAAGTAACTTTGATGCGAGTCTTGAATTTATATATAAAAAAAAATATTACACAACATCGAAGCGATTTGATAAATTTATATATATAACAAGATAAACTGCTATTCTTTGTCACTGAAAAGGCAACATTTTTTTATTCTCTCTCTCTCTCTCTCTTGAGTTACATACTGGTTCACAAAGCACCTTTTGACATAAGACGGGAAGTTATTAAGGAGAAATTCCACCATACCTCTCGAATGCATATCCGGTTGTTGAAAAACACGTCTTTAATGACGTTGCTGCACGTAAATACTTATTGTCCCTTAAAAGGATATGCTGAGGTCACGGTGTCAAAACAAAATCTTTTCTTATAAAATACCGCAAGTCTATGAGAAACTTCCTGAAACAGGAAAAAAAAAGAGAAACTATTTTGTTTTGAATTTTATTTTCTATTAAAAGAATATTTTTACTATGATAAAATACATTAAAAGAAAATTTGAAATTCGTTTAAACTTCTTTTTTCGAAAGATAAAAGGAATAGAGAAATAAGAGTGTAATTTTTTTCCTTAATAATCGAACTCGTCAAGTGTACCTTCCCAATTTAATTACCCTTCTCGGTTAATTACGTATCGATTGCTATTAGTGGTGTGATTATACTGACGTGAAAAAAAGAAGAAGAGAAACGGTATTAAATGAGTTTTTCGAACGTCTATTATATTCTCTTAGAAAAATGAGACAATTAGAAAGGAATTTAAAGCGAAGGTGACTAGATTAGGAAAAAAAAAAGATAACCTGTCAGTAAGGAAGAATTCGAAAATTGTCTTCAACACACGTGACTGTTGATTGCATAATAAAATATATATTTATAAGAAATCAACTTTCATTCATCTTTACTGGGTAAATAAGTGCTGACGCACGCGCGTGCCTGAATTCCATACGCGAGAGTTGATCTTTCCAGAATGCATAACCTGCACACCTGAGTCATGAACCAGATTTTTCTCTTCAAGATGATTCAAATTCCTCTAATGACGCATATACACGGAATTTTATATAATTCTTTCACAATTCTAGACCCTTTAAATTGAGTTCATCACTCTTGAACAAAACATAAGGAAATCTCTCCATAATTATTCTAAAACAATCGAATAGAAAAAATTCTTCTAAAATCATTTCATGATTCTATTCGATTTGAATCGATTTTTATTTTACGTGAATTCTGGTAAATTTTATGGATTATAGGGTGTCACAGACATAAATGTGAAATAAACTGAAGTTGGTAATATTTTGTTGGAATAAAGAATAGAGGGTGTCGAAAATGTTGAATGGTGATGGAGAATAGTTTCGCTGTGCGTGTGTATTATAAAGACCACCCCTAACAAACTTCATATCCCTTTCTGCCATTTCCCTCGGTTCTTTAGTGCAAAACAACCATATATACATATATTGACGACTCACACCCTCTAAAAAACAGAACGACCTTCCAACACATATAAAAAAATATCTGAAAAAATTCTCAATTGTCGCACATGTATATGTGTAAAACGTAAAATGCACATGTACTTACCTACTTCGTCTAGCGTCATGGGGATTCCCCTTTTTCAGTCTTCCACCTCATCGATGCAGAACGGGCTAACCATCTACCCACAACAAAATAAAAGAAGAAGAGAAAAAAAAGAGAAGCGATCATTTTTGCTTTCGATGAGAAAAGCGACGCAAGCTCTTTGTTCTCTAATTGAATTCACATTTCGCTGTCGGGATTTTGCCAGGAATTCGTGGGGGAAATTCCTTTTTTTTTCCTTCACCTTCCACTTTTTTTTATTATTCAGCCATTACTGTAATCAAATCATCAATTCCTATAATTAGAAAAAATTATCATTTTGTTAAAGAAAAATTTTTAACATTTTTATTTATTTAATAATTATAAAAACAAATTTTAATAAAAAAAATTATTATTTAATTAATATTATAATTAATTCGTTATTATTATCACCAATAAAATTGAAAATTTGCAAACAGATTTAATTCTGAATATACTTTTTTACAGACAGTATTGTTTTTATAAATTGTAGATTTGTTTCAATTATAATTTTCCATACAAACCTTATGAGCCTAAAGGTATATAACGATACGGGCTGTAGTGAATTTGTGCCTGAAATTGATAGGGAAGAACCAAAATAATCGCCATGGGCGATATCTAACACGTGTTCTTTAATCCGAAACAGTAAAACAGATTGAATAAATCGAAATGGCAAAAATAAATCAAAGTTAACATGGAAATTTTCTTTTTCATTATAAAAATTATATTAAATTAAATTTTAATTTAAATATATTTCAAAAATAAGAATAGAAGATTTAAAAACTTATATAATTATATATAAACTTAAATAATTTATAAAAAGAAAAAATATAAATTTTATTTTCATCAGAGAATATTGCAAAATAAATAAAATGACGTCTCGAATTTTCTCCTCAAACTTTAGTTTTAGGAAAATTGAAAAAAATATTCAATATTCACGTGAGATTTATCAGTTTAGAAAGATCGCAGTCATTTATCGTGGAGTTTCAATCTTAGAAATAATCTATAAATAGGTAAAAGTTTTATTTTACCTGCAGGAACACCCGTTGTGTTTAGAGAGTAACAGCAATTCTCGTCCTTTCATTCCTTTGGCTACCGTGAAATTCTAGTCGCGTGTGTCTCGTGTTTCCGAGACCCTCAAAACGCTTTACTATATTGCCATCAGCATTATCAACTCTCTCTGTCTCTTTTTCTCTTTCTCGACATTCGAAACCCACGTTTTGGAAGTCCATCACTTTCGCCAAGTAGAAGAATTTTCAAATATATACCCCTGAAAAGAAATTAATAAAGAAAAAATTCATTATATACTCTCAAGACGAAAAATTAACATATTCTTCATATACTCTTCAAATAATTTAATAAACTAAAATGGAATTTTATTATCTTCTAAAATGAAAACGTCAGATAAAGATTCGTTTTTTAGGAAGGGAAATCCGGTCTCATCCTTCACTTCCTTCTTAATTGTCATTTTCCACATATTTTCAATTTTAAACAAATAAAAAAACAATTGTAAACTAATTTAATTTTAATTTATACTAATAAATATAATTCAGAGGAAAATTGAAAAGAACAAATAAATTTTTCAAATTAAAATCAATGTAAAATTAAATTTTACTCTTCAGTACTAAAATGATCCCGACCCTTTTATCCAAGATTGAAAAATTAAAGTTGAATATACAATAAATTTGCATAAATAAATTTGTTTTGGACGATTAATTTCAAATTTATATACATTTCTTTTTTTTCCTTTCAAAAGGAATCATAATAATAATTTGAAAATTATATGTAAAACGCCCCCAACTTTTGTGCCCTAATTTTTTTCTTTTTTTTCCAAGTTGACTAATATAATTGGTGCTCGAAACCTCCTCGTGCGCAGCTTCCGAGGATAAAAGGAGGTAAAATGTACTAAAGAGGCATGAAGGAAGTGCCCGAGATAAAAATGCACTTTGCATACATGATTAATTCATTTTCATGCTTTTAAAATTTCTTTTGCCGCGCCTTCGAGGGAACTAAATCACTATAAATAATCCTCGTGACTTCAATTTTTTCTCATCATGACTTTTCCACACCCGTTTTGCATTAAAAAACATTTCTACATTTAAATAATTAAGTAAAACATTTTGTAAACATTAAGATTAATTTGAAAAATTATTGACAATAGAAAATAGTCATGAAATATAATTTTCTTCGAAAATTTTTTTTTTTTAACAAAATACAATTGCAAAAATTTTATGCCTGACTTGATATTAACACCCACTGTTCACTTTAACTTCATCAACACGATGAGATCTCGTCTCAAATGAATCTTGTGTCTATTTAAACTGAACTACTGATTACTTGTGTAGTGAAACATGTCTCTAATTTAAATATAATTGCGATAGACTACTATAAATATCAATTTTCTTCAATTCAGCAAGTGTTTTTCATGCTCAACATACACATATATATTATATATATCTATCTTTTTTTTGTTCCCCTCGCGTGCTATCTTTATCACCCTTTCGAGGTCTAACAATTTCTTTATCACCGGAGTCGGATCTCTATCCGTTTCCTGACTCGGCTTGAGCTATATGAACGCAATACTGTTACTATGTATACTTATATGTTCCTGCGAATCATGAAACTTTAGTTCCACCTCGATGGCGTTATGGGAATTATGATAAAAAAAACGAGTTCCAGTCAAAAGAATGGACCTTGCACAACAATACTGAGCATTCTTTGTTTTTTTTTTTTTTAATAATATGCGTGGGATTCTTAAAAGAAACAAGTCTACAAGAATCACACAAGATTTTTAATGAGCAGCTTTCCTCTCAACCCCATTTTTTATTTGCGTATTTAGGTTTTGTTTCAAATTTCACCATTTTGGGTAAATTTATGCAAATTTGTGTATGTAATAAACTTATGTAGATTTTGCAAGAGATTTTAAATTTAAATAATTTTTATGTTTCACAAAATTATATCAAAAAGCAAATCATTTAAATAATAAAATAGTTTCAATTAAAAAAAAAAAAAAATAATAATTAAAAAGCAATTAATAAAATAAAATTTAATAAAAACAATTCAAAAAGAATTGAATTTTGTTTCATAATTTACCTGAATTTTATTCAAATAACTTGAATTCGATTCAAATAAAAAAAATATTCTCTATGGAGGAATATTTAATTTAAAAAAAAAAAAGATCAAAAGAAATGAAAGTGAGACATAAAATATAAAAAAACTGACATATAAATACCAAATTTTTAAGCGAAGCCAAAAGAGAGACGTAAATACCAAAATCTTCGAAATCCTTTCATCCACTGATTTTCTAATATTCCTACGGATGGAAATCATTGACCTTTTAGAAAGAGAGATCTGAGTTTTTTTTTCTTCTGCGCTTCATTCTAAATATTCTCTAAAAATCTTCTAAACCATCATATGACTATGAGTTTGTTCATGGTTAGTAAAAACCGCAAAAGCTGGCCAGTCACGTGACGTTTTTATCCTTGAATAAACTGGCAGCTGTCGCACAGGTGTAGCCACATTGTGCGCCCAAGTTAGCACCTGCGACTATAACCAAAGTATATATATATATCTTATGGCATTGCTTTTCAGAAGAATCGCTGCGCCACGTCAAAAGCGTATAATTGACCTGCCTTCTCTTTTTTTTCCAGGTTCAAGCCCTGAGTCCGGCGTGCCGGACATGACCATCATCAGTGACATCGACGAGACTGGCATCAATCGAAATCTTCAGGTCCGATACGATCGGGACCAAATATACGTATCCTTTTTCACAAATTTTTTAAAAATTAAATTTTAATTTTGATTTCTTAATATAGAAAATAAAAATGGTAAAAAAAGAAAAACAGGACATATAGTGCGACCTAGTTGAAACTCACCTTTTCTATCATTCTCTCTCTTTCTTTCTTTCGCAAAGAGAGAACAAGTTTCTGTAAATTTTTGAGGGTTGAAGCGCTCTGCTCCCGGGTTGCTTCGTATCCATGACAACCACCCACAGTCAGCTGGTGAACCACCACCCCAGGGCTAGACTCATTCATCGTAGTTGTGCTGTGGTACCAAGAGTTTGTCGACTTCCTGATCGACCCAGAAGATCATTCCTCTTTCATCTAACTTCAAATCAACTTCGCTCTTTCAAAAATGAGGTCACACTTTCCTTCGAAGTCTGCAATTCAAATTATTACGGAATTCAGAATTAAATTTATAAAGAAAAGCATGTAACAATTTTTTATAAACTGCATTTTTTTAATTAAAAAATTTTTTTTCTATTCTTTAAATTATAATCTCAATTTGAAAATTCTGTTACAATTTTTTATAAACGAAAAAAAATGAAAAGCAAATTGAAAAAAATCGTCTTAATTAGAATTCGATAACAAAAAACGGAAAATAAAAATAAAAATGAGAAATTAAATTTGAAAATGGTAATGAATGGTAATTTAATATAAACACTATGGTAAAAAAAAATACAAAAGCTCTCTCTCACTCTCCATTAAGTACCATAGAGCACTTCTGAGAAGTATACGTGCAAAACTCTTGCTTAGGGCGGAAGGACTCGTGCTTTCCCGCGTATAACATATATAGAAGAGGGGACGTTTAAATGAGGAAACATTTGAGCAGCAATTGCTCTTCAAGCTCTCTTAGAAAAACAATTCTTTTCAAAACGTGCGCGATCTAGCCGCAAAAGAACAAAAAATGACTGTCTAAATTTTTTTGCTCAATGGTTTTCAATTATACACTTTCCTCTCTCTCTTCACAATCCGCATCAAAGTCGTTTATCTTTTTGGCACTTTTTCTCTTTACAGTTATGTGGAAAAGTAACACAGAAAGACAAAAACGACGATTTTCATTGTAAAAGACTTTTTTTTGCCTTTTTTTCCTTTGCAATTGTTTTCGTATACCTTTCAAGATATTTCAAGCACTTTTCCTAAAGTTTTTGTAATTTTTTTCTTTCAAATTTCCACTTCTCTCTGTAGATGAAGGCAAAATTTTTTTCTTTAGAAATTTTCGCAACAGAATTTTTATTTTCCATTGGCGAACTTGACTGTAACAAAATTTGACAAAAAATAAATGTTCTCTTGGGAAATTATAAAATTAGAATAGTATTTTTTCTCGCTTCTATTATTTGAATTCTATGTTTACACACATGTTTCGTATTCGCGAACAGTTTAAGAATGTATTTCTCGCTCAATGCGACTGAAATTATTTTTGAGAAGAGAGGAGAAAATCCGTGTTTGGAATATAAACAAAACTACGCACGTTCGCATATTGGGTCAATGACACTGAATTTCAAGTTTTTGAAATTCGAGAAAATAATAATAAAGTGAGAGAAAATAGAAACGTATGCAAAAATTATTATCAAAAACAATATTCCCTTCAGATTTCTCAAGATTTATATCTCTGCAGTTACAATTTCTTCTACACTTTCGTTACATATGAAGGTCATATCCTTATATTTCTCGAGCATTCAAGTGTGGGAGGACAGTCATCAAAATGCCACTAGCATACTTGAAGAAATAATATCCACGAGAAACACTTCAAAATTATGCAAATTTTAAATTTAAATTAATTATTATAGAAAGACATTTTCTATTCAAATTAATCCACAATTTAAAAAAATTCATTTTTATAAATGATTTTGTATTTTGATAATTGTTGAGAGATTAATAGGGACAAGATTAATGATATTGGTCCAGATTGTAAAGATGACTCTCATTTTGTTAACGTTTTAAATTTTTTACGAGCAGCAAAAGAAGAAAATCTTGAAAGTTGACAGAGTTCTTTTGCTCACCGAAATAGTGGTTCTCTTTTTTTACGAGAGTGATGTAAGCGCATATGGAGATGAAAAAAAAAGGATTCCTTTGGCGGTTGTTTCTTTACACGCCATATCACAAATTATACTGCTTTTACGGGACAACCGTCTGTTGTCAAAAAATAAATAAAACACAAATGTTTTCTCAATTAACCGCGATGAAGCCATTTTCAAAATTTTTATAGAATGATTTATTATTCGTTTAACGTAATATAATAATAATTATATTAATTTTTTTTGTTATTTTTTTATTTTCCCGAAATTTTTTTTTGACTTTTTTCACATTGTAAGAAAAATTTGTTGAATTTTCGCCTATTGAGAGGAATTATAATTGGATGAAATTTTCAAGCATCTCAAGTGAAGTCACGGCGCACTGAAAGTCTTTGATCTTATCTGTCCAACGAATCCTTAAGATTTGTGTGAAACGATGAACTTAATTTAATGGGCAATTGCAACTAAAACATGACTTCCTGCGATTCGCTTTAATTTGATCCCATCAAGTTTTTCCCATTAAAATAATTTCACAAAATATTGAAACAAATTTTTTTTTTATGAATTAGAAAATAATTAAATTTGTCTAGTAAATTATTATTTAATTAAAAATCGGAGATGACTTGAAAAATAGAAAAGCCCTTTAAAAATATATTTGCAATTCGAGTAACTTTACAAGTAGGGAGTGTGTAATATGATATGAGAAAAGTTAACGAGCGTGCGGCAAAGTATCTGAAGATAATGTGGGGCAATGAATCGGCAACGAGGTGGACGCTTCCTGTGTAGGTGTATGTAGGATAATATATATGTGTGACCAGGAGGAAGGGTTTTTAATATACACACATTCTGTGAATCCGTGTGCAAAAGGGGTAGCAACGCCTCTCATTAACCTCTATCTATCTCTCTTTCGTAGGCTAACTCTTTAGCTCTTTAGCTAACTTCAATTGCCTTCGTCGAGGACGAAGTGGAACGGAATATATAGTAAAAAGGCTTGCTATATTATACCTTTTCAAACGCATATACGAAGAGGAGCGTTCACTCGCGGTGCCCCTGAGGGGCGTCCAACAATTCTCAAGGGCCGTGTGTTTGCAGAAACCAAACCCCAACACAAAAATTAGGCCGGCTAGAAATGCTCTAGATGTGAGAGAAAGGAGATGATTTTCCAAAAATGGCTTACCAAAAAATATTGCAATATTTCAGCTTTCACTTTTTCCTTCTTCTTCTTCTTCTTGATGCCTTCCTGTTTCTTCAATATCTCACAATAAATTTTTTTTTCCTTCCCTCATTGTGTCCTTTTCTCAAAGGCCGCTTAACTAGTTCTCTTTTTTTTCCCCATCCTTTCTAGGTCAGTGGTCCAGATGGTGAGAGGCTAAGCTGCGTCAGTTGCGGTGAATCTTGAAAATCTACCTGAAAAAAACGTACTAATTAAAAAGGGAACTTCAAAAAAAAAAATTCAGAAAACAAATTATTTTTTTTGTTTGTAAATGATAAATTCTGTTTTTGTCTATTAACTAGCAAGGAAATTAAATACAAAAATTTGTTTCTTTTTTGGTAATTCAATTTAGGTCGATTTATTATTAGTCTCGATCATTGCGCAGGCTAATGAAATTTCCTTGAAATTCGTTACTAGTTTGAAATTCGCCATATACGAAACATGTGGCTAATAGGAAAATTTGATCACTAGCGTGCATGGTAGGGCTAAAAACTTCCCTTTATCGATCCCCAAAAAGTTCGAGGGCGAGCGGTTTAATATGTTTTTGCAATATTTCCTTATTAAAATTAAGTTTAAAATCTACGGAAATATTTTTATTAAACAAAGCCTAAAATAATTGTGATAAAATTAAAATTAATTTAACTTTACTTGAAAATTAATTATCAAAAAAAAAAAATATTATTTTTGGTCTTGATATTAAATTCTATTGGAATTAAAAAGGCAATATAAAATCTCTATTTTGTAACATCAAGACGGGAGTTAAATTAAAGCGAACCCCTCGACATTTAACCACCTCTTGGCATCAAGTACACGCAGTTGCAGCCAATGGTTATGGTTACATTACCCCTTGGGTTAGGAATATTCAACCCGCAGTTCAGGGTCGGAATAATTCACAAATAAAATGCAAATTCGCCAAGTTGTTGTTAAAAATATTTAAATAATTTAAATAATTAAATATAATCTTCTCCTGAAAAAATTAACGTCTATGAAATCCAATTTCAAATTATAACGAAAAAAAAGCAAAAAAGATGAATGAAAGAAAATATAAACAAAAATTGAGGGTTCGGATATTATTTATAGATGTATGTATTAGCAAATATTACCTAAGGATAATAAATTAACGGAAATATGTTTTTCCTTTGAAAAACCGCCCCTGATTGTGAGTCATTCTCTCCTGTTTCACCCCCCAAAAATGACGTCACGTTTCGTCGTGCCTAGTCGAATGCATGATAATGTAGTTTTATTATATATGTATAAGAAAAGGGGGAATGTTGCTTCATCCCTCTGAAAGGTGACAGTAATTTCATCTATACGAGAGAAACTTGCACGCGAGATCAATCTAATAAAGAAAAAATTAATTTAATTAAAAAAAAGAACATATGTTTCCTTAACTATACTATTTTTGAAAAATTAACAGACTTACACTGGATCTATACTTGTGGCTGTGAATCCTTACAAGGAAGTGGATTATTACACACTGGTGAGTAAATTTTCCTTTTTTAAAAACAATTATATTTCTCCTCTCTTTGAATGAAATACAGATTCTTGAAGACTCCTTTTTTTCTTTGAATTTTTGAAAATCTACAATAAAAAAAATTATTTTACATAACAGTTTAATTTTTCAAATAAAATTTTAATGATTCATCTATTAATTTAATCAATAAAATTTACCATTTTTTTTTAAGTTCTGACTAAACTGAAATCTAATGTTATTGTTTTTCTTTTTATCAGGGTCATTAAAACTATATTTATTATATATTCTGAGTCACTTATTGGAATTAAAATTGATAAAGTGGGTTCCGTGTGGTCGGTGTATTAATCTTTCGCGTAGATCTAAAGGTAGCCAATTGCACTTCCGGTGATTGACGTTAACCGGAAATAGCCGTAGAGAATATTTAGTAGATATGACGTGAGGCACGCGTCTATAGTCTTTCGAGTTTAATGAAAATAGACGAGCATTATCTCTCACATTGACTCATTTTTAACTTAAATTTTTTTTTCGGAACTTAAAAAAAGAATTCTTAAATTATCAAAAAATCACGTTATCACAAGTCCTTTCTCTTTAATGTGTCACTAATTACATTTTCAGAAAAATATAAAAATTTAAAACCATCATTATTCTGTGTCATAACAGGTCCTAATTGTTATTAGAATTTAATTAATGTTTCCACGCAAAAATGTCATCATTTTTAAAAATTATATTTTAATTGACAGTAAATTACAGAGTTTATCTTGAAATATTTAATTTTAATCTAATTAAAATCAATTTAAAATTGCCTGTAAATTTGTAAAATAGAATTTCCAAAAGATATTTTTTTGAGAATTGTAAAATATTTATAAAATAATTCCTCTATCACGCTGAAAAGTTGTGGAATTTTATATAATAATAGAGACTGCGACTTAAGATGCTGGAAACTCTGATAGCTTTCAAAATATAATGTATGTCACAGCTTGAATAAGCTTTTAAAATGCTTTTCTAGAGCAAAAAACTTTTATATGAACTATATACTTAAAACACTATGGCTTATATAAAAAATTCCTGCCAACCAAAATTTGATAATAAATAAAAATTATTTTAAATAATAATAATGGACTTTGCCAGTATATTTTTCAATAAATAGTAATTTTTAATTATTACTGTCAATGTCCTGTAGGTAACATTGAGATAAAAATAACTGATGTGATTGGACTATTTATATATAAATAAAATATTACAAGATGATAAATTGTGTTATCTTTAGACTTGAATTATTTGTGTCACGTGCCTATCGAGTGTAAAGGAAGATTTTTTTTTATCCGGTACTTTAATCTTTATATTTAGAAACCACGTGCGAGCGGCCAATGGCCACAAAGCACCGCCAGGATATGGAGTATATAGAGTTTCTCAGAGGGTATGGGGTGTGTATCACTCTTCTAGAGCCTATTTTCAGATAAAGTGCACTCAACATTAAGGCCAGAATGCGTCGACAAAATTGCATCTACACTCACAGTCTGCGAAAACTATTCTTCCATAAATCTGAACATTTTTTTTATAATTCAAAATTTTTAAAAATGCTTAAAAGAATAAAAAAAAAACTTTTTTTTGAAAGAGGAGAGCATAAATAGAAGAAGAAATCGAAGATGTGAAGAGAAAATAAGAGAGCAACTCGAGGGGGGTTTGAAAAAAAAATATATTAGCCGCACGCGTCTTACCTAAAAAAGAAGAGAGGGTCAAGTTCCGTTGGGGAGGAAGAGAAGAGACAGAAGTTGTTGATAGATTACTGGGTCCAGTGTCGATTTAATAATCGACAAGGCATTGCGTTAAATAAGACGATGTTTTTTAACCTCCTTCTCTCTCTCTCTTTCTCACCCCTGTTGCAGGTCAAGATCCGATGTCGGTTCAAGTTAAAGGAAAAGGGCGACCCGCTCTTGGTGGTGCACGCCCCGGGTATTGATCGGGCCCGTGCGCACATTGGATTCGGAGAGACTCTCGTATATACACACACAGTGGAGCTCGCCCGGAGCCTTCGTCCTTTTCTCTCTTTTGTATTCTCTCTCGCTGTTCCTTCTCTGTTTTTCTCCTTTCTCGACGCACGCTTCCTGCCCGTTCGTTTATAGGTTCGTCATCGGCATCCTGGCCATTACATTCATTTCAACCTCTTTTCTTTGCATTATTTGTCCCTCTGTAAAAAAGAAAATGATTTAAAATCAAAATTATCAAGAAAATATTTATAAATTGGAGGAAAATTAATTTTTATCGACAAATTGTATAATAGAGATTTTATGAAAATCGGTGGAAAAAAATATTTTATAAAATCTCAGTGAGAAAAAAGAGACAGAAATGTTCAAGACCTAGGACAAAGACCTCTGGGTGGGGCTGTTAAACCCCTCAGTGGGATATGTGGTTAAGATTTCGATTTCAAAACTGTTAGACTGTTTTGGATTTTACAATACCGTTTAACTTGGATTTTTATCCATTTTGTATTTGTTAAATAATTCAGAAAAGAAAAACAGAATTTTATAGTATTTTTTGAACGAATTGAAAGGAGGAAAATGGAATAATTAAAAATAAAATACAAAACAAAAATATAAAGTGGTAAAGTATTGAATTTATGATTCCTTGGACTTTGTTACTTTTGTAATTCTTGAGACGAAACTTCTCTACTTTAGGTAGAGAAAATCTCATGTTTTTAGAAAATCGCGGAAGAAGAGCCTGTGGCATTCAACGCTTCGTTTGCAAAGAAGATAGTGCTTGGAAAATGCATTTTCGTGCCCAACGTCATTTCAGCCTGGGGCTGCTCTTAATTATTATATTAATCTTACTATAGACGTTGTGCTTTACTGTTATAATCTCTTTCTTAACCATTTCCTTTTGTCCCGTTATTTTTTTTTAAAATCATTGTTCAATCACAGAATTTTCAATTTTTTTGTTTAACATTCTCAAACAGTTTGGAAAAATATTTTTTGACAATAATAAAAAGTTTGCAAAATTTTATATTGCACTTTTTATGCTTCTTCTTCTCTCCCTAAGGATTCATGAGTGTCTCAGTTACAGTTTTGGATCTTTATGACTCATAGAAAGAGAAGACGATTGAACGTTACATCCCTTTTACCCCATCAACACCCCTGTTTCATTTCCTCATCGTATATTATTTTCCTCGTCATCTGGCTTTCCCAGTGACACTCTTCGTTTTCTCCATTGACTAAATGTTCATAATCTTTTATTACATATTTTTCATTATTTATTTTTTCTTTATAATAAAATAAATAATCGTAAATACAATTCAATCATCATTATTTTTTCAAATAATTTTTCTTAAAAAAAATTAATTATAAATTTTTATTTTTTTTTTATAAAAAAGAAAAATATCAATGGATATACATTTTTTACAACTGCACTTAAAGTAACTCGCGGTGCTAAGTTTATTATTCCCAAACAAAAGGAGTCCAATTAGAGTATATCTGCGTTGAATCAACGATTCTTGTAAAAATTCAGCGAAATATTCAAAAGAAGTATATAAAAAAAATGTTTTGTTTCTCTTTTTAATGATCTACTTTTCGATGTATATGAAAAATTTATATTAAAATTCAGATGCTGTAAAATAAAATAGAAAAAAAAATTTGTTTTTCCCCGAATGTAAAGTTGCTTATTAATGTGAAATTTCTATTTAAAAAATAATTGCAATTCATCAAGCGTTCCGTTGGCATAATTAGCTACTTGCGCTTTTCACATCAGCTTTTATAATTACAGACAATGAATATTAATAACGAATTATTTAATTTCGTCCATGTTTTTCTTTTCAAATATTTTTTCTATTTTTGTTTTTTTTTGGGATTTAAACATTTTAAATATTAAAAAAAATCGTAAATATAAAAATACAAACCTGAATATTCTTTATTTAAAAGTAAACCGGAGCGGAAATATTGAGGACATATACAAGTTGTCACATGAGAGATGTCGAATGCTTGAATTCTGATTATGATAATCGAAGTCAGGTGAATTTCAATAGAATCGAGAGATGAAAAACGAAAAAGTATTAGTCTTTCTATGACAATGATAACGAGGGTGACCCAGTAACGAAATGGGCCGTGTCTTTTGTCATTTTCAACCCCCTTTGGTTAAAAGTCTCCAGTGTGGCCTCTCTTTCTCTCTCTCGTCTTTTGCCATATATTTTTCTCTCATTTTCACGTGAAAGGTTAAGGGTGCACCACGTGTAAGGTAATATCGTGTATGAGAAAACCTTCTCTCTCTCATATACATATACACACACCAGTGAGTTCTTAAAGAAGCATCTGGGGAATACATTTGTCCCAGTGACACTGAGAGTCTTCCATCGAGAAGGCCTCGTGCCCTAATCAAGAAATAAAAACCAAGAGCCTAGAAAAAAAGAACATCTCTTTAATATTCCACTTTTTCTATCTTCCACGTTTTTTTTTTCTTTTATTTTTTTAACAATGCGAGCATTCTTCTCTTCCAACAATATGTGAATATTCTTTTATTTCCATAATATTTCTTAATTAAGATTTTTAATTATAATTTAAATTAATTATTTTCATTAAAATTTGTAAATAAAAAGGAAAATTCGATTATATTAAATTAAAAGTGAATTAAACTAATTAAGAAATTAAAAATTTTAATGGAATATGATAAATTAGAAAATTAAATAAAAACGAATTAACAATTAAATTAAACGGATCATTTAGAATTGTAAATAAAAGTTTTAAAATAAACTTCTCTGAATTTAAGATTTGTTTGAATTTCTATTTTTGTCTCAACAGTAAAGTAGAATTTCTGAGACAAATTACGACTTTTAACGATCCCCATTTTTTTTTAGAGTCAAGTACCGGAAGCTAATTGGTAAAATTACACAACGAAAAAAAAGGGAGAGAAAAATTGTGGATATTTTTACCTTGGTTTTTTTTTTCGTCTAGAGCAGAAGTCTTTGCTATCTTAAAACAAGTCGGGTGCAAGATAAGACGAATAAGATTGGAAGAACTCCA